TTGTTAACAAGTAATATTATTTGAACCAATGAAATCGCTATCTCTTAATTGCTCCTCTGTCACTGTCATACATTTATTCTCATGAAAAATACTGAGCTGAGGATCCGTCGGATGTTTCGTCAAATACTTACAATATACATGATTGACTCCAGATATTGTGCCCCTTAAACTGAAAGTAGTTAAGTAGTCACTATCCGATAACACTTCTATGGCTATACACCCATATCTGGTTTGATCATTTATTTTCACTAAATAAGGTTTTATTATTACAATTCGAAGCAGTGCTCACTTTACTGACCTTGTATTCGTACCATACAAATTTCCCAGTCGTGTCTATGTAATTATTTTGTAAGGCATCTGTCGTTGAGTAAGTGGGAGTCTCCTCTACATATTGTCCTTCATCTTCCAATATTAAATTATCTGATTCTTCAATCATGTCTGGTTAATAATCAACCAAAGGCCAAAGAACACTATGGTGCATGATCAAATACCCTATTATCTTATTACTCTATTAAATACCTGTAATTAAAGGGCAAACTGAAATGCTTAGTTCTTTGTCCATAAAGGTAGCTTATAATGTATCATAATCTTGGTTGCTTAATTCTTAACATTTATGATTTTCCCATTTGCAATGTTAAGTTGTAATCTACAAACAGCCGGAGTGTGTAATTTTATCACTACATTGCACAGAATCCATATTTTAAATCACGTGACAACTTTCATCAAATATACATTATGCCAAGTCCCCCAAGACTGTTCCAATCTGCTTTACGCATAGCTTTTCACTTAAAGTTACGTCACACCCCATCAAGTAATTGTCAGATTTTATGCATTCTCCAAACATAGGCATCCATCGACCTTAACATTCGATAAATTCTTACATTGATCAACCTTTGTTGTTATACATTTCTAAAAAGTCGTAAATTCTGTGCATAAGTCAATGCAACAGACTGATGAGAATAGAAGAGCAAAAGCAAATATTTTCATCATCATATTTCAAAAAATTATATAATTATTTATGTACTCATACATATCTTAAGCCTTCATGAACACATACTATTTTGATAATCATAACATTTACGATAGTATTTATAAAATATCATTTTAGTAAAAATCTGATTTTGAAAACGAATATCCTTACTTAATTCCATTCAGAGTGTCATTGTGGCCAGTCAGCTTCAAATTATCCAACAGATAATTATTTTTGCTAATCTTTTTATCATAAAAAGAAATGAGGTTTTATATCTTTTTTTATTATGAATTAAATTTGTCAAAAAATTTAATTACAACTGATTGGTATAACCTGACTTAAGAATTTATCATATTTAATAGATTATGAAATTTATAGGCTCATAAATTAATTTGTTCAAATATTTTGAGATTAAATCACCTTTAATTCTCTTTTCAAACCCAGCAACATAAACACAGCATATCTATGATATTTTGATCCTGTTGTAAATTTTATCACCTCCAATTTTTCAATCAACTTTTATATCTACATTTATATTAAATTTTACTTATCCTACATCTTACTAATTATTTAATGCTAATAAGCCTTAGTTCAATATTTCCTCAAATTATATTACCCTTTCTAATCCATCAAAACCTTTTTCAAAGAATTTGGCTTTAATTCTTTATATTAAATCTTAATATTAGGTTGACTCTTAATTTTCCCTACTCAAAGCAAAATAATTAGTTAGAGATGCTTCAAATAAATAATGATTAGGATCCTAGTTTTGGATGAGAGAATTTAATAACTAATTACAGTAATATAATGCAGATTTTGAGCTTCCTTTATTCATAGCTTATTTCATCAAAAAATTAGTTAGATCAATGGATGACTACTCTTGTTGATTCAGTTGTTTGAACAATTTATCAACTTCCTCTTAATTTTCTTCCAAATATTTCATTTTAAATATTGAGTACTTTTGTGACAATTATTCATTCTATTGCGATTATTTCATAAGATTATCTATTTTATCTTCAATTTCCTTTAATAATTTATCATCGAATATTGAGTATAAATTGTACTAATATAGCAGAACATAAGCATCTAACAAATTTATTTATACATTCAAGATTTTAGAGTTCATATTTTATAAAATATTTAGGGAATGCAACAGAGATGAATCTGCTTAATCAAAATTAGATTATCTAATATAGCAATCTCCAAGAAGCATACTAGTTTTTGCGCTTGCCAGATATAAATTATCAAAGTATGGCTACTCTTAAAATTTACTATCCTAAAGTAAATCTTAAAGAGCTTTACTATTGTTTTATAAGACAGCTTATGCATCTTTTAATTTTCCATAACTAAAGTATTATTCTGCTTGCCTATTAGAGTTTTCAATTTATCCCTAAAACTTATTTACGAGATTATTGATCTACTCATTATTTTTTGGATCAGAGTAGTCTTTCATTTACTTTATCATTTAAATGTAATCATATGAACCTGCAGCATTGAAACTAAAGTAAATTTTACTCTCTCTAGAAATTTTAAGAAGCTAAGTTGAAAATCCAAAAAATTTATTTAACATAATATTAAATTAGTTGTAATATATATCAATGTATTTATTGAAGATCTTTAAATTAACCATTGATCGTTTATTTTACCTCTTTTAGACTAATCAAGGAATTACTAAATTTTAGTAGATTCATTATTTCAGCCTATATGTATTCATTCATCCTCAACACTTTAAATGTATAATCGTTTGACATAATATATTTCTTTACTATAACAACTATTATGCCTTTATTTAAATATCATTATATTAAATAATCAATTAGACATAAATTCTTCAATCTATTTTCTATGTTCCTCCTGTAATTCAAGTATTCTTTATTTTGCTTAAGTTCTTTCAATTTAAAATATTTTTTCTAATCTTATTTATTCTTACTTGTTCTCTACTTAATATAGCTATTTTTCTCTTTCTTATTCTAATCTTTGCTCATTTTCCAAAAGCTAATATTAAGATAATTTAAATACATTAATCATTTCTTCTTATTATTATTATTCCAAGAATTCTAAATCATACTCTTTTTAAGGATCATCAATTATTTTCATTACTTTTTTTTCTTCATTTTATACCTTCTTATTAATTGCAGACTTTGGTCTCTAAATTTCTGTTTTTTTGTTTGGAAGTGCAGTTTAGGCTACAATTATATTTTGATAAATTTACGTCTTCCTTTTTTTTAACTTGATATTGGATGATCTTCGATTTGACGAGATCCTTATTGTTGGGAATCGTTTTGAAGAGAAGATTATAGTAGATCAATCTTCCCTTATTTAATTAATTCAAATTGATTCTTTAATTCCTCCTTCTACAAATTGGCTATTTAGTTCATATATAATCTTTACTCCAAGACTCTGCTCTTTTATAATTGTAAATTTTCAGTTCTTCTCATTTTCTCTTCTATTTTTTACCTTAAAATTTCTTTTTCATACTCTTATTTTCTCTACAATCGTTCCAAAGCTTCTTTTTTATCTTTCATTTTTAGAATTTCTTATAATTTAATATGTTCTTAAAGTTATTACTTTTCGAATTACTTTTCTAAAATCATTTATTCTTTTTCTATTAATCTATTATTTACTTCCATGGCTCTAACCTATTAATTTTTTGCAGCATTCTGAATTGCATCAATTCTATGTTATTCCTTCTCCTCTTGTTGTTATCTTTTAATCAAATACTCCTTTAGCTTTTCAAATTCTAATTGCTTTCTTCTTTAATCTACAATTTCCTATTTCTATTAATAATCATAATATTTTTGTTCTTCTTAATTTTGAACTTTTTCAATAACTTGTCTCATTTTTTCTTAATGTTATTATGCATTAATATAGTTTTCGATTATTTTCTATTCTTTTTATCTTTCAAACTCTGATCTTCTCTCTTCTATTTTTCTTTATTTTTCTTCGAATTATTCTCTCATTCTTTCTAATTTCTCCATTTAAAGCTATTTCGCAGCCTATAATTTAAATTTCAATTCCAATTAAGCCTATTAAGACGCCTGAATTTTGTCCTACCTTGATTATTCCTACTTTTCCAATCTCTCTCTATCTTTCATTTCCATAATTTGTCTCTTAACCTACAATTCCATCTCATGTCTCAATTATATTTCTTGCATTTATTCCTTAAATAATTATTGTCTCTGTTTCCTTTCCTCCTCTCTTTTTCTATACTCCTATTGTAGTTTTTTCTATCTTAATTATTCCAATTGAACTCTGTGTAATTCTTTTTTATATTGTTATTTAGCTAATTTTTTTTATTTTTATTCTTCCCGTTACTACTTTATTTATCTGTCTCTCTCTCTTTGTACTCTATCATATTCCTATTTAACTCGACTCTACCTCAATTAATCCTCTCTTCTCTATTATCTCTCTTACATCTATCGTTACTTTGACTCATTTCTTTCTCTAATCTCTTATTACTTTCTTTCATGTTCAAGCATTTATTAGATCTCTTTTTATTGTCTCCATTAGATTTTCTCTAATTCCTGTTAGTTTGGACTAACTTATAGTTGATCTGAATTTTCCTCAACTTATTCTTCCTCATCTTGATTATTGAAATTAAATCCTGCATCAATTAATTACTTTCTTGCCTCAAGACAAGCCTTTAGTTTCTCTTTTCTTCTTATTTCGTGATGTTGCCACATAACCTCCCATCCTTACTTATTCAATCGCAATTCTGGATTCCTCCTTTTGAGTTCTTTAATGCCAATTGAAATTAGTTCCTCCGGTAAAATTCCGCATAGACGGCAAGCCTCAATAGACCGAGGGCTTTGAGTATTTAGGCAAAATACCTGTTCATTATTGGTTACTTGAATGATGTTTATTTGAAGTACTTCAAAGTAAACATAAAATTATTGATAAAATAAATTACTCAAAAACTTCAATTTAAAACCGAAAAAAGTTATTACCTTTACTTGATACCATAGACACTATACATTGTAAACCTTACATAATTTTATACAAAAGTATACTCATATATAAATATATATAGTGATCATTTTGGTAATAGGTTTTGAAAGTTTGTAATTATTTTTGAAAAAGTCTAATCTATAAATTTCTTCCATTATGGTTTTTCTGACTCAAGTGCTAGGACTAAATCAGAAGAAATTAATCCCTCCACTATTTCTTTACTTCCACCTTTATTCTTATTTACTTGATTATCCATGACAATCTCAGTTTTGATAACTAAATTTTATTATTCTGTTGTTTTGAGTGTTTTTTGAACAATCCTTCCATTAGGATTTTTGACAGTCTTCATATGAACAAAATTCTAAACAATCATTTATTGAATTAAAGTGGCAAAAATGCATACATAAAAATGGCATTCGTTTAAATGATAAGGACTTCTTCTCACCTTATATTTTGGATCATTTTTATCTTCGTAAAGATTAGCAAGAATCTCAAATAATTAAGGGATTAGATTACCAAAAAAGTAATGTTCCAAAGCTATTAACACTAATTATTCTTAGGGTATCTTAAGATGATGATCATTATAAAAATTACATCTTTATCCAACAAATTTAGATACTGGGATGTTTGTTTTCTCATACAGACTGATATTTAATAGACCTCTGATAAGATCTGAGATTGTCTATTATCTAGTGAACAATTCTACATTTTTAAAAAGCAATGTAGTGAATTTAAAAACGTGTAATTTTCTAATGTCACTTTAATATTCATTTGATAAATTTTAAATTTTTTGAGTTTCTTCAATAAATGCTTAATCCTTAAGGTAATGAATGACTTTTTCTGCAACATATGCATAGTATAATTTTTCCTAAACTATAGCTTATCTTTTAGAAAATTTGTCAATAGCCTTTTATGATTCTTAGTAATTTTAATTAATTTAATTTCTTTATTTATTAAGTTCGTTTTAAATCTTTCTATATTTTTTACTCAATCTCATTGCAGCTTATACAAAATAGAATACAATTTTCAACTTTGATTTCCTTTTTTAAACTGATGCTTTCATGAAACCAAAATTTTATTTTTGCTCTCTAGCAGCTTATTTTTGTATCTTTTAATTGATATTAAGTCGGTTTGTAGTTAAGACCTTTATATTATTTATTTGTTTCGTCTCGAATTCTATTCTTGAGTCTCTAATATTGATTTCGTTCATATTTATTCTTTTGCCGATCGTTTCTGTTATGGAATAGTTCCTCAGTTCATCATTTTTATATCTAGGTTGTATTTTACGATGTTGTTTATATTTATTTTCATCTTCAAGGTTTCTGTCACTTTAGACCTTTGTATCGAAGGATGGGTTCCTTCTTCTGTTGGGTTTTGCCCTTGGTTCATGATCCTCGTGAGTTTAAATGTAACTGTGATTTTATTCTGATTACTAATTAAGATCTTAGTTTAAAACAGTCCTTATCTCTTTGAGAAGAAGCTTATTCTTCTAATTGATTTCGAGTATGCTTTAGTAAATGAGTGAATTTTATTAATGAGGTATTTGTTTTTGGATTTTAAATTACGGCTTATCTGGAAGCAGAAACTAATTTCTTTGGGGTATTAAGGGTAACCTTGGTTAGTTTTCGAAAAGGTGATTAGAATTATTGTCATTTGTAAGCTGCATTGATTGTACATTTGGAGCAATCCAACTGGCATTAAACATACTAATTAATAAAATTGATTTGATTTAATTAATGATAATGTATAATTGATATATGATATGAATCTTTAGTGACTGATGATATTAATTTATTAATTATTTTTTTTTGATTGATAATACTCGATAATATATATTGAGAAGTGATATACTTATAGGGATGATAAATTCTCATTAAAATAGCAATTGTATCTTATATAAAATATATTTGATAAATGCAAAATAGGGAAGGATTATATTTTACTTGATGCTAATTTAAGTTTAAAATATAATTAGGTAAATGCTTATAAATTATATTCTCTATTTTATTGAAATTAATTCCCTAAAGCAGTCCTTAAGCTTTACTTTTTTAGATTTACTTTAAAGCAACGGTAAAATAATACTTATGAGTTTATTAATTAAATTGTTCAGTAAGTTAAATAAATTTTTTGTTTGAGCAAAATTTTCATCTTTGATTATTAATATTGATTTATAATAACTTAAAATATTTGTCAATTTAAATTAATTTAGTTATATATATATGTATTGCATTAGTGATTCTAATTAAGCAAAATGAAATATTGATTGTTGCTGATTATAAATTTTGATAAACTTGTGATTATTTATCTGCTATATATTCAATATTTGACATAATAAACTGAGACCATTTGTATAAATTTGTAACTAATAGGATATATATTGAAGGTAGAGAGAATATTTATTAATTATGCGAATTTATAGTTCTTATATCAGTTTTATTAGATTTTGCTTAATTTAGAAAGCTGTGAAATTATTTTTCTATTTTTTATTTAATTTTATTAAATTAGAATATATTTAAAAATTATTAGTAAAGTTATGAAAGGTCAAAGAAGAAAACATATAAATAATAAATTTACCTTATTATATATAAGGAAACAAATAAATTATAATTCAAATACTAAATATCTATGCAATTCTCACAGATATTAATCAGAAACTCTTCGTAAGATATTGTATTTCAAAGAGGCTTTCATTATAAGTTTCAAATTTTAGGCATGCGATCTCAGAAAATGAATTTAAAAATCACTTTAGTTTTTTCTTGTCTAAAAATTAAAAAAATGAAAAATTTTTTAAATCAAACATTTTATAAATGGATATTATATTATTAAAAATAGACATTAAAATTTAAGAGATTAGCATCATAATTCTTAAGTTTTGAACTATTAAAGCGTAAATTAGAATAATTTGTAAAGTTCTAGTGAATCTAATACTGTATCTCCTTAAATGTTGCTGACAGCGGTTTTTATCTGATTGCAATTTAAATTAATATCTTTTCTATGATAAAACATTTTTTCAATGAGGATACATTGTTCACACTTTTTTTTTTATCTTATTTGGATTGTATCTTATAAATTCCAAAGCTGTTCATTTAATTTAGCATATAGATTAGATGCTTTCCTTTAAGGTAGCAAAATTTTGAAAATCTAACGGTTGAGATTATTTCCAACTGATAATACATGGTTTGATATTTTATGATTGATCTCTATCAAAGGTTAACAGATGATGTTTATATAACATATACTCATGCTAATTGATAAAGCTCCCAAGAATAAGATTGAGCAAGCTGCAATTAAAATCCAATTTTCAGATTCAAGAAATGCTGCTTCAAATTATTCCTCTAAATTTTTCTTGGTTGTGATGTTGGTGTATCTAATAGTCATAATCATAAATTACATTATTAACGTAAAATTCTCTTTTATAAATTTTTCACTTCTCAAATGTACTGAAGATTTATAGAATTTGTTATATAAAATAATGCATTTATATTGCTCGCTTTCATTCTCAAATTCTGTTTTTATGTTAGAGATAGCCTAATCTTCTATTATTTCCCAATCAGAATTATTAAAACCAGTAATCGTTTCATTATAAATATAAAAAACTTAACTATTATTATAGAATTCTTGATTCTCCATCTCTTTATAGATTACTTACCCATATTTATTGATTAACATTATGTTAGATTTTGTGTTTTACATATTTAGGTCGTCTATGGTTTGCATCATTTTCAAAATGCCAATAAATTGTTTGTCTTTATTAAATAAAGATTAAGTAATTGAGAAATAATAATTATAATCTCCAACTATCATCCTGTAAACATCGGTAAAAAAGTAGAATTGGCTTGGATCCTCTTAAGCCTTTTTAATATGGTCAACATACCTAAGTTTCAAATAAGATTTTACCAAGCCCTTGTACTAAGATTATAATTAGGTACGTAATATCCTAAGGGATATAAGACATTAAAATTTATATCAGTGATATCCACAAATTGCATAAAATCTGGATAAAACTTATTTAATTCCACTCCAAAATCCTCCAACAATCTGAGACCGTTATACAATTATTGAATATCAGGACTCTTTTACAATGAATCCTATAAATTTATATTCCCATAAATGGAATAACACATTTTTTGAGTTTTTTCTACTTACAAGTTATGTATGTATTGATCAAATGAATAACAAGGGTCAATAGGTTTTGTAAAATTAACTTCGTGTTAGATTTTCGAATAAAAGTGCAAGAAAGAAGAAATATGATCAGCTAATAAAATGCCTAAATGAATTTAATAAATTTAAATACTAATTTTATGTTTTTCTTTGATATAATGTTTCATCAAATGGGTGGTAAGAGAAATTTACTTGATGTCTGAAATTACTAAAGTGTTCTGCAAGGATCTTTCTGATATATAATAAAATATCTTGATTTCAACATAAATGGCAATTCCAGCTATGCTTAAGACTAAAAGGAGAATCATTATATCAAGAGAGATGATTTGCGATCTCATTTTAAGATTTCTAAATGCTTAAATTAGTGTGTTAGCCATTTTTTATTAATGTAAAGCTAATTAAAATATTGCTTAGAAAACTTCTAAAATTTAGTAATTCACTCTAGAATGAAAGTTGCTATTCCCCAGATAAAATCTCATAAAGACATATTATTGGGAAACCAAAATTTACATTCTAGTATAACCTGAGATGAATTTAAAATTTTATTATTGTGATAAACTCTTTAGAGGCTGTGTAGAATTGAAAGAAAAAATAGAATTAATAAAGTGGAGAAGAAAAAGGAAGATGAAAAAAATTTTCAAAAATTAGCAAAAGGATATTATGAAAAAAATAAATGTTAATTAAAATTACAACAAACTATAAGATAATCTTATATTTTATATAAATATTTAAATTTATATATATATGCTAGTTTATATAGTGGTATTATAAGTAGTATGGGGATTGTAAAGTTACACAGAGTGCGCAAGTGACCAATACTATAATACAGCTTTAGGTGAATGCACATCTTGTCCATAAAATACGGAACGATACAACATATCATTAGTAAGTATATGATGTGATTGTTTAGTGTGTTTGTGATAATGTCAAGGGGTATTAGAGAACAGGAGACAACATCATAGGATTTTAATATGATTAGTTGTGTTAGAAACAAGCGAATAATTGTACTTAGAGTTAAGTGAATTTGAAATATTCATTCTCTGGAGATTCATTATCTTAAAATTCCTGCACTTCTTGTGCTTCAAATGCTTACCCAAACGCGTACTAATAAATAATCAAACTTAAGTTACCGAGAGTAGTGTGTACCATGTCCTGATAAATTGATGGTATATACCGGGAGTTGTGAATGTCCTTAAACTGGGTACATAAAGTCGAATGACCGATGTATCTTGAGTACTCAGAAGACTATTGGAAGTTTGATATTCGATTCATCATACATTGTTGAATATGAGACAGATTAGAAAATAGCGAGTTCATTTATGTTGAGTAGATACTAATATGCAATAACAATGTGCTATTATTATTCGAGCATCAATGCATGTGAGATGTTGGCAAGCTTATGCGTATTGCAATTGTTTGATTTGACCAAACCCATATGTTCAATATTTTTAGATGAATTGTCATCCAAAATACCAACATCTGCTCCAGCGTTGTTTCCAAGTGTCAATACAGAAACTATCAATATTTATCAGACGGCCTTCCCTTAGACTATGAAATTGGATGATTCAGATTCCAAGGGTCGTCGATATTTGAATTACGCAATCCAAAAATACGATTTGGAGGGTAATTTGATTAGTGATTCAACTTTGAGATCTGAATTCATTCTATGTCCTCATTCTCCAGGAGATGAAATCAATAGTAGAGCTTTCGGGTTGAATATGAAGATATCTTGTTCTTTAGATTTGGATGCCTTTCTATAAAACTACGAAATGTATATGTATGAACTTTAGGTCACTGCTATTCGAGATGACAATACTGTTATTCCTTAGAATGTTTACTTCCTGGTTAAAAATCTGAAGGATAAGGATGGAAATCAACCTAATACAGATATGGCCACTTAGAATAGCATTTTTGTTAAACGAATCTTTTTGGTGGACACCATGACTTCAAAGAAAGATTACACTAGTCCAGCTGAAACTCCTGAATACATCAGATATGCAAGCAAGATATAAATAGTGATCCTACCTAGTCAGGACTCTTATGAACAAATATACGTTCCTTATGTTTATGTCGAATATTCCATTGTCAGAAATTCAGGGGAATCTTTTGGATATGCTGATTTTGAATTTGCCTTGTAGATTTCACCTGACCCCACTAATTATTGGGTTACAATCATTATCTTGTTTTCCATTTACAATGTTCTAATCTTAATAGTGTGGCTATTTCGAATTTATGTATGGACCAAGGCTAATCCAAGTAGTTCCATTAGAGAAAACTATATGTTGTAACTCATTAAGAATATGGTTCAATTATTAATTGATTCTTGGACAGATTGGATGTTTTATTTTCTCTTTTTTATGACAGCATATTGGTTTGTCTTCTTCAAATTCCAGAATACCCCTTTTCTGTTGATGTTGAATCAAAATGAATCATCAAATTACCTACCATTTTATGGACTATTTTATACTATTTTTGCTTTACGATTAATACAAACATTTGCGATCATTTATGTTCAATCCTCAATTAACATTTATTTTATTGATTGGGAAACTACTGAGATTCATAGACCAGTCGAAAAAAGGAGATAGGAAGAATTAGAAGAAAATGAAATACTCGTGACTGCTAATAAAATCAAAAGCAAGGTTTCAGTTTGGAGAACTCTTTTGGTGGCAAATGAATTCAATGAATTATCAACAGTCAGGACGGTTTCAGTTGAATGGACACTCATCATATTAGGATTTGTGTTAATTGGTTTAGGGTTTCAAAAAAGATTCATTGAATCTCCAGATCTAATTGAAACATAACCTTTTGTTCCTGAAAACCCTATTCTCAAATACTTCTTAGTTTAGTTTGTTTATCTGATGATTGGATTAGGATAATTGATCTTAAGAAGAATACTCAACATTTGGCAGCCATATCCTTATGAAAATTTTGTCGATCTCTGTACAATCGCCAATGTCTCCATTTTCATACTTGATGACAATTTACATGGCTATTACATCCATGGAGAAAATCCCCTTGGATTCTCTGAAGGTGGCATTCCTCATCTTTAGGAATGTCTAAGAAATGAATCTAAAAATAAAGGCAAGAACAGAGGACTAGTTAAGGATGGTTATGACAGTCAATTATGTACGTATGAGTTATTTGTACCTCCTGAATTCAAACATTAATTTGAACTCAATTATTAAGGAATTAGGAATTATAAAGAAAAGAGAGAAATGAAGCAATTGGGTATTGAGAATGTGGAATTATAAAAGTTTAAAATTGAATAATTCCTTAAATCTAAAATCAATGAAGTCAAAAAAGTTGACAAGAGAGCTAATTTCATTAGAACTAAAGAGACTGCTCAAAGATACTTTGATTATCCTCCTGATGAGTTGGCCTACGATGATTTTAACAAATCCTAAGTTCCTTATTTCTATAAGGATCCAGATTATCAATATAGAAGAGTCTTCTTTAGTGGTTATGAGATGTACTTTTTAGTTACAGATATTATCGTATTCACATTCTTTGTTTTAGTTACTTAAAATGTAGCCTTATCTATATTGTTGTAATATTTTGTTACAAAGTTTTTTGAATGGTTGAAGTAGGAATGGCAGAAATCTAACATTAGTGAAAAAACTAAAATTGACAAAAGGTTTCTAATATGATAGAAATATATTTCATTTTTTTAGATATATAATCAAATTACTTATATTCTCACTTTATTTATATAATATAATTATTAAAAACATGTTGGAGAATTGAACATTTAGTCTATTAATTTGATTGAATAAATAATGATAAATTAACAAATATTAATAATATCCTAGCTAATCAAACTCTTTATTTTTTATTTTTTTGGCCATTCTTACTCGTGAAGCTACTGTTTAAACTTTGCGGTTTTTGTTGATCATGGGAGAATAGACCTTAAAATAATACATTTTTTATACCATTAGTATGATTAGAAGGATAAAATAAATTATTTCCTATATCAGTACTTTGGTTTTTGTTTTAAAATAATGAAGCTGCTGGAAAAGGACCAGATATTTACTATTGCATTTAGGAGGGGAAACCAAGTGCTCCAAGTTAAGGTTATAGATATGATGAAAATGAAGTCTACTGTTATGATTACTATTGAGCAAGTAATAATTATGGAGGACCTTATGGAGCTTCAGGAAATTCCATTTCATAATTCATGCCATTGTTATTCATCATATGATTATTACTCATCATGTTATTCATCATATTATTACTATTCATAATGTTGTTACTCATCATGTTAGTATTCATCATGTTATTATTATTTGTTAATTAAAAAAATGAATTTTGTTGATTTTATTAGGGGATTGAATTTGGGAAAAAAAGCGATGGTTATACAGGTTGTGGTAGTGGTTGTGGTTGTAGTTATTATTATGGTTATTGTTGAGGATATGATGGTTAAGTAAACATGGAAGGCCCATTATTTTATTATTTAAATAGATCATCAATTTTAAATTGAGATGTCTAAATTTTATTATGTTCATCCTAATGATTTCTACTCTATTAAGACTGATTTGAAAAGTAGGAGTTTATTTGTTCTTGATCAATTTTGGGTGATTATTATAAAAAGGGATTCTCAATAGGCTTTACTGGGGTTTCTGCTAATTTTTTAATAGGATCAGAAGACAAATTCTCAGATTTACTATTGTCACTTAATCGTTGTTCTTGCAAAAATGCGAAAGGAGATTACTTTAATTATTGTTTTGGTTCACTAGTGATATTAAATTAATTGTTTTTGTGATCATCAGATGACGATTTCCATTAACAATTCAACCCGATAGAATTCGGTACTGGTGTTTAGATATCCAGTTTAGCAGAATTAATTTATTATTACTATTATTTGCAATCCTAGTTTGTTGGAGTATCTATAGTATTATTTTTATTTCCTAAAATAAGAATATTATCTCCTCCAAATAATGATGGTGCTGAAAGAGGAGGGTTTGTTACATCCTTATTTTCCTGAATTGGATTTATTTACTTACTAAGAATATTACCTAAGAATTGAGGTTTCTCTTCACCATTTGCTTCTTATTTTGGTTTATCTTTGTCAGTTTACTTAATGAATAGATCATTAAATAAACCAGTGGATGGTTTTTCCTTATTATTTTTATCATTTTGGTTTAGATTGAACAAAGACAGGAACGGTTAAGTAGGCTGTTCTGGTTCCTTTTAGGTTGTTGTTACACTATTTTTTTCTGTTTAGTTTTTGACATTTGGAATTTGAAAATTTAAATCTTAGAACAAAAGTCCCGATTTTTATTCTTCTGGTTTTTTTTGTATCTAGGTAATCTCATCTGTTTAATCCTATTTGCTATCTCCTTTTTATTCTCCTTATGTAGATTGAACTACATTGCCTAAATTTTAGAAGAAAAGTTGTTTCTTATGAGGGAATTAATCGTTTGTATTCAATTAATCGATTTAATTTCCAGATATATTGTTGAAGAGACTAAAGCTTTGCTTATTTTCTTCTATTTTTGGCTACTAATCAATGGAATCTTTTTTATTATTTACATTTGAACTTGAAGATTCAGAGATTGAAGGCTATTGTTGAATTTCATTAACATTCAGTTTATTTTAGAAGGTGAACTAGTTTTATTACAAGTTTTAGCCTGAACTTTAATGAGATGATTATTATTGATTCAACTCCTTTGAATCATAAGATGCGAATAAGGATGATTAGACATTGATTTTATTAGCAAGAATTTGTCCGCCTTCACTAGACTTTGCAAGTCCAAACAAAGGAGTGTCTGAAAAGTTAATGATATTTTTTTCTTATTATTCAAAAGGTTTCTTTTCGTCAATGGTTACTTTATTAATTAAATTTAATTAGGATGTTTAGGGTTTCTCTTATTTGGCAGGTCCTTATACTAGAAAATCAATAACACTTTGTTGTGGTTGCACTTACGATTCTGTTTATTTTTCATCTTATTTTTTCTCTTCTTTTTATTGAATTACTTCGTCTTTTTATGGTTCAGATTTTTTAGGCTCATTAATTTTATTTATCACATCAGACTGTTTTCGGGATTGTGAATTTTCAATTTTTTTAGGACTGCAAGAAAAGGACTTTACTTCCTATTCATTCAAATTAATCATGGATTGGGATTTCTTTAAGCCTTTAGATTGATGTTCTATTATTTCATTAATTGTCAACATTGGTGGGTCATGCTATTTAGGCTTTGTATCATTTAATTAAACTATAGTTATTTCTTTAACTTATGGCTCCTCTTTTAACCCGCCTACAAGAAGACTATTGTTTTTAAGTGAATCATCGCTTATTTATTCTTAAACTTCTTAGATTCTACTCTCATTTATGCTATCGTATACATGTTTCTTGTTTATAAATTTAATGCCTACTGATTTCTTTTTCTCTAACATTATTTCAAAATCATACCATCAAGTTTTCTTTTTTTATATTGTTGAGAACTCAACTTTCGACGTGGATGAGTGACCTTCTTCTCTTTCCTCTCGGAATCTTCAATGTCCTCAGGCAAAACAGGATCGAAACTTTTTTTAAAGGCTAATTCTTAATATGTTTTATATTTACTATTGAGCTTTCTCAACTCTTTTTCCTCTTTTTGTTAAACTTTTGAGGATATTTCGCTTTACTGTTCTTTTTGACTTTGTTATTCTTTCAAATGATCATCAAAGCTCGTAATTTTATTTCTTCTTTATCTTTAGCTGCTCTGTGAATGGCATATTTTTATGGAATCTATAATGTAAATTAAAGATACCTTGCTCTATTATTTAAGCTCCAACTATTTCCGAATTTACAGGAACATATATTGTCTATTAAGATATAAGTTCCCTCTGTATACAAGAAGAAGGGTTTAAATTGACCTAAAACAAGCTTTTCAATTTGTTGATGATTTTCGTACTTATACTTGGCTTTTCTTTTGTAAATTTACTAAATGGATTGAAGCCAACACATGAACTCTATTTTTTGCCTAACATTTTATTTATATGTTTTAAATAATTGTATTTAAATCAATTATTTCTATTATTTCACATCTCCAGAATACAAGAATCCACCTCAATTCTTTCAATGCAACATTCGGATTATTAAAAATGAGTTCCCTAAAACATGCCAGTAGGATCAAACAATTGTTAAAAGAGCTTAAAATAGAATCAAACCAGAAATACTTCTCATCCATTAAATTACTCTATTTTTTACTATATCTTATTTATTCATGTCCAAAAGCAATGTTCTAAGAACCAAAAAGTTAATTAAAAGTTAAATTTTATTCTAGAATTATATATCATTATTATAAAGAAGAATTTTCTATATAAACAATCTAAATAAGTAAGCTTTAATTATTTGAATTCTAATGATATTGATCTTCCTTAACCCCAACCAAATATCTCCAGAGAGACTGATAATAATAAATTAAATTTTTTAGAAGAATGAATAGCAGCATCAAATTTTCATCATATAAAGCTTTCTGATTAACTTTGGATAAGAGATGGAGTCATTAACTAAGTCTACATTTATATCATTGAATTATATATGTAAATGAAAATAATAGTATTATATACAACTTAATTAATTTAATACATACAAATCAATAGAAATTATTATAAAATAAAATAATTCTTAAGTATTAAAGATCTTCTCCAAAATGGAAAGAGATTTAATATAAGTGATTACAATCTTATTTCTCCTCTATAATAATACAATCATGAGAATCTTAAGATTAATAAATACTCAAATTATAAGTGTAGATTCTAGTAATTTAAAAATATAAGAAGTTGTGATACTTGATATTTATTATACTGTTTAAATATTTACTCCAAAATTACACTGTCAATTATTTAGATTATTATCAGAATTAAAGTATTAATAAATTAAATTGTTAATTCTAACTCTTTTGATTGAAATTAATTATATAAAAATATCACTTAGAGCAATTGAGACATCCATCACATCTACACAAATGTGTACATGCTAGACCATTTAAAAAACATTCACAGTATTTCTTTTGGCATCCAGATTTTTTACAATTGCACCCCTTGAAATTTTATTTAAATGCTCCAGGGTCTCGATTTATAATTTACACCTTGGCCTCCTTTCTTTACTCCATATTAAGTGTATTATTGAAACAACCAACACAATTACAATTTTCTGAGCACATTTATCCGTTAGCAAAGCAATCACAATATTGTTTTAAGCATTAGGATTTCTTGCAATTACATGATCTTTCATTAATAAGCAATTTACTTTGTATTTGTAATGATTTTTGGGAGATTTGGAGGAGGAAATATTATTTTAATAGGTCGATAAATATTCTTTGAATCTAACTAGATTGAGGTTTCCACTGTTTCCTCTTCCATTTCAATTCTATTTTATGGCACTAGGATCCTTAATTTAATGTTAGAAGTACCTAAATGATGAGTCTTTACTAATTTAAAAAGTTTTCATTTGGTTTTAAAATTTGAATTATTTATAATTCGTTAAAAATTATTAATATATAATACCACATATAATTGCCCATAAATATTTGTACATATAAATTATATCATATTTCAGATATCTGATAAATCTAAATATTTACAAAGTAATCTTAATTTTCAAATTAAGTATTCATTATATAATTTTACTAATTAAAAATTGTAAGAATAAATCTTAAAAATATAAAATTTCAATAATTTTGGAATATTTTTTTTCTTTTTTTTTTATCTAATCAATTTACAACCTCAACTATTTAGGGATACGATCTAAATTTTATAGTAAACAGCATAAATTTAAAGAGAAGATATAAAAGGTTGTTATAATTATTAGGAGATAGAAAACTTATTATGTAATTTTCCAAAGCCCAAATTAGTATTTTCTTAAGTCATAACAAACAATCTTATTTCAAGTAATCTGTATGAAATATGGAATTGATTCAACAATATTAAAAATGGAAAGGACAACCCAGTTTATGAGAATCAACCCATTATGATAGTTGAAATTCTTCTGAAATGAGATTGGTCCCTCGTTTTTTTAATTCCTTTCCAAAGTAGGAATATATTGTGGATCACAAATAGGATTTTTCATACTTTTTTTAATTTCTTAAACTTTTTTTTGGAAATAGTTTAGAACTTATGGTGCACTTTTGGGATTAAAATAAATAATTTCATTTATATGTAATATTTTCTATTCTTCAAATACATGATAAAATGGACTTTGAGTATTTACAAGATTCATGATTTTATTATTTGTATATCTGCAAAAATGCTTTTTATGCATTATTCTATAGTTAGTTTGAGTAGTTTTGATGAACGTGATTGTTTATATATCAGATTATAATAAATGTATAAAAATGATTAAATATTAATCAAAGCTTATAGAAGGGAAAATAGTCCTTGTTCACAACTTAAACTACCTCAACTTACAAAAAGTCCTTACTTAAAATAAAATAATTAAATACCAAGTCAAAGATCAAAAAACTAATCACCTTTTCAAAAATAAAGTAGCAAAGGAAGATCAATTTCTAACATAATTTCAAATAACTCATTGAATATATCAACCCAAATAAGCACACAAGAGAGAATCAAAACAAACAATTTTAACAAAAAGTCCCTCTTACATATTGATGAATTATTGGATAAATTTAATATGAACGCTGGGTTTGATTAATAATATAAATACTTAGATTAATTGGAAAAATAAAGTTCAATCTTAGTACATAACTACTTATAAATTCATCAGCAAATGATTAACCAAAGACACCGAATTCACTGTCTAAAAAAATGATTGATTACAGAATTTTACATAAGTTTTAATATAAAAGCCATTTCAGAACTATATATTTGATTTAACAAATTTGTTTTATTAAATATTTTTATATCTAAATAAATATCTCCAAATGATTTGATTTAAGGATACCTAGTAAATCCATAAATAGTAGTGATTTAAAACAGTCAAAGATTGTATATCTATATCACATTTGTGGTATATATCTGCTGTCTAAACAAGTGGGGATTTATTTAACCTTAGAATTTATGAATGGTTGATAGTAAAGGTCTTTACAAAAGAAGTAATATAACTTTGATATATGATTATTAAATTTTCAAGTAAGAAAAATAATTAGAAAAGAATATATTCATTATAATATATAATCTCCTTAGTTTTATAGAGATAAATCTTAGAGCATATAAGTGTTAAGATCAACAATTACTTTTATTTAAGGTTTAACTTTATTGATATCAATAAGATAATTTCCTAGAATAATTTCTACTATCTTTGAATTTCAATTTTTTATACTATCAGGATCAATATTAGTATAATAATAACTGAAAGTCAAATTGTTGTTTTTAGATATATTTTTTAGTCTTCAATTATAACTTTACATCAGATAATAAAAGTATATTTAATTTCAGTTAACCATCATGTAATTTTATAGATTATAATCATTGTAATATTATCAATTTTAATCATTTAACTATGTTGTCAATAAATTATATATTCTTTGTCCATACTCTGATTGCTTAATCTAATGAAGCAACTGTAAATTCTATTTCATCAGATTCACTAGTTATTACTTATGTTCTTGATCAAAGATTTACAATACCTTTTTAACTACATAATTTCCAAAAGGATTTGTAGCTAGGTTTAGAAATATGAACCTAAGTTGATATTGATAATTTACATTCCATTATTATCAGAAGGTTTCATTAAAATTTAAACAAAATTATTCTTAAGTTTTGGGGTTAAATATTATAGTATATCTTCAACAGTGTTACTCGCATATTTATTAAAACACAAATTTTCTAAATGATTTAAAATATAATGTGCTATGATATCTAAATATTTTGGCGATTTTATGGCATATTAGAGGATGTGATTACCATGTTAGGATTTATATAGGAGATTTTAATTGGATATACAAATTTATACCAGAGTATCCACCTAAGTTGGATAGTTATCAATTAGTTTTTGGATTATTTTACACCCATATTAAGAATCACACATGTGAATCCCTAATTCTTCTGTTGGTATTAATATGAATCTAACTACATCTACAGATAAGTTTTCCAAACATTTTAGTATTACATACTTGCCATTTTAATCAATTAAAAGAGATTTAATATTTTACTTAATTTCTTGAATGAATGGAACTATAAGATGATCATTTTTTGAGATGATATCTATAAGTTTTTGGATAACTCGGCAACCGAAAGTATTTTTAGATAATTCAACAACATAAGGTTGTAACTATTTGAAGATCTAAATTTATTGTTATAAAGTTCCTAGATAATATTGATATAGTTTATACCTTTTTCAAGAATTTTCTGAATTAAGTAATTTCCAAAGATGTCTTTTGAAAATTCTTGACAATTAGTTTGCACCTTCCAGAATATTTATTGTCTTTAATTGGATTATCCAGTCTCAAATATTTTTTAAACTTTCCTCGAAAGCACTTGGTTTCCACACATGTTTTCCTATGGTAAATTATAATATATAAAATTTACAATGTCGATGTCTAATTATATATCTAAATTTTGATTTGGTTTTTGATATTAAGGCCAAATTGGATTATTTTAACTGTAATATATTGGTGAAAATTAATCTGATTATATTGAGAAGTAATCGAAGCAACAAACATTTCCAAAAATCATTGAATTCTCTAAACTTGTTTGATTATCTGAGCTAAATGAAGTGCAGACCCCTGGATTTTTATATTACAGTTTCTTATCAGGGGATATGGGGCTACAAATTTGATCTGAACCCAAACTTATTTATTCAAAGGATTTGCTAAAGGTATCTGTGGTTTAAAACTTGTATTGTCTTTAGAGTTTTGTTTAAGTCTGAGCCTAATTGCATTCATCACTTACATTTAACTTCTTCTAGTCCTAGTACTCATTTTCATCGGTTACTAATGTTTACTAGAGAAATTTACTTGATAAAATCGATCCTAGCAAGTTTTACTCAGTTTCAAAATCATCATCTGTCATAATTCAATTAAAAAAATAAATATACAAACTGAAAGTTTTTTAAAAAAAGGACAAGTATATTTCCATTTCCCTCTTACAATCTTCTTCTATATTTTTACTATGATTTCCAATACTTAAATTAATTTAGAGTTATACAAAACTGGAGGAGGTAAATATAACTGTAATAAACGAATTTTGTTTTTGAATTTGTTTGGGAGTATCATCTACATGGTAATTGAAAACAGTTATACTAAGAAAATCTACATAGATTTGATACTATAAATTCATCAACATGTAAAATGAATTTAAATATGGCAATTAAAAATGAAAATTACAGTGAAAATTTTTAGAATAATAATCAATATAGGCACACAATAGTTAAACATTTATATCAAAAACGAATGAATGACACAAATTGCAATTCGATATTCTGTTTATTTAGTCACATTAATAATCAAAGTACATATTTATAGTTTTATGATATTATAAGGTAAAAGAATTGAAAAAGACAATTATTTTCTTTTTTAAAGAAATATGATACTATACTTGTAGTTTGAGTGAAATAACATTGAGATTTTAGCTTTGTTTTTGAAAAAAATAGTAATTCATACTAAATCTTATGAAAATACAATTTATTTGAAAAATAAATACCAGCATGTATAGAGAGTATGTAATTCAAATTCAAAATAAATTAGTCATTTTTTCTAATCTATAAATTGGTTTAAATTATTAAGGCTGAAGAATTCTTCTCGATCAAATATGGCCTAGAAAAGGTGGTTTATAGGAACCATATAAAAAAATATGTAGAATTAGTTATGCGCTCGTTCATTCTTAATTCGATCGAATAGTAATTGTTCTAAAACAGTTATTACACTTACATGTTGACAAGATTTGAATATACTATAATAATAATAAATGCCAAAATGAAAAAGACTAAATTTAAATAATAATAAAGAATTATTGTTTCGTAGGATGTAGACTTACACAATCTTCGTTCTGGCAATGAGTATACTTAGTAAGATGTAGTCACTCAGAATGTGAATTAGATGGGAATTCACTTAAATTTAAGTTTACAATTATTTATTATTATATTTAAGAAAGAATATACTTGTACAATCTAATATAGATGCAGAGTGATTTTTAATAACAATCCACTATAAATAATGGAATTTATAGTTTGTGGCATGGAATAGATGAAGAAGAGTCGAAAAGGGAAAAGAAAAAACAATAAAAGCAAGCTCACCCTTAGTTTTCAGAGATGACAGATAAGTAAAAGTAAAGAAAATAAAACTTGAATCTCCAGAAAAAAAAGAAAGGAAAACTATCGAATAAATCAGAAAATATGTAAATCAATGATGATGAATCAGAAAAATAGGAGTTTAATTAAGTATTATTTGATTAATTGGCAAGCATCTAAAATACGAAACTAAGCCTTAATTTGTGCTTTTAGTAAAACCAAATAACGAGGAGATCTAGATCGATTTGCAACAATATATCGACGAATAAGTAAGAACTTAAGTGTTAGGATTTAGTATTCGATTTAAGAGGATATATCAAAGATTTCTTGCTTTAAGTAGGAGAGTGATTTTGGACATACAGAATACAAACTTAGACTAGTTGATCCTGATCCTAAAAGATTAACTCATTTAACAACTTAGATGAATTTTAGATTGTCGGAGGGAAATGGTATGGCATATTATAAAATTGGTGTTGAGGATAGCGGTAATCCATTGGGTCTTAATAAATCTGACATGCTTGGATCACTGAAAACCCTTTGCTTAATGGCTTAATCTTTGAAGGCTGAATTATTGGTTGTTGGAATAAATTAGGGGACCAATGGCAAAACCTGTGAAGTTATAGTAAGGAAAGGGTTGAAGGATGGGATAAATTTGGATATAAGAATCCTACTTTTGGGGGAAAGTGGATCTGGAAAGACATCCCTTTTAGGTGTGCTTAGTACTGGACAATTAGATAATGGACAAGGTTTGGCAAGGATGAAGTTCTTGAAGAATAGGTCTGAAATTACATCTGGGAAGACAGAAAGAGTGAGTCATACGGTTATAGGTTTTGATAGTGAAGGAAAGATTATGAATCATTAGAATTAACTAAACTTCAGTCCTACATGCATGGTTGAGAAATTAGTGGATTTATCAACAAAATTGATCACATTTATTGATATGGGTGGAACGAAAAGAGCACACAATTAGATGATTCAGATTGTCAATTCTCAATTTCCAGATTATGCTCTATTAACAATCTCTTCATTGCAATAGATAGGAAAACCAACTATGGATTTTCTTAAATTAATCTAAATCTAACAAATTCCATTTATGATTGCCATTACTCATGTGGATCAAATCACTGAAGATTATTATGTGGACAAAGTAGAACAATTAAAGGACATGATTAAAAGTCTATAAATTCAAAGTGTTCCGATTGTAGTTAGGAGTGAAGAGGATGTTGTCTTGTTTAGTAAATAGATTCTTAGCAAAACCCTAATTCCTATATTTTTAATATCTAATATGAAATAGAGGACATTAGATTATTTTATTAAATTTTTAAATTTATTACCTTCAACAAATGAACTAACAAACAATTCAAACTTAGATTCAGAATATTGCATCCATAATGTTTTTGAGATTAACAACTAGAAGGTGCTTGGGGGTACTGTTCTCAAAGGAATTATTAGAGTTAAACAAATATTATAAATGGGACCGGACAAGCATGGTCGTTTCTTCCCAATTGAAATTGAAGAAATATAATGTAATCGAGTTCAAGTAATACTCAATTTATACTCTAGGTCAAATCTGCATAATGTGGGTAGATATGCACAATTAGGTTTAAGTAAGGCAATCAATAATTTGGATCAGATTAGAATCCCATAAGACGCGGAATGGTCTTAATAGAAGGAAAGAGCAACCCACAGGCTGCTTGGGACTTTTTAGCTGAGATCTGGCTATTTGATGATTAAAAAGAAGCCAAGAAAATTGCAGTCAGTTTTGAACCTGTGATTAATACTCAATGCACTAGGTCTCTATTGTATTATTATTCTTAGACAAATTTGTAAGATAATCAGAGAAGAATAATTGTAGTTTGAGACTGTAACATTGAGAAAAAAATAATCAAGATCAATTGATGAATCTTGTATGCAAAAATCTGATACTTTATAATCGAGATCATCGTATAGGAAATAGAGTGAATAAATCAAAAAAGCAAGCAGTTCTAATAGCTTAAATTAATAATCGTATAGGAGTCCAAGAAGAAAAGGCAGCAGTTAAGTCAAATCTTGCACCAATGATGAAGATCAAAAAAAGACAGATTTGTTTGTGATAAACGAAAAAAATGAAAAACCTATGGAGTTTATAGAATTAATTCCGAAGCAACCCAACATTGTTAGGCTAAAGTTTAAATATTTCCCAGAATACATCACTAAGGGCATGAAGCTAATTATAAATGATAATGGGCTATAAGCTTGGGGTTTTATCAAATATATAAATTATTGATATCTTAAGATATTCTATAACTTAACATTCCATTTTGATTTTTCAAAACTTTAGGTAAATGAGAATTCTAATTCTTCCTAAAATTCCAATTTCCTATTAATGAATTTATAATAAAAATGAACAAACGAAGAAACACTAGCAAAAGATATAGATTTATTGAGATTATCCGGCAAATCCTAGATGTATTATTTATAAAAATGTAGTGTGATGAGTTTATGGACATAATAAAATGGGATGAAGAAGGAATTAAAATTAAAATTATTGATAAGTCCTTATTATAGGACAGTGTATTGCCAAGATATTTTAAACATGGCAACTATTCCAGTTTCTTAAGGTAATTTCCTTTCGATTATTTAGACAATTAAACATGTATGGTTTTACTAGTTGTAAGGATTAGAATGGAATCTTGACTTACAAACATCCCTATTTTACTTAAAGCCAGATTATTCAGAAGTTTATTGAGAAAAAAAAGTAAACTCGCTTAGAGAGACTGTAAGTAGGGGCATTTATGATGGAGCAAGAGGAACTAAAAAACACGATGACCTCTTTGAAATAAGAACAAATTAACATTCAATAATAATTGGTTACGTCCATCAAGTAATAGTTGGGATTTCAACATCATTTCAAACTGATTATTGAAGTAAAATACTATTAAATAATTGATAGAGACTATTGGAGATAAATACTATATAAGAGAGGAGAGGAGTGTTTTTTATTGAGAGCATACGCATGATAGTGAAGGCGATGAAACCAGAAGCTTGTAAATTGAATTTCAATATCGATTGATAGAGGCCTCATTTTAGTACCTAATAAAGTGTGTCTATCCAAAAGAGGAAGATCGTTGGATGAGTGAGACTGTGTCTGTAAAGGATGAGGAGATCAATGTGCTCTGTCCAACTTCTCCAGGACCTTTTGGAAAAGCCGTTGTTAAAGATATTGGAAATTATTTAAATCATAAGTAGGATCAGATTAGTCTTGAGAGTCTGGAACCGGTTTGGTTTTGTGGTTAGCAAGAATCAGATTTTAGCTTTTTTGGGTTTGAATTGTGATGTTTAATATTTGTTATTTATATTTTTCAATTAATTGATAAAATATATTTAAATTAATCTTATTATGACTAAATAAACTATAACATTACATATCATCAGAAAAATTATATTATTAATATTGTATGCAATAGAAGAAAAGTCCAAAGTTTTTAGACAAGCTATTTGATTTGTTGGAAGTAATAAATTAATTTCATTAGTTAGTCAGAGCAATATAGATTCTTGAGATGGAGTGATGATGGTAAATCCTTCGAAGTTTGTGATATTAAGAAATTAGAGAAATAAATACTTAAGATATTTTATAAGCAGAAGTCATTCGCAAGTTTTATCAGGTTTAATTGATTATTTACTTTTGATAGGCAATTAAATTTATATGGTTTTAAGAGATCAAAGATTAGACGCAACATCAATGTTTTTGCTCATCGCTATTTTATTCAAGGAGAGAAGTATGAATACTTATAAAGTAGAAAATAGTTGATAAATATCATTAGTTAAAATAAATTGAAGGTCCTTGAAGAACTCAGCAATCAGGATAACAATCTGAAACACTAAATATATGAGGCGGAGCATCAGTAATTGACAGAAACCTTGAAAGATCTTCAAAATTAGCAAAAGTAAATTCAAATGAAATTTAATGAGCAAATTCATTTATAGATGTAACTAAAACTTAGAATTATATAAATAATTCACGTAATCAATTACTTATGGAGTAGCAAATTAATACTCACGACATTACTATAAACATCAAGGCCCAACACTCTTACTAATTGTTGTGTAAGGTAATGCAATTGATTCCGAACAATGAGTAACACAAAGAAGAATTCGCTATTATTCGAAGCATTTGCAAGGTATTCAATGAATTTCATTTGGAATCCATGTCATCATATTTGGGTAGTCCGAATGATCGATTGACTCCCTTGCCCTTTTACTTATAGGATTCTAGTGTATCCTTGGAATTTGGAAGCAAATAAAGCTAAAACCAAATTTATGAATTGCTGCAAAATCAAGCCACTCGAATATTCCAACCATCCCAAGTAAAGCAATAACAATTTATGATCTGATTTGTGTTTTATAAATATATGTGAAAGTTGTGTTTAGTTAACAGTTCCAATTAAAAACTCAAATTTTGATTTAAGTTAAATTGCATAATACTATTTACATATTATTAATTATAATATTTCGATTTTCTTGCATAGCCTTTCTCGATGGGCAGTAAGTGTAGTCAATGTGATTGCAGATAAGGAAGAAATACAGTTTAAGAGAGAGAAATAGTGGTAAATTATTTAATGAATGAGTAAGTTAGACAATAAGGAAAGTAAAAATAGCACCTCGATACACTTGATTCTAAGTAACTAAGGAAATGCTAATCCGGATTCACAAAGTAAAGGATAGTAAAGTAAAAGTAATGAGAAATAATCATCACACAAAAGTAAACCAAAAAAAGCACATATTAAATTTAATGAATTCTAGAATGAGAGTGAAAAACTCCTCAAGGCTGCTATCAAAATTTAAAGTAGATATCGAGGATATTAGGTTAGAAGAAAAAATGGATAAAAATAAACTGTGAAAATTTCAATTATAGGTGCTAATAAAAATTATTTGAAGGAGAATTTTGAAATCATCAATATTCCTTCTAAGATTAACGATTAAACTTTGGATACTAGAGATCCCTATGAGTTCAAGAGCGGAGCTATTTATTAAGGTTAATGGAGAGGCAATTTTAGAGAAGGAATAGGGACCTAAATTTGGACTGACGGAGCAAAATATGTTGGGGAATGGAAAAATAATAGGGCTTGTGGAAAAGGGATATTTTATCATGTAGATGGCGATATTTTTGAAGGAGAATGGGATTAGGACAAAGCTAATGGTAGAGGAGTCTATAAACATTCCAATGGATCGAAATATGAAGGAGAATGGAAGGATGATTTATAGCATGGATATGGTAGGGAGATATGGAACGATGGTGCCAAGTATACAGGAAATTATGTTTAAGGGAAAAAATAAGGATTCGGCAAATATGAATGGCCAGATGGGTCTTATTATGAAGGAGAATGGCAGAATAACAAAATCAATGGAAAAGGGAGTTATTGCTGGTCAGATGGAAGGGGTTATGCAGGTTAATGGATAGATAATTGTATGCATGGTATTGGAGTTTACACTTGGAAGGATGGGAGGAGATATGAAGGGGAATATAAGAATGATAAAAAGGATGGGCGTGGAGTTTATTAATGGGCTGATGGTAGGAAATATGATGGTATGTGGAGAGGTGGTAAGTAGGAAGGACAGGGGGTTTTCATGTTTACTGATAATACAAGGAAGAGAGGTATATGGAAGGAGGGCAAGATATTTAAGTGGCTGGATAATGATACATGAACAACTATATTAAATGAATTAATGAAATTTATTTATATATATACTTGAATTGTTTATCAAAAAATTTGAAATCTTTTTTTAATTTAAATAAATAATAAATGGGCAAAAAGGAAACAAAAGATAAGAAGCCAGCACAATTCAAGTATTTATATGATTGATAATTATAATAGAAAGATTTATGAATTGTTATCAAAATATACTTAAGTTATCATCGTTGGATTAGCAAATGTTGGATCTAAATAAGTGTAAGACATCAGAAGAATTTTGGCTAAGAGAAATGCCCTATTAGTTATTGGCAAAAATGTATTAACACATTAGTATTGTAGACACTCTTCAAAAAAGTTTTGGCTACTAGAGTTCAAGAATTACCAAAAGAGCACGAATATTACGAAGAATTGGCTAAATTCGGTAGTGCAATTAAAGAGTTGGACGCCTTGAAAAACTCAGTTGCAGGCAAAGTTGGATTCATCTTCACAGACACCCCAGTCTTTGATCTTAAACCAATCATTGAAGAGAATAAAGTCGAAACCCCAGCCAGAGTTGGTGCCACTGCTCCAATTGATGTTGTTATTCCCCCAGGCCCAACTGGTATGGACCCAGCTTCAATCCAATTCTTCCATGCTCTCTAAATCCCCACCAAGATTGAAAAAGGTTAAATCTAAATCACCAAAGACTTTGTCGTCTTGAAAACAGGATAAAAGGTTGGCTAATCATAAGCTGTCTTATTGTAAAAATTGGGCAAAAAGCCTTTCTTATATGGGTAATAATAAGATCTCATATTTTAATAGAATGGAAGTTCTTGCTTGTTATGACAATGGATCCATCTTGAACAAACAATAAGTTTCAGTTAATTTGAATGACATTGTTGCTAAATTCTAATAAAATGTTAGAAATGTTTCAGCCATTTCTTTGTAAAATGGTAATTCTTTTAATCTATATTAAATTAGGTTGGGTTAATGAAGCTTCAGCTCCATATTTATTAGCAAACGCCTTCAAGGATTTGGCTGCTATTGGTTTATAATCAGGATTCATCTTTGATTAGATCAAATAATCAAGCGCACCAACAACAGCTGCCCCAGTTGCAGCCAAAGCTGAAGAAAAACCAGCTGCTCAATAAGCCCCAGCCAAAGTTGAAGAGCCTGAAGAAGATGTCGATATGGGAGGTTTATTCGATTGATCATGAAATCATAGTATATTAATAATACATACACATAAACAAACAAACAATTTAAATGCTTAATAAAATTAATATATATAGTTATGAATGTATATTTACAATTACAAATCTTATGTTTCTAAAGAACCTACTTTTTGAATAAACTAATTACATCAATTTTTTGATTTGTATTTACTCAAAATCAAGATCAATCCCTGACTTATTTTTCAAAAGTATATTAATTAAGGAGTAGCTACAAAATGAAATAGAATATGGAAATTGATGCGATAAAAACAAGTGATTAGATATATTAGTTCTTAATAAAATCAGAATGAATTAAATGGACTCATTATGGGTTTTAATAATCTCCCAATTCTATTTCACTTCTTTCATCATAGAAATTGACGATATTTCTTTGTATTTCCCAATTGTGATTGTTCAAATACTTTTTATTCTTATGATAAAACACGTAGTATATTCCTAAACAAGGTAATTAGTATGAGACTATAGTGACAGCAATATAAACAAGAATTTCAGTAATGGTGGTCTTTTGGAGACAGAATGTAGGGTTGAGTTGATCAAACATTGTGTAATCATATAGTAGCATCACAACAGAGGAGTTGATACAGCAAAGGATAAAGACTATCACTTAAACCTTCCTATTTTATAATTCGTCCATCATTATTTTATGCAAACCATCGAACATATGTTGATTGCTTGAATCTTGACAGTATTTGTAAATCTGAATCAGTATTTTAAGTCCGAAATATAATTAAATGATGTTTGTTAATAGGAGCAATCCTGAAAGTAACATCCAGATTTATTGATCACATTAAAAGTGTGATTTCAAGCCTTCCAGAAACACAATGAATCCGGAGACAGAAAGAAGTATCAATGAAATTAGCTTGGAGATCTTATCGACGATTTTCTGATAAACTATATAATGTTGAAATTTACTAAGCATTGCTCATTGTCGCTATCCAATTTGATTAAACAATTCAACAGCATTAAATCTTAAAGCATTCTGAGGATGCGCAATCCACTTAGGAATAGTGTATACTATTTAATTAAGAATGCCAATAACAACAACTCTAAATTTCAAAATTTAGTACATTGAAATGCTGCAATGAAGAAGACTAGCTTATCCGTTGAGTCTAAAATATCATTCACATCTTTCATGATCTTTCTGAATGCAATTGTCATAGAGAACAATAAAATAACAGATGTTGTAATCAATAGAATCTAGGAGAATAAGGAATACAAACTATCCATCATTATTATTAATTATTTATTAATAGAAGATTATAATTTATCTTTTTATAAATGATTAATAAAAATCACTTAATCGTATGTCATCTCTTCAAATTGATGTGCATCTTGCCCACCAATTAGGCATGTTCGGTGTGGTTTAAGGAACATTCCTAACCATGTATTTCCTTGCCTCATTCCAAACTTACATCAGTAAACCAAAAGGCAATGCCAGCATTGAATGTTAGAATATGATATCTCTGGTCTGGAAAGCTATGTTAATGTTTTCAATATAAGTAAGTGACATGACTAAGATGATCAAAGTCATAAATCCAAAATGCATAAATACATTGTTGAAACCTTAGAAGATACCAGCAGATTTATGGGTCTTCAAAGATTGGTAATTGCACATTTATGTGTAAGCAAGGCCAACAAAGTAAGCAGTTTATGCATATTGCAAGGCCTCAGTAGTGTAGCACACAGGTTTATCGCTTATTGGAGATATCTAATTCACTTTGCATTCTCCCCAAACAACACTCTATTCCCATTTGTTAGTTTCAGTGTTGCATTACAAAAAATACATTCTTAAATCTACATTATTATTTTTAGAAAATAACCAATCGATTGGTTCAAAATTACCTTCATCATCTGAAGTACATATTTTGCTAACAGTCTCAGGCTACTCAGAAACTCTATTATTATAATTATCTCGAAGATTGGAATTTCCAAAGAAGGGATCCAGTGGATCATAAATATCAGTTGATCTTGGAATTACACCATTTTTGGCCAGCATTCCAATTAAGGAGTCTGATGGAAAACCAAAGTCATAGAAAACAACAAAGTAGGCTAAGAAACATCCACAAAGTTGAATAAATCCATGTTAAGCATAAGCAAAGACTATGCTTTTAGGTGTAATTAAATTTTCTTATTTGTTTCTAGGCCTTCTTGTCATTATGTCTAATTCAGCTTCTTCATACACAAAAGCAGTGCTTGGAATAATGCCAGTACCCACATCAATACATAAAATTAGTACTGTTGTTAAAGGCAAGGGTATATTCAAAATAAAGTAAGCAAATATAGGAATAACCTCGACAATGTTACCTGTCAATACAAATACAATAGTCTTTTTGAGATTATCAATAATCTTTCTTCCTTCTTCTATACCAATAACAATATTTGAGAAATCATCATTGAGTAAGATCATATCAGCTGCATCTTTGGCAACATCGGATCCAGTTATACCCATAGAGATACCAATATCTGCTTTCTTTATAGCTGGAGAATCATTAACTCCATCCCCTGTTACAGCCACAATGTGTCCTTTCTTTTGACAACCATCAACTATAATCAATTTTTAAGCTGGACTTGTTCTAGCAAAAACAACTTGGGATTTACTAAGCCATTCCTAAAGTGGTCTTCCCTATTCTTATTCTGGTTTGCCCTCATCATCAATCATCATTTTGGTCAATAAATCTCCATGAATTACAATAGCATTTGATCTATGGAATGCTTCTTCAAAAGTAATTCCTTCATCTTCAGCAATTTCATTGACTGTTTTTTCAGTGATGATATTACACTATTTGGCTATTGATGCAGCAGTTACAGGTTGATCTCCAGTCACCATAATTACCTAAACTCCTGCTGTCTTACATTTTATGACAGAATCAGGGACAGAGTCTTTGGGAGGATCGATTAATGAGAACAATCCTAAAAATTATTATTTATCCCAAGGGAAATTCATCTTATCTAGATTGAATGGATAACCTCTGGGATATGCTGTTTTTGGTAAATGGACTTTAGCAAAACCGAGAACTCTTTCTCCATTTTTACCAAATTACTTGTTTATAGATTAAAATGCTTATTCCCAAGTCTCATCTTTTTTTTACTCTTATCCATCATTATTTACTGTTGTGCATAATCCCCATATCCTTTCAGGTGCTCCTTTTGTCATCAAACAATAAAATGATTCATCAGTTTCATATTCAAGAATAACAAAGGCATATTTATTTGTTGAATTAAATGGCATTCTTGCATTTTTACCATCAATATCTATAGCTAACTTTTTGCTGTTTCTAGTTTCTTAAATGTCTTTAATTGGCTATAAGAATTTGATCAAAGCACTCTCGGATGCATCACCTATTGTAGGTCTTTCCAACCAAGTCATAGACTACAATTTAATATCCCAATCTTGAGTAGCCAATTATATTTTCTATTCTTTTTGTTATGGGTTTAAGACTTTATCATTTTGAATCTTCATTCTTATTTCCTAAGGCAATGATGGATCAAAAATAGCTTCAGAACAAAATGATGCACATTCAAAGAGATCCTAAAATCCTTTACTTTTCAAATCATATTCATAATTATATTTCTTGCCAAACTTCTAATAATTTAATCCTTTAACTTTCTTGTTGTTATACCACAAATGTTCTACTGTCATCTTATTCTAAGTCAAAGTACCAGTCTTATCAGAACAAATGCAAGAAGTTGATCCCAAAGTTTCAACACACTCTAAATTTTTAACCAACACTTTCTGCTGAGCTAATCTTTTTGCTGTTAAGCTCAATGCCACTGTGACTGTTGCAATCAAGCCTTCTGGTACATATCCAACAGCAATACCCATCATCAAAATAATATTTTACAATGCAGGGTATCCATATGACATACCTAATATGAAAAACACTATTCCGCAGAGTAAAGCTATTATTGCAATCATTTTAACAAAGAGGTTGATTTATTTTCTTAAAACAGACTCTTCATCTCCTGATGACATTGCCAATCCTGCAATTTAACCTATCACTGTATTATCACCAGTAAAAACAACTATTCCTCTTCCATTACCCTATTGAGAATAATATTAATATATACTTCTTTACACAAGGTACCAAAGAATACAAGATTCTTTGTTTCCAAGGGATTTTCAGGATGACTGCATTCAGGAGTCCTTTGTAATAAAAGAGTTTCTCCAGTCAAACTTGAATTGTCTACCTTCATTCCATTACTCTCTATTATTCTGATATCTGCAGGAATTCGCTTTCCAAACTCTACAACCACCAAATCTCCTGGGACCAAATTTTCAGCTGGAATTTTCATTTATTTTCCATTTCTCACTACCTATGTTTCAGGAGGAATAAAGTTTTTGAATGCCTCCATTAATGCTGCTGACTTCTGATTTTGAAAGTATGCCATAACCCCAGTAACAGACACCACAAATGCTAGTACTAAGGCTAAATACAAATTTGAAGGATCTTCTGGTGTTAATCCATATGCTATGAATGACAATCCTGATCCTGTCCACATCATGCAGGCGAATACGGATGTCAATTCGTGTAACAATTTCAAATACCAAGGTACTTGCTTTTTCTCGGTCAATTAATTTTTTCCATGTACTCCTAATCTTTTATCTGCCTCTTATTGTTCGAGTCCATTCACAACATTAGTTTACAATTTATTTTCCAGCTCCTACAATGTAATTCTATGCTCATCCTAACATTTTAATAATAATTAGTTACCATTGATTTAAATTTTTCCTATTTTCCCGAAGATTCAGGCTTTTTCTCCACTTTTGGCACTCCTTTTATTTTCCCATATATTTCCTCTCTCCTTTGCTTCAATTCCTTGGTCATCTCATCAAATTAACGTTTAGCAACAATCAACTCCATCTCTTATCTAAGTCATATTCGTAATTTTTACTATGCTTATGTGAACATGGTCACAATCTGAGATGCGGATCTACTCCAAGCTTTTTTCATCAATTAAATAATATAATATCTAATGCAAACAAATATCTTACAATATAAAGGGCTGTTTTCTAAAAATAGAAATATTTATTCAACAGATATATAATTATAATTAGAATCAATTATTAATTATTATTAAGAATTTCTCGTTTTTATATTTTATTTAGCTAGCATTATATTGAGAATTACATAATTTCATAATATCAGGTAATAAACTGTTTATTTTCCTTTAATTAACTAATTTAAACGGAACGGTAAGCTCTTTTACTATTCAATAAGGCATTGCTATTCTGAAAATCCTCCTAATTCTTTTCTTTACTAAATGTCCTAAGAAAACGAGATTAATTACTATTGTCTCCTCCTGTAAGACAAATAAATAGTCCTCTACTTAATAGAAAATTTATAATATTATATTACTTTCGGCTTTTATTATTGATTAATTAATAATCAAATGAAATTTTCCTCAGGATCAAATAGACTAATAAATAGTAAAAGAACTCGAACATCCTTAACGATTATTCAAGATATGACCATGCCGGCCAATCATAATAGAAAATCATCAATCTAGCCTATAGAACTCAATAAACACGAAATTTGTTAGTATTAAGATAAAATTTATTTTTCTACTCGACAAGTCTCTCCAAAAAAACCTGCAAACCAGAAAAGTAACAAAAAAATTAAATGAAAGGCTTGGGCGAAACCCTGTTGAAATCTACATCTCAAAAATTATTAAAAACTACATAGAAAGAGTTTCAAGAAAGTAACCATATAAAAGATGGAGATACATATAAGATGATATCTCCCAAGGTGGTATTCAAAGATGATAAAGTCAACGTGTATTTTGTTAAGGAATTCAACAAATTCACCCAGCAAATTGAAACAAGAACATTAACCTAGGATTAGGGTAATAGAGAACAAACAATACAGGAAGTAACCAATTAGAGAGTTTCAATCAAAGGACCCATGGGAGGCAATTCAAATTAAATACAGGCAAGAATTTCTTAGGGCATTTTGAGTGACCCTAAAAACTTATTTGCAGGGTCAAGTAAAAAGATCAAACTCGAAAAGAGCGAAACCTTTAATACTAATGTCAAGTCTAACTTATGTAAATTATTGAAATTATATCAATGACTATATTCATTTACTTATCATTAATACTGTATATCTGATTCCCTTTTTGGCTACACAAACTAAATTATTATTAACATAAGGAACTCGACTATTAAAGTCATACCTTTAGATATTGAGGATTCAATTACCCACAAATCACAGCCCATTTCCCAGTATGCTTCGACTCCACGCATTCTGTAATATACTCCACTTGAGCGGATAGGTTTTTCTAAGTTTGTTAAGCATTTTAAATTCTCTATTTAATATAACTAGTACATTCCCAAAATTGAATCAAAAACAGCTTAGTTCATTCCCAAATCCCTTTGTATAATTTCAAATTCTGAATCACCCTGAGTTCTAACAATTTCTATTTAATCGTTTTGATAGCTAAGTCTTAACAATTATGACAAATAGTAGGTTCCACAACTTGTGAATTATTTTCCTATTGTTACTCTCCAACATCCCCCATACCTTTCATCCAAATAATCGGAGATATATTTCGATCTGTCGAACTGGTTATTGAATCTTTCATAAGCACCCTTAACTATGTTGGATATTTCGAATTCTAATTTTGCATCAATGCCTGAATCCACTTTGACGATCTAAAACATAATTTTGAATAAAATAATAGTTAAATTAGAATAATTAATTTTGAAAGAATATCAATTATTAGGTTGATAATTATTGCCAAAAAGTGGCACTTCCTTGTTAGCTTCTTCTAAATGACTCTAAGTTCTAATGTTATTTATTAAATAAGATATACTAGACAGACTGTGTCTTTTTATGTCCCTGTCTTGTAGATTTCTCTTAACTAGTTGGTTTGGGATGAATGTTGCTTCTTTGGCTTTTTAGAAAGTTATCTCTAAAAGTGCTAGAAAACATAGAATGATCAGTATGCTATTATTATTTCGAGGCAGGCATCATTATCTTTCTTTATTGAGAATCAAAAAAATCATTCTTTGTTTCAGGCATTGACTTCTTCTCCTCCTCCTTCCGTAATATTTATATTTAGGCTGGAATGTTTCGTGTTTTCTTGAAAAAAATGAGATTGGCCTTGTATTATTTTTTTACAGATTTCTCGCAAAACTTCAGTTATATATTTTACATCAAGTAATCAGAGGAATGATTTCTTATATGTTGATTCTTTTTGCTCTCCTAAAATTTCCTTTTTGTTTGATAATCACTTCTCAAGAAATGTCTTCCCTGTCCTAACAATTTTACTGCTTTTGGATCCAATTGAACTTCTGGAAACTTGTTGATATTTTTAACAGAACTCGAATAACTCAGCTTAGCAGTAGAATACATATTTTGTTAGGTCTTTATTTCCGATTCTTCTCCATATGGTTTAAATATCTTTGAATGGATGGGTTGCTTTATCGTTTCATTTTTATATTTTAACAATGAAGTCAAACTCCGATCAGCCAATTTAGGAATGTACCCTTTTGAAGGCTTATGAGCGAGTGGAGATGCAAAAATATCGTATTTTAGAAGTCTTACATCCATTTTATGAGATTAAATAATTATTTTATATTCAGAATATATAATCTAACACAGTATCCAGACTTATCTTCTTGCTATTTTTAGCTTTCAGTTGTTTTTTCAATTTTCGATATATTCGTTCTCTCTCATCGTAATTTTGGGCTTCAAGAATGAATTCTAAAATTTGTCTAAGACTTAAAAAGGCATTTTTACTTTTCCTACTTGCGGTGCTTCTCCACCTGCTCATAATCAGAAATATAAGATGTATAGCGATGTATCTCCTAATAAACTGCCAATGCTAGTAAAATCACAAAAATAACTAAATCCATGAACGACTTAATCTCCTTTTGGATTAGTTGGCTCACTATTATGTAAATTATTTTAAAAGGCAGGCTTTCTAAATTGGCTTAGTAGATAAAAAACTCAATAAATATCCCATATTCTGTTTATTGAGGCCTTGGAAACATAATCCCAACTATAATGACAATAGTATTTTATAGAAAATAGAGCAGTTCAGATTCAAAGGATCTGTAGAGAAAAGGTTTTGTTGAGATTAATACCATTATCAATATGGGACAAAAGATCAATTATTCTATGATTTTTGGGATGTCAGATCTTGGGTTATTAGTAACAAATACATATTTTTATCCTGAAGGCTTTGCAAAAAATTCAGAACATAAAATCCAAAGAGCCATAATGCAAAATGAGAATAATTCCTCTTCTAAGTAAACATTTTGTAATCTGAGTATAAACGATTAAATGATTTTGATAAATATTCTTATTTAAATTCAAACCCGAACATTTCCACTGTTGTTTTCAATAATTAATTCCATTAAGCATCAATCTCCTTTTCTTCCATAAAATGGATATAAAATAAAAATAAATAATAAAATTTTGAGTCTAAAAAACATAATTTCATTCAATAATAATTCTAACATTATGTATCATTATTTATCATCAAGCAGAATAGCTTCTTAATTACAATTATTAATTTTTTAAAAGTTGAAAATGTTGAGAATGTAAATTGATTTTTTTTGAATATTAATCAACAACTAAATTGTTTAAGTAAGTAATAATCAACCTTAATTTCTTATATTATAAAGAAGCAATTAACTCAATGATATTTATAAAGTTAAAAAACATTTTAAAAATAAATTTATCATATAAATGAGGCGAACCTCAGATACATCAATAGCTATATCAAATGATAATAAAAAAATTTCGAATTCTTAAAGCTAATCAAAGCACAATCCTAGACTGAAAGAATACACCACTAATTTGATTTAATTTAAGAAAGATAATTTATCAATAGTAGAAGAGAATTATGAACCAAGTTTAGGAATTAGCTTTTTAGTATGCATTTTTAATACTATATATTAGGATCGTAAAGAAAGTGATAAGAATAAAAATAAAACAGAATTACCTGATGCTATTTATAACATTGGTTAAGCTACATCTAGAGTGTTGGCGACTCCCTTAGATGAATTAGAAGCATTTAAAAATTCAAGTAAGAACTATGTTAAAAGTGGTTTGAATTTAATCCGTCTAGTCTCAAAATTCATCCGATAATTAAAAATTCATTCATAAACCTATTAGTATAAAATGATAAACGAAAACATTTTATAATTACTCGGAGATTAGGCTTCCAACACATAATTGTTTATATTTTTAAGAAATAGATACTTTAATTAAAATCAAAGGCAAAAGCTAGATTCTAATTGTGTGTAATTAGAATTTCTTTTAAATAAGTTACCTATTCTCAACCCTGATAATATGATGTTAACAGGGTTTAAGATTATACTGTTTTGCTTACTTATAGTCAATATAACTTACATTCCCCTTTTATTATTTTTATACGAATAAGATTTTCATAAGTAGGGTATACATCATCTACTTGATACGCTTCCAGTAGTTTTTTGTATGCTAGATTGTATTTTAAGATTCATCACATCATTTTATGATGAAGGTTTATAATGATAATATTCTAGGAATTTTATACAGGGATTTAGGTAGAATAGCCAAGCATTACTTAAAAAATGATTTCATAGTAGATATTGTAAGTATTATTCCTATATTTACTGATAGTCTAGTAATTCAATATTTGACTATTTTCAGGATAATAAAATTAAAATTAACATTAGCAACTCTAGAAGAAATCCTTTGCTTAAAGTAATAAATATAGGGTTGGTGGGAATTAATAAAATCAGTGTTTTTTATCGTTTACACTTGTCATTTTTTTGCTTGTATTTGGTATTAAATTGGAGAATAAGGAATTAAAAATCAGACTAATAGTTGGTTAATTGTGAAGGAATTAAACAACTCCACCTGGCAAGAGTAATATTTCTTTTCTCTTTACTTTATAGTTGTCACAACTCTAACTATCGGTTATGGTGATATCCTCCCTTGCACTGTATCAGAGGCTTTATTTACTATTTTTATTGCTTTTACTGGGTGCAGCGTTTTAGGGTACACAATTAATAATATTGGTGAGATATTCAAGAATCTAAATGAAAGGGAGGTTAAGTTTAAATAATAGATGAAGAGTATTCTCCAATATCTTAAGGATTATAAGATTAATACGAATTTATCATTGCAAATAAGGAAATACTTTGAATATCACCTCAAATAGCAAATTGAAAATAATAATGAAGGGTAACAAATGATAAATCAATTGTCAAGATAATTAAGAGAGCAGATGTAAATTGATCTGTACAAAAAGTATTTGATGAAAGCAAAGCTTATTAAAGATTATTGTTCTAGTAGTACAATTGAAAAACTGTGTCAATATATTAAAATAGAAAGCTATGCTCCGGAATCTAAAATCTTGAATCAGAAGACAAGTTGTGAGAAACTATACTATGTGTTAGAAGGGGAATTAGACATCTATATCACTTTGGGTAACAGAGATGTCAGCATATGTAATAGCTTAAAAAAGGATGACATTATTGGACAATGGGAATTTGTGTTGCAAAATCCATATCTATACTCAGTAAAAGCTGTTAAATATACTAAACTATTGGTTATTCATAGAAATGACTTTACCAAGGTATTGAAAGAAAATAAAGAAGATTTTGAGAAATTCAACTAAATTAAAGATAAGCTATTATTTTCTAAAAAGTAAAGAGGCAACAAATGCTTTATATGTGGGTGGATTCATTATTTTAATAAGTGCCCATTTTTATTTTTTATAGCAGACAGGGAAAAAGTATTGTCATAAGCTTTGAATAATAAGGACCAAATTCGAGATCAAAATTAACGATTGAGAAAGTTTGAGAAATCAAGAACCTTTTAGAGATTGAATAACCTAAGACAAGCTGCCCTCGATTTTATATAGGATTCAGAAACAAAGTAATCCTTATTATATATATTTTTAGCGATTTAACTCTACAACATCTAGTTGACCTCGGATTTAATAGGAATGACTCTATTCTCCATGGCAGTGCAGCTTATCTTGATGAATTAATTGAAAAGAAAATCTAAAGCACTTTTAAAGTCATAGAAAATGAAGATGATTCAAATCATTCTTATTTGCAGGCTCCCAAAGTAGTGGCCACTTACAAAAATAGGTCCATAGTATTTGCACCAACTCCTGACAATGATAGTTTCTTAAATCTAAAATTCTAATCACCAGAACAATTCAATCGATAAAACTCTAATACTCTCCAAAGACCCAGAAATCAAACAAGGGAGTTATCTCGCATTAAATAATCATAACCGAAAATCTTATTTAGCACAAACAAAATAGAGTCAAAAATGAATTTCATGAAAAGAAATGATGGAAGTAGTAACTTTTAGAGTCAAATGAGTAGCAATTTCAATAACATTCTAACTACTAATAACAATATCTATCTAAATTAGAATGATAATATAGAAAGTTAATAGGGTTCATCTTAGCATAAAAGTGAATAACCTTCCAGTCTACAACCTCTATAATAATAACCTAATTTAGTTTAAAATAATGCCTTAGAAATTAATTTTGATATCGACAAAACTTAGGTGTTTAGCAATTATTTTAAAGAGGGGAATATATATGAAATTGTAAAAGAGCTGATGGAATTATAATTAAAATAAATCACGTTGAAGTCTCCAAAGATGATGCAAAAAAGCATTATGTTAGGAAGCAATAAAAATCATAAAAGATTTGCACTCTTATAAAAGATACTCAAAAAAGATAGTCTAATGATTTGATAGTCTGATAAATTCATTTTATACTTTTAAAAAAGTAAGTATGTTTGTGATAATAAATATTACCAAAAGAGTCTAATTAAAATCAATCAAAGTAATAGTCATCTCCATTTTATTCTTCTTCCTTCAACCCACTCCCCTTCTCTTTGATCTCCTAACTCTGAAATCATAATGCCATGTCCATGTTATTTTCCTTGCTTCCACATCCCCCTATAGCTACTACCATTTTCAAAAATGAATTCTCCTAAACCTTCCTTCAAATCCAAATGATACTAAATTATTTAATATATCTAAATACGTTCCCTGTATACTTTCGTCCATTAGGCCAAGAAAAGGTCCCTTTGCCATGCATCTAGTTATTCATCCAACCGCCTTCATACTAAAATATTAAATTACATTGATTACTTTCCTTCCATCCGCATATATAAAAATACCAAAACCTTCAAACTTGTTTTTCTGAAATTCTCCCATATACTTATTTCCATCTACATATATGATCTCTCCATATCCAGTCCTGTATCCCTGTTTATAAGCTCCTTTGTATTAGAATTACTCATTGATCTCGTGACCTTCTCCATGGAACAATGATTACTTCCATTCTCCTTTATAGACAAATCCATACGAATCTTAAAATTCACCATAACCATCATATTCATTATCATCAAAATTTCCTTCATATCTACATAATTTTATTTCAATTACACACTTCCATCACAACTAATCTATCTTCCCTTCCCTTGTTTTACATTTTGCTTAAATGTTCCTTCATATAAGGAACCATCCTAATCAATTTATCTTCCAAACCCTTCTTTTTATTAATTCACAAAATCTCCTTGATAATAGCATCCATCATCTAATAGATAGCATGAGTATGTCAATTATTTGAGAGGTGCTAACTCTTTTAATTTGTTTTGCACAGCTTAAAGCAAAATTTAGGGCCACTCTACTTTTTACGCATCTTTTGGGATTATTTCGATAATCTAAACTATTTATTCATTTGCAGGCGATTAGAGTTATATGACAGGTGTGGCTGAAACCTCTGATTTTTATTTTTATTTGGTTTTTGAAAGGTAACCTTGAAATTAAATCATCCATTACGTCTGATACTGGTTTATATTTTCACAATTTTCGTTTCATCTAAAGAAGCTTCTTCAGTTGGAATCAACGGAATAATAGGTTAAATATTGAACCTTGCAACGTCCTAATTTTTACAGCATGCTATTCCCATTCAATATATAAAAATAATATTGTTAATAAACAAGACAGATTATAATTTTATTGGATAACCATTTATTAATAATTTCTCTTTTCCTATTGAAGTAAAATTAAAATTGTTAATTTTATAATTGAATTCATTTCTAAATACAATTTCCATTATAATTATTTGTAGGTGAATTATTTATTTCTTCAAATTAATCATAAAATATTATCATATCAAAACGTTTATATTTTCATTACCAATATTGATCTGTATTTTATTTAATATTCATGGATCAAAACTTCTAAATAGTTTGATAATACATTAATTTAATTAATCTATTTAAATGATAAAAATCATTATTTACTTTGATTAATTGAGTAACACACTCTCACACTATTTCAATATTACTGAATAAATCAATCTAAGAGCAGAAACTTCAAATATATCAACCTAAATAATTAATTATGAACATATAATTCATTTTGAGAATTGGTATAGTATTATTAATTATTTAGATGATTTATATTAATTAATTGAAGTGAGGAAATATAATATAATTTTCTAAATTATACAAAAATTAATATTGATTCAATATATGCAGTAGTATGCTAATTAATAAACTTGAATATGAGTTCAACACTGTTGTTAATTGAGTGATGACTTGTTCATCGATTAGTTAACTTTGTTATTATAATGGAGTATGCATAAACTTTCATTCTAGTTGAGATTAGATTTCTCATGAAGCATTTTGAAAAAATTTTTTTTATTTACAATCAAAACAAAGATCTTTGAGGTTAAAAAGCCTGACTGTAAATTCATTTTAGCATTAGCAACTTGTTCTTTAAAACAATAGAAAGATTAATATTACAAATACCATTGTTAATAGAAATAAATTCATCAATTTTTGGAATAGTTGGAGGATTTGCAGGGTATTCCAATAATTTTATCAATAAAAAAAAAATAAAGCAATCATAACAATATATGTAGTTTGTTAGTTTATTCTGTATATATTCCAATAAAAAGTCTTTTATTAATAATAAATATATATGTATTAAGAAATTATCCTAATAAAATAGAATAAACCAACCAAATTCTGATTCTTCGATTAAAAAGCTGTGATTCATTTAATAAAAATACAAAGGAAAAAAGAATGGAGAATATGAGTAGAATAATGGTTCTTTAAAAATTACTGAAAATTTCTATATCGATTTATTAATCGTATGTTTTGTACAATTCTAAGCGAAAGTAAGTCAGATATAATTAGTAAAAAAAATTTCTTTGAAAATCATTAATACTAATAAAAAATAAAATAATAGCAAATAAAAAATATCCTGATCAAAGGTTTCCTTAAATCGTTTATTTGAACAACCAGAGTATATGTAGGAATAAGATTAATAGATTTTTTCCCTACAACTTATAGTATATTTATAAATTTACATTAAAAAATGTAAATTTCACAATTATGAAAAATGGAGATTAAACCAAAAAATTGAAAAACAATTAGATTATCAAATTACAAATAGTTTTAAATAAGAATTAGCATGGAATCAACTAGATAGATAACCAGAGACCAAAGCGAAATTGAGAAATTAAATAAAAGACATACAAGGAAAAATAGGTTTGAAAAATTGATTCAGTTAATAATTTATGCTGTCTCATGAATATAGGTTTTAAAATAAAATCAACCTTATATTTTCAATATCAAATTTTTTGATTAACCGATTTTTCTATTATTTCATTTATATATTATGAATTTCTAATCAAGGATTTAATTTATTAGTTTTTAATTATTAACTCCAATTTTATTAGAGAGCTATTGTTTATATTAGTTGAAATATTAAATTGCAGTACTTCTTCATCCATGGACTTTATATGATGTTATTGAGGGATACTATTTAATAGACAACAGAGGATCTTATTTTTATTGGTTATAATGATTGGATCTTTTCATTATATTAACTTATCAATTAATAAAAAGTGTAGATTGAGTTTTTAGCAGTGTCGTTGAATAGATAATGATAATATTTTAATATTATTTTGGGAATTAGGATTTTATTTTAAAAGGTAGATTAAATATTATAAAGGCAACTATTACATAAAAATTACATATATATTATTTTAATTTGGATCTATGAATTCAAAGAAAAATACTCAGAATGATTGCAATTTGTCATTAGAATCTAACATTTAAGTAGTTATGAGGATAATTTTAGATAAACATTGATAGTGCTGAAAACGATGCATTTTCAAAGATTGAATATATGTATGTAGCCCAAAGATTTAATGTTTTTACAGCTTCATCTCATTGTGACAATCAAAATGTTTACTTTATTTATGCTATGGATAATTTCAGCACAGATATTGAGAAGAAAAAATCAAAGCCGTGCTTTAAAGCGAATGCAGAAACGGAATGCTATTAGAGAATTTCATTGCCAAGCTCTTGTAGATCATTTAATATGGAGGTCAAACAAAACTTAAGTTCAACTAATCAAAAATTACTGTTTACGCTAAACAGGAATTATAAGTGCACTTGCTTATGTGTGAATAGGTAAACATAAATTCAATGATATAAGACCTGATATCAAGGTGACAGGGTCATCGGGTAACACAATCGGATATGTTAGATCCTCTTTATTTTCAATATAAAAAACAGTTGAGATATTTGATGCAAATAATAATTTGTTATTTAATATAAAAGGTATTTGGAATTAATTCTAAACATACTGTTATCTACCTTGTGGTTTTTGTTAAACAATTTCTTTTGATATCCTTAATAGATTCAATAAAGTAATAAATTATATATTTAGAAAATAGCTGAGATAAAGAAGATCGGCTAAAAGAAGGGATGTTGTTATCAATGCATGTTGAATGTAGAATCGGAATACGCAGTGCAATTTCCTAAATTATCATCTTTCGATGAAAAAGCTCTTATTCTCTCAGCGGTATTCTTTTTGGATTACAACTATTATGAAGAAAGATATAGTGACATGTGCTGTTTATGCTTGTAAAAGTGTTGCTGCTCCTAATGTATTGAATGATGTGTATACATTATATTTTAATAATATTGGATTTTAATCTATTGACCAAAGAATTGAGGATCTTTTTAGCTTATTCTTTTTTGCATATCAAATGTAATACATTCCAGTTCTGCTTTTGGTTTATGAATTTAGATTTGAAAAAGTCAGGCTACTTATGTTGTAACGATTGTTAAATAATTTATTATTCGTTATTTAAATAATAAATGAAGTTCTGGTATTTAAGTGTAATAACTTTATTATTCATCATTGGATGTATTATAAGTAAACAATCAAGATATATTATAAGAACATATATGAAATATTATAATATTAATTTTTAAAATGCATGCAAAAGAAGAAATAGAAATGAATGAGTTCTAAATTGAAGATCCATAAGAACTATCAATAGAAGAATAGATCTCAGAAAAAATGAAACCTGCCATTTCAAATTCAGAAATAAAAGCAATCATAAGGTTTACTGTATTGTATTTTGTTATTGGAATACCGGCTGGATTTTATTCCTCATTGACCCTCCTACTATAGGGAAGCGGTATTTCATCTGGTTAAATGGGTAAAAGAATTAATTATATATTAGCTTTTTGGGTTACTAGTTTTTATCCACTGTCTTTCAAGTTGATCTTGGCTCCATTTCTTGATAGTTTCTATGTAGCCAAATTTGGAAAGAGAAAAACTTATGTGATACCATCTTTGTATATGGTTGGCCTCACATTTCTAACTTTGGCATACAGTGGATACTCATAATGGATTGAAGACCTAAATTTGTATCCTTTGTTTGGATTGACCATATTGCTCACAGTCTTGCAAGCATGTGCAACGATAGCAACTAATGGTTGGGTTCTATCGTCTTTTTCTAAACATTATGTTCATTTAGGAGCAACTTGTTAAATGGTTGGGTTGTCATTAGGGTATGTGTTTAGTTATGCTATTTTGATGAATATCACATCCCCATATTTTTGTCATTAGTATTTGGGTTTAGACTAACCCATCATATCGTTAAACTCATACACCTACATACTAGGATCATTAATCTTATTCATTGCTATCCTAACACAATGCTTGGTTACTGAAGATCATGTGGAAGAAGAAAAGACGAATTTTATGTAAGTTTTAAAATTATCCTTTTCATTGTTAAGCAATTCAAATTTAAGATTTTTATTACTCTTTTTATTAACAAGAAGATTTGCATTTGCACCTGTAATAGCTTCGACTTCATTAAACTTAATTTAAATGGGTTTTCCATAATCTGAATATGCAACTATTGAAGCAATATGCACAACATCTTGGATATTGAGTTCTTTATTGGTTGGTAAATACTTACAAAGAGGCAAAGAAATGACCTGGGTTTTAAATGCTTATTATTTCATGTTTGTAGTAATGGGTGCTCATTTCGTTTATGTGATTAGCTTCATTAAAATGGGAGGTTACAACAATTTTACTTAAACTCTTTATGTAAAACATGCAATATAAGTTAGTTTGTCTTATAATATTTATATGAATTCAACAATTCCTTTATTTCCTGTGCATTGTCTGGGTTTTTTTTGAGAATTGCTGATCCTGCAATCGGAGGAACCTATGCTACTCTATTATTTAGCAGTTATTTGTTTGGAACCCAGTTTTCAGCAAGTGTTTCATTATTTTTGTTGCATTTACTTCCTTATAAGACTGTTGTGCTGTTGGGATGGTTGTATGGATTGATTTACTTTACGGTTATCAAAGATAAATTAATTAAATTACAATAGTAAACATATCATTTATAATTAAAAATAGTTTCGATTTAAAATCCTGGAAGGTCATGTGAGTATAAAATAATAAAATAAATAAAAAAATGATAATAGTATTTTTTATATATAAAACTATGTAATTAATAATACTAAGGTATATGAAGAGCTAAATTATACGCTATTCTTGTAAATGAAATTAAATTAAAATGTATTAAATTGATTTCTGAAAAAAAATTAATTATTAGTTCATTAAAACACTATAACAAATATGTATATATATAATTTGTATATATTCAAATATCGTATTCATTCATATTTTTTATTAATTAAAAACTTAATCGAGTATGGGATTTGAAGAATTGTTGCTAACCATTTTAGGATATATTAAAGTTGATAATAACAGTGCTGATACAATTATTCCGAAAATCAATAGCTTTTTGTACTTTTAATTTATCTAATTCGATGTTTGATTTTCAAATAATAAACTTGTCTTTATTTAGTAATAAATTTTCTTGATAAAATTAATGATAATATGCCATAACCATTTATTTCCTGAATACAATCTTCCTAGCAAGGCTAATCCGCTGATGCTATACAAACTTCTATTATCATAATTACCCCAAATTATATAATCCTTGAGTATTCATTTCTATCATCCTGGCTATTTCACAAAGACTATTAACAACGAAACCAACACTATCCAAATATTCCAAAGCCTGCATCATTTTGCTACCCTACTACATTCCTGCTCCCATTCCCATTCCGAATCTATTCATTCCTAATTTCAATATAATTCACTTACCATAGCCTCCCATACCATAGCCCATGCCCATTCCCATGCCTAATCCTCCATATCCACTACTATATCCTCCATATCCACCGTATCCACCCATACCGCCGTATCCACCCATACCACCATATCCTCCGCCATAACTGCTTAGACCTCCATAGCCAAGTCCTGTGGTGGAGTTTAAATTGTTATTTAATGAACTAATGGATATTGTTTAAATTTAATACGAGGTCTGGTTATTTGTTCCTTAAGTGGCTGCTAGAGCAGAAACCTGCGCAGCCTGTTCTTGAGTCATTTCTCCAATGCCAGTATCTTAAATCTGTAAATCAGGAGATTTGTTTATGGTCTGGTTCTATTATAATTCTTAAGTTATTGCTGTTGCTTTTTAAACTCCTTTTAGATTAATTGATCTTATTACTTTATTAACTTTCCCAAGGTTTAGGTGGCATAATAATTGACTAATATTTAATTAAAAAATAAATATATTATTAGTATTCATCCATTCAATTTGTCGACGATATCACAAAGCAATTCAGAAGTCTCTCTTACTTGTTTAGGGATGTAATTCATATAGCCTAGCTTTTATTCGATGCATTTTAGTTCTAGATGGGGTTAGAATTTCTTCATCGCCAATGATTCAATTGATAAGGAGTGATTTTGTTCATGAATTCCAAGTTATCCTTTCAATTTACTAATTTCACTTTGTTCAACTCTAATCTTATGATTATTAAATAACAATATACATTGTCACTCATCCTATTGATGGCTTTCAATTGATTTTATAGTAATAATTGTTTAATCGAATCAGTCATATAGATTAAGTCTTCCATTAAAGATAAATCGAATTTTTCTATTACTCTTTATTCCCCATTTATGAATTGCACATCTTTGATGCAACATAATCGAGATATCTCTGAGAAATCATGCAATTCCTCTGTTTATGGCTTAATTAATATTCTATAAAGATTTTTTTTGATGCCAATCAAATTTTTAACAACTTAAAAAAGCTTTCTTTAATTATTCAAATAATCCTAAGAATGTTAAATGTTTTTACTTTTAATTAATGAAGGTTGTGGATTAAATTGTAGAGCTGCTCAGTAAACTTTTTATATTAATAAGCATTTGGATTATGGACTGTTTCCAATAAGCTAACCTTCTTCCTTTTATTGGCTGACTCCTTAATTGATTTAACTCTTTGTAAGATCATTCTGTTTTCTGTCGATTACGGAATCGCTTCTCATCATATTGATAAAATACTTCTTGGCGATTTCAAAGCACTCATGGAGTTCAAATGGTTTAAATAACATTATAGACTATGATTTTCTTCATATCTAATAGGTTTTGGAGTGATAAAACTATTTTATTTATTTCTAGGACTAATTTTTATGCTCTATGCTCTTTAAGGGCTTAAATTTATGGTCCTGTTTTAAGGAGATGCTAAACGATTAAATGGAGAAGAGGTATCAACTCTTTAAGGGACATGAGTTGACTTTTACCTATTTTGGTAAGTAAGAGTTTCTTGATGTTTAAAAATTGGAAAAACTATGTTATTCTTTAAAATTAAACTCATTTAAATATATATTCATTAATTGCAATATTTTCGAGATAATCACTTCATTCAAATTTATCATTCCACTCATAAGAATTTATATTATTGCCTAGTAATTTCCACTCCCACTCAAATTTTATGAAAATAATTCTAGCTTTTTATCTAAATCTGTGACATTTCTTAAAGAACCTTAAAATATAATAGTATAATAGTATTAATAAACTAAAGAGCATTATGTAGAATAAATCAATAGATAGAATTTTAGCCCATGATTCTCATAGGGTGAAATGAAAATATGAAATAATTCATAGAGACTTTTGATAAAAAAGATTATAATCATAGGGATGAATTGTTATTTTGAAGATTTAAATAAGACTAAAGAGAAAGTAACAAATATTAATATTGGTATTATAAAAGTGAAAAAACCTTTAATTTTATAGCTAATATTATATATGTTTGGACATTTTGGATTTTTATTGATAAGAAATATGTCAAGTATTTTATTAAGTAAAATAGGATCATTAATTAATTAATCTGGTGTGTATTTTTTTGGATGAGAATAATTAAATTAAATTTACATTAAAAAATAATAAAACAGAAAAAGTTTCAAATATGATAATTATAAATCCAATTATTAAACATTGTGGATATTTAAAAGTTAATATTTGTTAATGATTGTACTTTATGTTTGTTTTTTTAATTATATTCAAATTGATTAATTTATTTACAAAAATGTCTAAAAGCAATTTGATTCTGATTCTTTAACTTGAGAAACAGCTTGAACTATAACTTATGCGCCATGGTATCTAGCATGAAGAAAGTTAAAGGTTATTACTTTAGTATGGTAAGGTTGCAAGTTCTTATGCTGAAATATAATAAAGTGAACAATCAATTGAAATTCTCACCAAAGGTAAATATTCAAGATTACATTCAAAGTTTATAAAAAACTTCTCTCCTTCGGCATATCTGTAATTTCCAATTTGTCAAATTAACATTGGAAGTTAATGATAGTTATTGCTATAAAATTAAGCAAAGCAATGGAAAGCAAGGGTCAGCTATAGTAAGCCTTAAATATTTTGATAGAGCTTGAAATGCTTATTAAAAAAAGTAATAAGAGTCTTGAATGGGCAAACTAAGTCGAACTCTAAGAATTGTATTATATTCTTGCCATTTTTTGGGATAAACTCTAAAATAAAGAAAGAAAGTATTATGCTGCAAATGAATGTATACTATTGATAAAGAGTTAAATCAACAGTAATCACACTAAAAAGCAAATCAATATGTTGATATAGATGTTAGAATTTCAATTATCAACAGTAAATAATAATTATCAACAACTTTCCTTATATGGCGAGATCCACAAGTATTAAAAAGTTTCTCTAGGAGATGAACATTAAAAAACCAAGTAGACTCTCCTCAAAATGTAATAAATAAAGTAATAAATTTTATTCGAAGAAGAATTGGAAGAGCACAGTAAATTAGAATTTAAAAAACCACTCTCCAAATAAGATTCTACAAAACACTTAATTACTGATAAAATGAGATAGTGTCTGTAAGACAACAATAATTTCACATTTAAAAAATTAATTAAACCTTCTTGCTCTAAACATTGTAAAAGAAGAGGTTCATTTTATGAGATAAATAGAAATAATTCATAATCGAAATTATCTATTTAAATTACTCATCAATCCAGAAAAAGCCTTGATGATATCAAAAAATCCAATGATTAAACAACCAAATCAAAATTAAATTCAAGAACAATAAGCCAAGGGGAAAATCAGTTCTACTACTTTCTAAATTGCAATAACTTAGAGTAAATTTAATTCTTACTTTTAGAGATAGAAATAAAACTGATACCACATAATTTCAAACAACAATTGCCAAAAATTAAGATAGACCTATTTTATCAAGTAATATTAATAAAACAATTTAAACTATTTAATCCCAAAAAACTCAAGAATGTTTTGATAATAAAAATGGCAAAACCAGTTAAAATGCTTAGATATTAAATTTATTGATTTAGAGACCGAAATCTGGTGTTAATTAGTAAAATTAAATGAAGAATTCTTAAACTTTGAACTAAGCTAAACCTAGTAAAAGTAAAGGCTCATCATCAAGTATTTTATAAAAAACTGACCCCTTAAAAAAGGTTCTAAAATAGATGAATACTCAAGAATTTAATAATACTAAAAAGAATTAATAAGTGTTAGCTACTGAATTGAGCACCAAAAAATCTAATTAAGTTTAAGATGCAATGCACTAGCTTACTTCTCAAAAATCTATAAATATTTTAGGTATATAGAATTTTATTATAATTTTGCAGGTGAACTTATTTAATAGTAAAATTAAGTTGATTATTTTGAATAAAATTTGGATAAAATAATAAAAATCTAAAAATTCTTTAAATGGAAAATTGATTCAACTAGATTAAGGCTTGATTCAATTAAAATTAACTAAGCACAGTAATACAGCAATGAGGAAAAGATGACAGAAAAGGTTCCAGAGGCAATAACTAGGCCTTAGATTTTTCGAAATTTCATTAAACGTAGTAACACTTCAGCGGTAGAATCCTTAAAATTTATTCATAAAAAAGAAGCATATTTATAACCAAAAATAATTTAAAAATAAAAAGACTGTTCATTTTATAGCCATACAAGCAGTAATTTAATGAATATCAAATCAGAAAGTGAAATAAATTTTAAGTAGTATATAAATATTATATTTAGAGAAAAAAGCCAAGAACAATAAGTTCAATAAACACTTGAAAATCTTAATTTTGGATATGCGTATTAAGTATAAGGAGATTGCAATTTTTTCTGCACTGATTAATCTGATTAAATTTTAAGATTTATAGGGTTCAAGTCAAGATTAATAAATAATGAAACCTTAAATTTCTCTTTTACAATTGAAAAATCAATTAGATCTTATCAAATCTCTTTGCCAATCCAATTTATATCAGAACATTGGAATTCTCAAAGTCAATTTGAAGGCCTATCATTTTGTTTAAATTAATTGTCAGAATTTATAGAATTAAATCTAACAAAAATTCCATTTGCTTCTTCGATCTTAATTTACATGGGTGATAATTTTGATGAAACTTTGACTTAAATTGTGTAATTATTATCAATCATAATGGTTAATATTTGTGAGAGAAAATAAATTAATGGTAAGAAATTATTTTACACAACTCAAATTTAAGCAAAATTAAACAGAAAATTGTTATAATCCTATTATTAAAAATAAAGATAAGAGAAAAGGTAATATTATTTTAAACCTTCAAACTTCGAAACAGAAGATTGTAGCTTGAAAATCAATTTGAGAGTAAGTTAAACCGATCTAAACTTCAAAGATTCAGCTGAATCAGGTTCTTAGAAGTAAGAAAGAAAAGCTTAGAATGGTAGTATAATCTATACTATAAGAACAAATCCTATTATAGAATAGTTGTAAGAATACAAGTCTACAACCAAATTATTATTACTTGAAGAGCCTGAATCATCGTATTTATAAATGCTTGATGTTTCTATTAGGGAACCAGAAATAAATCAATTTACAATAAAAAACCTGAATATTCCTGAAAATTTATTGTCTCCTTAGTATTAGGAGAGAAGACGCTTTAATTCTCGATTATTAACTCAATCCAGAATATAATTTGCTTAAAGAAATTAATATACATTAACTCCTACTGCTTCTCAAAAAAAAAAAACTAACTAATTACTGTTGCCTGAATAAAAATAAAGAAAAATTTTGAGACGACCTTAAACATCTGTTTGTTTGGTTGAAGAAACATCATCAAGTAGATCTTAAGAATCCATACTCTTGTTAAATAATCAGTCTAAAGATCATGAGTTATAATTTCCATCAGTGTCTCAAAGTGCTTCATTAAGTTTTCAACCACCTTTAACTTCGTTTCAGAGAAGGAATATTGCAAATTTATCTTCCTCTTAATAATAATTATTTAATTCAGGTCATATCCTTTTAGATACACAAATGAATTTAATTGGCAATGAAATATTTGAGACTGATGATCTAAAAATTCCAGATATTGCTCTAGAAGAGGAAGATGAAGATGAATTACATTGTAAAATGATGACTGTTTATAAAAAATGTGATTATTTTACTGTGTCACCTTTATGGAAACAAGATAGAGATGTCAAAATATAAAATTTTGATGTTGAATATTTTTGGAATTAAGTTAAATTTGAAAAATAGATATTTAAATCTATTTACAATAACCCTTTTCAATTAAGTGAAATTCTTTTAATTGGAATTTAAAAAATTGATAAATAATATTTTATTATAAGTGTTAGTTAAATTTTAAAGTAGAATATTGAGTTATTCAATCAATAAGTATTAAAAATGAAAGATTTAGTAAAGATTTAAATTACTTATGAATTAATCTTTCCTTTTGATAATGTTTGGAAAGACTCAGCTACAATAACTTTTAAAGAATTTATCAAATGGTTTGTTTCAGATTTCGAGATGTCTTAATACGTTTAATAGTTTGGATTAAGTAAACTATAAAAGATTTCAGTCTTATAATATTTGAGTTAATTTGCCCATATTAAAGATTCAAAATTAAAACTTGAATATTATGAAGAAAGAAAAAAGGAATTTCAATTAAAAAAGATATAAAGGAGGACTTTAGAAATACAAAGGATGGAGGCTATTGAAAATATATTTTTAAGAGACAAAATCGATATAAATTACATTTCAACCTTAGGATTACAAAACTTATATTAAGAATTGTTAAAGGATAGAGAAGCTAAAAACTAAAATTAATAGAGAAGAGATAATAAATATAAGGCATTCTTATAATTAACAGATCCTAGTAAACTGGATCCAATTACATAAATTCCGAAATTTATTGGATTTGACTATGATGGAGAATCTGAAGAATAAACAATATAATTACCTAATTATGAAGAATTGAAAATATTGTAATCATATAATACAATCGTTAATATACATCAGAATAAATCAATATTTAGACATAATTCTACCTATTATATTTGGACTAATGAAAAGTTAAAAATTTGGAGACCATTTCAAAGAAAAATATGGTAACAAATTCAAATAAAGAATTAAGAAAAGTTGCTTAATGCTATTTAAAGCAAACTAAGAAATTATTTTTTAAACTAAATGATCTGTAAAAGCCTAAGTTTGAATGGCAAGAAGTTGTTATAGAAAGAAAAATTGTTATTAGAAAAATATGCAAGCAATCTTAATTTGCTTCAAACTTATTTTTAACTAGAATAATTTACTAATTAATAATTTTATGATTTCCTAAATCTTTTGAATAATGCATTAATTAGTAGTGATCAAACATAAAAATTTTGGGAATCTTAATTTTATCAATATAAGTAATTATCTCATAGTAAAGTTGCTTTATTAGGAGATTGCTTTTTTGAAACCGTAATATTCTTTAATAAACCTTCAAATGTATTAAAATAAAATAAAAGAAGATACATACTGATAAAAGTCAACATATTTTCAAAAGTTAATATGAAAACTAAAATGTATAAATTAGTAATAACACTAGAGGATTTGCAAAATACTCTAAAGAAATCTTACGATATAAATGATTCAAATGTCATCTAAACCTTATTTAATGATGTCTAATAGCTAATGCGTAGGTATGTTCACTACGAGAGATTTTCTAATTCTAGGCGTCCTACAATAATTATTAAAAATATAAAATAGGGTAATACTTAAAAATTTATCAATGTATTGCCTTGGATTACGAATTATGATTATGATAACCTTGATTTAACTCCATATCCTCAAAAATTCTAATTTTTCCATTAACAAATAAAATGTTTTAAATTAATATGCACTACGATAGAGTTTATTAAATTACCATTTAATTTTATAAATAGATATTAGGTTCATTAAAAATCAACTTAAAATAAAGTCCCCAGTATCATAATTATATAGGAAATTTAGGATATGAAGACCTATTATATATAAATTTATATTCCTCAAAGTTGCAGAAGATTCATAAGCACAATTCATTTTAATTAAATACATACACTAAGTGATATGAGCATGGAGTTATGTAAAGATTATGGAAATTCAATTTCAATAACAAAAAGAGAAAGATACTGGAGAAGTTTAATCAAAAATTTTACATTTTCAATAAATTAGGAAATGAAATTAATTTTAATGATTGAAAATTTATAAGTGGAATCAATTTTGTAGGAGATTCTCTAATATGAGATCTAATCTATTGAGAAAACTAAGGAGGCTATTCTTTTTAAAACATTTATTGAAGAAAAAAGAAAATAAGGAACTGAATATTTTAATATTGAATATCCTTTAAGACTAAATGAAGCAAAAAATATTAATATGGTTATATAACTACAATGGTTGAATTAATAGGATAAAATTTAATAATATAGATTACCTTTATATGAGTTGATGATGGGATATTTTGATAAAAAACAATTTTCTAATTTACACATTTTTGACTATAAATTTAGAATAATTGATTTGATAAAAATGAGTGAAATCTAAATAGAAAATATTACAATAAACTACTCTTTGGATTTGGAAATGAAATAAAATGACAATTTCCAATTTTTGATGCCTCGTAGAACTTATTAAAACGAATGTCAAACAATAAAATTAAATGTGAATCTAAGAACATTGTAAATTAATAAGTCTAGCTTTAAGCTTCTATTCAGAGGAATCTTACAATAAAGGCCATAGATATTAGTTGGAATATATTAGAGATATGAAAGAACTAAATTGTATTTTTAGATTTAACGAGTGAAGGATGGTTAATTGTTAATGTATAAGATTGAATTTGAGGATATAGATAATTAGTATCCTGGATTTTAGCAGAATCTGAAGATGAATTAGAGGGAAGTAGGGTAAAATATATTTAGAATGTTTAAAAAAAAATTGATTTTATAATGTTAATATCAATTAAATTGATTAATAGCCTATTTATATATATTTGACTTGAACTAAAAATAGAATGGGTTATACAAATTGTGGACTTAAGATATAAAGAATGACTATAGTTTTATCATTTATTAATTGAAAATTAGACTTTCTTCCTAGATTCTACATCACCCTGTGTTTACATTTTTCGAAATTGACTATATTTTAATTCTGATTTCATAATGCTTTTGACTGATTTATTGTCTGCACTATTGCTTCTTTAACTATCATTATCTTTGTTATCCTCAAATCTGACTTTGTGTTCAGACAAAGATTTTAGTTTTGTCAATTTTTTGGAATCGAAAGATTTCAGAGAATTCTTGGGTTGAAAATCACAAATTGGTGAATCATCTTTTCTTTTTTTCTTTAAAGAACGTTATGATTAGATAGGACTTTGTTAAATATTCTCATTATTTTTTAAAATGTCTTCAGGATTAACATCAATTTCTGCTACTAATTATATTTGTTTTTAAGATTATTCTGAACGCTTGCTTCCATATGATTTGAGATCAGCAAATCCAGGAGTGGCTGGCTCATCTTCTTTTTTGGAATGGACAATTAGTTTCTCCTTGGAATTAGGAGCCCTTAATTTGAGTAAACGAATACTCTTATTATTTTTTGGATGACTTGTTAATGGATCTCTTGGAGGACTTATCAACGATCTCGTTTTTAATAATGATTTCAGATTTCTCATCAGTTTAGCTAGAGCAACATTAAGAGCTTCCCATTAATTAATGTATTAAATAATTCATACTATTTATCAAACAGATCAAATTGTAATTCATTAAGCCAGGAATGGGAATATTCCAATGGTTTCTTTGAGTGTAAATAGGAGACTCGATTTAATGCCACTTGCATAATGTGGAGGATTGTGTTTGAGAGTAACCAAAGAATTAGGTGCTAAATTGGAAGTAACAAATCAAAAAATAGTACTAATAGAAGATGTGAAGTTCTCGGATAACAGAACAGAATTATATTTCATAGGCGAATTATATCATTTAAACGAATAAGATTTAAATGAAGGCAGAAAGACAGAAAGTGTAAGACGAATTCTGATTGACTTGTATAAGGCATATAATTCATTATTGAAATAGAATAAACAGTTGGATTTCTCTCTCTACAATCTATTTTCAAATCAAGATCAATTAAAAGTACTTGACATTGGAGTTTTAAATAAAAAAGTCTAAAAAGACTCAACTCCAACAAATTAGCTTGCATTATTAATATTAAAACTGTTTCTATCCCGACAACAATACAAACCATTAAAATACATGAATTGCGAATAGTAGGTTGAATACATTAAAAATTTCAATGACTTTTTGATATTATTGCCTATGTTAGACGACATTCAAAAAAGAATTTCCTGGGAAAATCTTGGCTATTATCTCCTGTCCGATTCTAATAAGCAAGAAGCTCCTCCAGTCGCTGTGTATTATAAATAGCCATATAAATTGAATTAAACTCTAAACTCATATAGTTTGGCAGTTTAAAGGATGCAAAGTAATTTGAGATCCAGAAGCAAAAGACATTTAGGATCCTTGTATGAACAATAAAAAACATCATTTAATGGTTAGGAAGATGACTCTCAAGAGAATCATAGGATTATACGTTCCAGAAGAACAATACATCCAAATGTTAATCTAATCAAACCAGGATCTATGTAGTCTACTCCAAATCATAATAAAATGGAACATCCAAATAGACATTCACCTATGATCCTAAATACATAATCATAAACCTAACAGATTAGATCATAATTTAAGACTGAAAATTCTTTACAAACTATTTAGCAAAACATCTCTTATGACAATTTCTTTTTAAAAACCTAAACAATGACTCCTTAAGATTCTTAATCTAAATTTGTGTCCATTAATGCTAGTGTTAGTTAAAATTTTTATAGCTAAGAAAATCAAGTTACAAATGAAAATGAATAATTAAGTACTCTTTAGTAATTGCAAGAGAAGAGTACAATTCAACATGAAAAAAGAATTTTTAAATTACCATAACATAAACAGTTGCCTCCAAAAGATAATGAATCAACCATTAAAGTGATTAAATTTGAGGAGGACTTAATTAAGGAATTCGAGTAGTATTCTGAAAAGTATAAACAATATATAGAATGTTTAAATATGATTGGGAAGACTGTTGCCAAATGCATAACTACTTTGGATGCCAAAAATAATTTATGGATGATGCCTTTGTTTATAGTATTTAAGAGAATGTATTAATTAAGAATGTCCTTATAAGATAGTATTCAGAATAATCATAATATCTTCCAATTATAGCATTTTTAAGAATTTTCAGAAAATTAGAAATATCAAGAATTTTGTAAGGAATTTATTGATTAAAACAGTATAGTCAAAAATGAAGTACAAACTTTATTGTAAAATTGCGAATTCAAGATTGATAAACTTGATAAAAAAAACTAATAGAAAATGCATCCATTGTTGAATCTAAATCTGGATCAGAGTATCAGAGATATTTCCTTTATCTACTTTTACTAACAGATTTATAGTTATATCAAAAAGTTAATGGTCGAGCGACCGAAATAGGCACAGCAATTAAGGGATTTGATTGTCAAAATCTAATGTTCTCTATTGATTATGGACTAGGCTGTTGCAGATTTCAGATTTGATTTGAAGGAATATAATAATCGCAAATAAGATGAATTGTATAGGTAGGAAAATGAATTAAAATTAGAGAAAATAAAAATGAGAATATAAAAAAATGGATATTAATTTTGATTATTTTTAACTGATACTTTATTTAACAGATAAATTATTATTATATTTTATTTTTCAGTTTTATGGGTGCTCAATAATCTGTAGCAGAGGGAATAATTAAATCAAAGAACTTCACCATATTAGGGTATAAGGAGAATGATATTTATGGATCATTCAAAATAGTAGAATCACAAGGAAATTTATACGCCATGGTTTCAAAGACATGCCAAAATCAAGAGGACTATGCAAATTTGTGCAAGATTTTAAAAGAGACTCAACAATACAATAGCATTAATCAACTTGTGAAGTTGGTAGAAGTTGATACTCAAGAAGAGTCCAATCTATGTAGTACTTTTTATAAGGTTTCCGCTTTATATGAATATTATGACGTTACACTCAGGGATATTACTAAATAGGCATCAGTAAATTGCTTATTCGTTCTAAAATCATTATCTGAAGGATTGAGAGAACTTTACACACACAACTAAGTTCATGGTAATCTCACACCTGATTTTGTATTAATTGATAAATCAAAAGGAGAAATCAAGTTAAATAATTGTACTTAACTGACTGGATATAATCATTATAAACGTATATTAGCTAGTGATGGATTGTGGTATTTATCACCAGAATTAGTCACAGCATTAGGAAAAAAGGATCTACGACCACAATATAATCATGAGAAGAATGAAGTCTATCAGTTAGGTTTGATTGCCTTGGAACTTTGGGGAAATGGTAATGTATAATCATTCTACGATAAGTAAACCTACTCTTTAAACTAAAGTAAATATTATTTTTATATCTTAGGTGTCATTAATGAAGCCATCGATGAATTTGGTGTAAGAAATGGTTATGTTCTTAAAAATGTTATCAAATAAATGTTGTAATTAGATCCAAATGCAAGACCAACTATGACAGAATTAAGTACTTCTTTTGCCCAATTATATGATATTTAATTACAAATTACAGAAGAAGAACCTAAAGTACCATTAAACGCTTAACCAGTAACTGAATAATAAGTTGTGACTCTATGCGAATTAAATCAAGAAGAATAACACTAAGAATTTGTTCAGATCCATAAAGAATCTTTCCAATATTAAGATTTAAGTAATTCTAATGAAGTGTGTAAATAACAATTTGAGGAATCTCCAAAAAAGGTAGAAAAATAACATGTGGAGGTTCATCCATAATCTGTAAAATCTTCAGTTTCTTAATCCATAAAGGAGTATTATGTTACTGGATCAATTGCTGCTTAATTTGGATAGCTGGCTCTTCTTGAAAGTAATCCTGAATACTAGTCGAATGGCACTGCTCAATTTGAGAATCACCATGATTATGATCAAGATGTCTTACAAGAGAAACCTTAAAATGTCTAACCTAATTCAACTAAAAGCCACGAATCTACCGTCATAAAAAAGAGTGTTAAAGTTAACAGCAATCCTCCTCCTAATAAAAAACCAATTTCAATCAAGAGACCAAAACATGAATCAATAGAAACCAAGCTTCCTAAATAGGCAGTTGTTGTCAACAAAAGAAGATGAAACAAAAATAATATATTTTTTAGTATATACTACCCATTATTTTTGAATTATTTAATTTCTTATTCAATTCTAATGTAAGGAACTCCAGATTTGGATCAAGCCCCAGTTGCTTCTTCAACCTAACCATGGGGTAAATTAATATCAATGAATGGAGCAAAAGTAAGCTCTCAAGATCTCTTTGATAATGAAGTAGAATCTCAACAACTATCTAGGTTACTATTGGGAGAATGCCAACAAACAAAATTATAATTCCAGACAATAGACTATCTGGGACTCATTGTAATTTAAAATGGGATGCTGCAAATAATATAGCTTAACTTTAAGATTTATCAACTAATGGAACATTTATAGGCGATTAAAAAATAGGCAAAAACAATGAAATAATTGTTAAAAATGGGGATGAAATATTTATTTTGCATAAAAGTAAAGTACCTATTTCAGATATTATTGGATTTACATTGATAATACAATAAGTCAAAGAAGTGAAAGTAGCCGCCTAATTAGATGAATAATAACAAAAGAAGTTGTAAATGATGGAGGAAATGTAAGATGATATTCACTGTCCTATTTGTGATGATGTAATTTTCTAATGCGTTTCACTTATTCCTTGTTTACACAATTTTTGTGGAGCATGTTTCTCAGATTGGATGGCTAAACAAAAAACATGTCCTTCTTGTAGAAAGGAGGTTCAATCAGTTAATAAAAATCCTATGGTTAATAATGTCGTAGAGAAATATTTGCTAATGCATCCAGAAAAGAAAAGACCTCCTGAAGAATATAAAGAAATGGATGAGAAGAATAAGATAAAAGGAGATGCACTAGTTTTTACTTAAGCTGCTCCTCCTCCACCGCCGCCACAATAAGTTCCAATTGTTTAAAATGTAGCACCTGCTAGAGGAAGGGGAAGAGGAAGAGGATAAGCTTAATAGTAATAATAATAATAATAATAATCATAAAACACCGTACAAGATTAATCAAATTATAATGGACCAGTTACAAAAGATTGCGTTACTTGTTTAAAAGCCATAAATGGATTTCAATGTCAAAAAAGAGGATAGCAACATTTGAATTGCACTAATTGTGAATCAAAAATGCCTAAGTTTGGTAATATACTTTAATTAATATATAGATTTAAATGAAAAAAGACTAGTTTTTAGATGCGAATTATGTGAGAGGTTCTTTTGTTCAATTTATAACAAAAATTGCTCTTAGATTAGTAATAAGAATCCTATGTACAAACTTTAAGAACATAAAGTCCCTGGAACTGTTGACATTCAATGTTTTCGATAAAATTATATAGAATAAAAAGGATTCCTTGATTATTAGAAAAATAACAATATTACTACCTAAGACATATTTAAATTTATGATGGAGAATTGCATTAATAAAGGACAATTCAGATACATTGAAAGCAATAAAATACTCCTTAATCCTGTTAGAAATATTGATTTGACATTAAGTCCTGATACAGTAAAAATTAATTTTAATATAAAAGGCTGTTTGTAGTTATTGTTTTGGATTGATATGGTAGTAAATTGTGTTTAGATATAGAATTGCTATTAAAAATCAATTGTCAGATGATCTTAAAAATAGATCTCAATGTTGGTTTGGAATTAATTGCAAAACCATGATCCATAATCAAGAGCATGCAAAAAAATTAGATCACATATGCGAATAAACTAAGCTTTGATATTATTTTATGTTTTTATTACATCAAAATAGAATAAGATTTTTGATTTATTTTTAAATAACATAATAATTTCTACATATTCTCATTACAATGACTTTTATAATTCTGATTTAAATGCATTAGCTCCTTCCTCTTAAGTGAACATCAATTTTAATGTGTCTATTGTAAACTATTTGTTTTCAGTGGTTTCTTCTTGTTCTTTTTAGTTTTCCTACTCCTTTTTGCCTAATACTTTAAGAAGAAGATTTTCTTATTTTTACCCTAATGGTTTAGTAACTGAAAGTCCTTTAATCAATTAACCTGCATAGACTATTTCTTATTTTTCATTTCTGTATTTAATTGTATATGATACCTATAAACAAAGAAATAGTATTCCCCATTATTTGCTTTTTCAATTGCAGCAGTACCTTTTTCAAGAATTCCATTTGCATTCTTTCTAAACTTCTCAATATCTTACTTTGCAAAATTATTAATCATTTTTACCTTTGTAATTAGTTCTGTGTTTGTGTTAGGTGCATATTCCTATTTTTATTCAGTCTACAAGTACTTTTCATCCAAATCATCTTCATCTAATCATAAGTTAATTAGCATATTTACCATCATCATCTGATCCATCACTTTACTTATGTGCTTGTTAAATGATCTAGGGTTAAGGTTGGACAGGTTTAATTTCTATATTGGAATTATTATTAAACAATGATGAAAATATTTCTGATGATGGTTAAGTGGATGAACTTAAGATATTTCCTGTAAATAATTAGCCTGGTTTTAGGTTAATTCCACTATTATTAAACAAATTCTATTAGGAATTCAAACCACCGAAAAGTGTTAAAGGTTAAGATTAGTTTGTATTCTTTTCTTCGTTTTATTCAGCATTCTTCTCCTCCTTCTAAGAGCCCACCTATCCCTATTACTCCTTTTCACCTTTTTGAGATTCATCTACTTTGCCTTTGAATTCTTCTCCTAATTATGCCATGAATAATTTAATAATATTTAAAATTACTATCAAATATATAGAGAATTTCAGACAGAGGGTGGTGAATATCAATGTATTCCCATTTTATGATTCTTAATTGGTACGTCTGAATATGTCCCTTAAACAATTTAAATCATTAACATTTCATTTAATTTTGATGATCAATAATAGATCATTCTAATTGTCATTCACTAATTTATATACTAATAATGCTATATATATCTTAATTAGATAATAAATGTAAATCCAGAGCAGTTTTAATATATTCTTTAAAATTAGACCAAATTAATTTGAAATGATTTTATTGTTTTTTATAAATTATCCTATCTTCCTTTAGAATTAAGTAAATAATTATTAATAAATAAAAAAAATGATATTTAAACAAATAATAAATTATTTTTATTATAATATTTACATAAATATAAATATAAAACTGTTGAAATCAGATAATTGAATTTCATTCGTATTAAGTTAATTCCTAGTATAATGTATTAGTCAATTTTCGTCTAAAGATATAGATAAAGTTTTTACTTTTTGGAAACTCCAAAGTTGATCATCTCAAATTTAAAAATGTTGTCAGATATTTTCACTTCCATCTTATCTTCAATTAGATGTGGAGCACTTTATTTTGGTTAAGTTTCCAATAAGGTTTGTCCATAAGGTTGTAAGGATTACCAAGTTCCATTGGCTGATTGTCGTGGCCCTTCTCCATCACAGATTTCCCATTAATTTTTGTTGAATTTAATTTAAGTTTATTTTCTAGAGACAGTATTCATATTGACAATAATGTCACAATCCTAAGATCTTCCAATTTTAAAGGTTTACACGCATCCAGCCTTTCCTATGAAAATGACGACTTGTCTAGACATTGGTGTATCAAATTGAATTTTAAGAAATGGTCTATCAGTATTTAAGAGTTAATATTGTTTCCTTCCTTTTTTCTTTAATTTTCTGTACTCTTACAATTATTCTACATTTAAAAATTATAAATACCTTAGAAGAATTATTATTCCTCTTTTGTTAAACCATGAATGCGAGCTCTGTATTTTTCATTCTCTCTTACAAGGGTCTAAAAAAAATATTCAATAGGAGATTCCTAATCCTTCTTTTTATTATCAACTGACTTTGGTATTGAGTTTAATTGAACTACATGAAAATAGAAATCAGTTCCAATTAAATAACTATTATTTTCTTCTATTATTCTTGGGCTTTCTTTTTAAATCCTAACCAAAGTTTTTAAAGCAGTGCCACAATCTAAAATGTAAAATTTAGGTTGTTCTCTAAAATTATAATCAAAACTACTTGATAAATTAGTGGATATGTTTGAAGATATTTGAAGGCATTGCTTAGAACTTTACATGAAAATATTTTAATGACAAGAAGCATAAAATTTGTGGAGTGATTCTACTTGAATGACGAAAACCGAATTCTGTAGAAATTTTACAAGGAATTTCAGCATTTACTTCCTATGAAGTAAGGCCTAGTTTTATTAATTCAAGCTAGTACCTATGTCTATGTTATTGTCTCCTTGATTTTAATGTTTTTTACGACGAATTATAGAGATTTCATCCCTCTAGCCTTGATTACTACCAATTATTCTTGTATATATTGAAAAATATTACTTGTCATCTTGAAGAATGTATATTTTTTAATTAGACATTTGGTGCTACTTGTACAGGCTGATTTTGACAAAAGGAGATCCTCTGTTGAAATCATTACCTATCCTTCTTGGAGTTAAAACCTACTGAGTCGTTTGTCCCTTCTACGTACTGTTTTTATCACTTGGGTGGTTTTGTTACTTGTATATAAAAGTCTAGTACTTATTTTTCTTCAATCATTGTAGAATTCTCTTACAAAGTAATTGATCGAGCCATCAAAGGAAGGTTATTTATATCTATTTCATTGGGAAGTGTTGATAACACCTGTTACTGCATGTTCATGAAACCTAACCATTAAATTTTTTAATTACTATTTAATTGGTTTGACAAAGTTTAGGCGAAGTTAAAAGTGTTTTGCATGAAAGTTGATTGGGACTAAGTTTGAAAAATAATTTAAAATTAATATTAATGGAAATATTTCTTTGTTTCACTAAATATCAACTCTAAGATTTTATCAAATTCTTAACATAATACTATCAATTAATTATGTAATTAATGCAATAACATTGAAATTGATAGTTAAAATAGTGTTTAGTCAGCTCTAGGGTAATGAAATATTAGTTTCAATACATGATTTTGTCTGTATTATCATTTGGAGAATTCTGAATTTTCTTGTGCAAAATTGAATTCTATAAAAACACAGTTGAAGAGTGATAAAGTTTGAAATATTAATGTATATTACATAATGATCAAGACTCTATTTGAAGTAAGTAGAGTCTGCGATAGAAACAAATAAATTTATTTAGAATTAATTTAAATACAAAGTAAGATTCTATAAGTTCATTAAGTTTCTTAAATTTGAACTTCACCTCAATACTATCCAATAATAATTAATTAATTTACATCTTATTTCATTCTTTTTTCTCCTTAGAACCAATCATCATTATTTATGGCTTTTTACTCAGATGAATAAGAATGTAGTATAGCAATGTTACTTATCAAGCAAAACATTGTAGAGTAGAAGTTTTTAATGAAGGTTTTATGATTTATTAGTTTAGAGCAGGAAGGAGACACTATATATATCATCCCAGGATTCGATTAACAAGAAATTAATATAACTGTATTTAATATAATATAAAATATAATTTAATTATGATTTAATAAATAATTTTTAACTAATACTATGCATTCATATAATTTATTATTATTTTATGGTAGAATTGAAAAAACAATTAGTCTCAAAACAATAACATTGTTTCTTTCCAAAACATGTTGATTAACTTTAAAATATATTTCAATTATCGTTTCCTATCATCCCTTTTCATCTCTTAAAATAGATATTATATTGAACATAAGTATTTTATTTTACCGCTAGAAATTATTTTTTGCAATTTAAAAAGTTTATAAATAATAATTTTACTTCAAAATGGTTAGTTTAAGGGCATGTAAATGCAATTTCACAAAATTGACTTAATCCCTAATATTATTTAATAGTTTTGAATCAATAAGTGATTAATATACACACAAGAATCGAATTCTTAATTCTAATTTTTATAAATATTTATTTAATGAGTGACTACGAAAGTGATACAAAAGATTAATATCCAGCTGAAGTTGAATGGAAATAGAAAAGAGGCACTTTGGATTAGAGATAAAAAGATGAAATCTATAGACTTTCAAAAGAATATCATTTCAAAGTATGAACTCTTATTCAAAAATTTTAGGAAAGCGTAGTTTATAACATTGCTAAAAGACATTATTACTAATTTGAGTTAGTTGAAAGAGATATCTAAGATCTTAAAAAATAAGATAATAACGACGATGGTGAATGGATTACAAATGACAATGAAAAATCAAAATCACAAAATAAGAATAGAAAAAACTCAAACAAGGATTATGACCAAAAGAATAACAGAAAGCAAAGTGATTAATACTAGAAATAGCAGGAATAAAGAAACAACAAAAATAATGAAAGACAGGGGTATAATCAAAGATAATTCAAGTAATCAATTTCATAATTTTAAGTTCATCATAGAATTACAATAACAGAAACTATAGAGATGATACTAGAAATTAAGATGATGATTATGATCAATAAGATAATTAATAAAATTATAGAAATGATAGAGGTTAACAAAGATATTAAAAAAATACTTATAATGAAGGATGGAATTAAAGAAGAACAAATTAATATTAATATTATAATAACAATAACAAAAACTATAACTAAAGAAGATAACAAAGGAACAGAAATGATGACTTTGTGTAATAACCATAGTATGTTCTTAAAGACCAATAAGCATCAGAATAATAATAAAGTTAGGTTCCAGCAACTAAATAATAAGTGAGTGATTCTGTAAATTAATAAATATAAGACTCTCAAAAAAGAAAAGAACCTTAATAATAAGATTAAAATTCCAATTAATAGTAATAATAGTAATAGTATCAATAATAGTAATAATAATAATAATAACAATAATAACAATAATAATAACAATAATAATAATAATAATAATCACATTAATAATAACAATAACAATAATAATCACATTAATAATAATAATAATAATAATAATAGCACCAATAACATTCAAATTAATAAACATCATAATAAGCAAAAGTATAATAAAATAATCAATAAAATATATCTAATTAAACTAATAAATCACAAACCAAAAGTTAAGCTGATCAAAGCACAAAAGTTTAATAGTAACCAGTCGTTTAATAATAACCAGTCGTTTAATAGTAACCTGTCGTTTAATAAAAATAATAGGAAGTTCATTAATAATAGCCATAAGTTTAAGTTAACCAATAGACACAATAATAAACAGCAGCAGTTTAAAATACTCCTATTCCTCCTTCCCAAGTGTAATAATAGGTTCATCAATCCTAAATTGGATAAACTTAAGCCCAAACAAATACATTACCATTACAAGAGTATAATTAACAACAAGATCAAATGAAATATCAGAATAATAGTGGATAAGGACCTTAATAATATGGTATTTAAACAGTGCCTTAGCAATAAAGATAATAAAAACCAATGTCTTAAGTTCCATTATTGGCGTAGTTCTTGATCTATCCAAATAACTGTACTTCATCAACAAACTTATTCCCCTTAACCATGGTATGAATTAAATATATAAATTAGTAAAATTTGAATAACGCATTTGAGTAATTGCGATAGATTGCATTGAATTATGAATAAAAGTAATAGTGAGAGATTTCTTACATTTTTAAAAAATACAGTAAAATATATGTATTAAATAATGGAAAAGCTATTAATTCTGAGTTTAATTTTCCTTCTGTTGATCTTTTTTGTTGCATAAAATTGATTTGATTCCTCACTTGTCTTTATTGATTAAAATTATGATAAATATATAATCAATAAATACAAGCTAGGAATCAAATCCATTGAGTAGATCAATAAATTCCAAAAATGATAGTTCTTCTTCAATACATTAGAGTTTACCCAGTAACTCGAAAAGTGAGAATGATTTGGAAATAAGGAAATTAACTTGGGATTAATTTTAAGGAGTTCCTCCTGAAGATGACCCAGCTTTGGCACATACAAGATGGAAAATTGGATATAATTATTAAGTGCATCATGAAACTGATAAGATTTAAGTGATTGCTGAAGTTTGGTGTAAGGTTGACCCTTCTTCCTGGACACGGGAGAAAATTGATGAGCTATTGCATCATTAATAAGGTTTATCGATTTGTAATATGAATAGGGCACTTTTATATAGGAATGATTTGTGCTTTGGAGTTCAAGAAGAGAGTGTAAGAATTCTCCTTTAGCAAAGACTATAAGCAAGAGATTTCAGAAATTTTTAATAGGACATTGTAAGAATATTTAGAGCTGGAAAGTAAGTACAATATTGAGACGTTGAATATGTTAAATACTGCTAAATAACGATAATGGGATATAAAGATAATGAAATAATTAAATTCGCTATCGAAATATACATGAAGATACTTATGGAACTTGTAAATTAAATAGTGTATTATGATAATTGTGAAAATATGATATTTTTCAAATAACTTAGTCCAATCTTCTAAGAACACCACAAGTGTTTCCGCTTTAGAGCCAGATGTGTCCGTTGAGTCCCCAGCCTGTTCCCCAAGAGTTTCTGATTAACCAATTTCCACTTTTATCATATCCAACAGCTACGACAGCATGGTTAGTTGATGTGTTAATGCAGTCAAAGAAGACACCTTCAGTATATCCTTTCCAATTTGAAGCATGGACACTGACAGAAATGGGATATTAAGCAATTGCCTCATAAGCTTAAGTAGCAGTAGACCATGTTTTTCTTCCAGTTCCTCTAGCTAAGGGATCTCCTGTTGCTTATTAGCAGGTGTTGTCCTTTGCATTGTATGGGTATTTAGTTTCCAAAATAGCACCATTTTTATTTAAATAATCAATAGCGTTTCCTGCAAAACCACCATTACATCCATATGAATATTTGTCACAATCAACTAAGTGTTACTCAGAATATATGTCGTATTATCCCTTTGTAAAGATGAAATATGCTTCAAAAGCACCAACTGCAGAGAATGACCAACATGATCCACATTATCCTTAATTCTTGATTGGATTCAATTTTCTTGACCAATCAACACTTTCAGGATAGTTAAATGATGTAATGTTTTCTTCAACTTCAACATGAGAATCATCAAGACCACCGAGGTAAATAGATTCGAATTCTTCGTCTGTAAGGGTAGCGAATTGATTCAATCCGAGTTTATAGCTGGATTGTCTGCTGTTTACTTCTTGATAGTAGTTGTAATTTTGTTTGAAGATTTCAAATCTGTATTCATCTTCAAATTAGCTGGCAAATCTTGCTTAGTATTTTTGTTTCCATTCAGAATATAGGGTTCTCATGGGATCTTCTTGACTCAAATAGCTTGTTGTTGCAAGAAGAACAGTTGTAAAGAGTGCAATTAATGTCTTATTCATTAAATTAATTAATAAATAACCTTCTTCTTCTTTTCATTTATAAAGGAAAGTACATGAAGTCATCAAAATTTATAAAATATGTAATCGAAATTTTGTGATTATTTACACATTCGTGATAAAAGAAAACTAATAGGATCCCTATAATCTCTAACATAAGCCCTTTCTCACGTCATAGATTCATGAGAACAATTTTTCTTGATTTTCATCAGACTCTGAAATATATTAATGTATATTCAAAATCCCCCTTAACTAAGAATGATTATTCAAATAGGAAGAGAAGATTTGAAAGAATGGAATCAATACTTACTTAGATGGAGTTATCATTTTTTTTACAACTCTTAGTTTTAAATTAAATATAATATGAGAAAACAATCAATCTTTTTCAATGTAATGACAAATGTATGTGATGATTTTTGTTTTGGATAAGAAGAACCAAAAATAAAAATGAAGAGTGATTTTTATATCAAATGACGTATAATTATTAAAAGATATTAAATGAACTCATAAAAATAAATTGATGTAAATTGAGAACCTACTTACTAAGGAAAAGGTGGAAATGTGATTATTAATGAAAGGATTATATTTTAGTGTGTGATTAATAAATTTATTTTGTATGAAATCATAATATGATTACTCTAATGTTTTATTCGAATGCATTCTGGTTCGTAAGCATTTTATCAGTGATGTGAAGTATTATTGCTATATTTTAAATGGCTACATGTTGATGAGTAGAGTAAGATATGCAATGTATGTAAGAAAGTGAAGGATTCCTCCCCAAAATATGTTTTACCATTATAGTTGGCAAATTAGGTCGGATGGATTGTAGAGAGGAAAGATAAGAATATTTTATTTAAGGCAATCACGATCAAGTATATGGAAAAGTACAAGGACTTTGTGGGTCGCAGCAGTGAATTGCAGAAGTAATAAAATAAATTAAGTAGACTGAAGGAACATCTAAGTAATAAAGTGACATTTTACAAGATTGCTGATTTCTATGAAGCATAATACAATTTAGGAAAGGGAAGTTCAGCAAAAGTCATCCAAATAAAAGAATTAGGAAATGAATAATCAAAATTGGCAGCAAAAGCGATAGACAAAAGTTATCTGCAAAAAAGTGAATCTGGCATGCAGGCATTTTTGAATGAAGTCAACATCCTCAGTCACCTCAGCAAGTATAGTAGTTGTGGTCCCTTCATTAAATTACACGAGACCTTCGAAGGAGATCATACATTTTATCTCATCTTAGATTTGATGTAAGGACGAACCTTAGCAGATGAATTGGACATCCTCAAAGTAATAGATAATACCAATTATTAGCAAAGAAAGGAGTTATTTCCCTTGAAATTAGTAAAAGTTATAATGAAACAATTGCTTAAAGGGGTTAAGTTGCTACATGAAGCCAATATCATTCACAGAGATTTGAAACCAGACAACATCATGTTTCGAGAATTAGATTCCTATGAAACTCTAACCATTGTAGACTTTGGATTATCGACCTTCACTGATGTTACAAAGTATCAATTTCCAAAATGTGGTACTCCTGGATATGTAGCACCTGAGATCTTAAATTTAGTTGACAGATAATAAAAATACGATAAAGTCTGCGATATCTTTAGTTGTGGTTGCATTTTTTATAAATTACTATTTGGACATAGTTTGTTTATGGGTAATACTTTTAATGAAGTTTTGGGATAAAATAAAAAGTGTAATTATACACTTGACACATCTGAAATGAATTCTATTCCTTATGAAGCATAAGAACTACTTAAACAGATGCTTGCAAAGAATCCCTCTGAAAGAATCACAGCCTAATTGGCTTTGGAATCAGATTTTTTTAACAAACCTTCATCTCCACTACAATCAAAAAGTATATTTTTGTATTTAATTAGAGCTTAAAGCATTCAATGTACCTAATATCAGTAGTAGGAATATATTTTAACAAACAACAGATGGATTGTAATCCGAAGCTGAATCTCCATTTTAGAGAATTAGTCAGAAATGCAAAAATTAAGTGGATTTTGATGTAGACATCCAAGAGAACAAATGCTCCTCTATTTAAATTAGATAGCTACCCTCTGTCAAAAAGCCTACTTGTGTAAGGTTAGAGGATTCAACCATTGGTAGTTTCTATGCTAAAGATCCCTTAAGTAGTTTCAAGAAACTAAAAGGAAGTATTGCATTCATATCTATTTAAGCATCTCAAAAATAATTAAATGAGACTAAAGAAATCCAAGTTAATCAATTCGATGTCGAATAAATGTAAAGAATCTCATTATTTAACAGAAAAGATGATAATTGATATTGCTTCTATTACTTAATATCAGTTTAACATATATTAACTTAGCATTTAGTTTCTTATTCCTTAATTGGCAGTGTTTGAGTTAATAATTAATAAATATTATAATTACCAAAATGAACAGGTAACTTACACCTGATGGTACCAAATCAACAATGAGAAGTACTATTTTACCGAAGATTGCCAATAAACAATCTAAATTAGAATAACAACAAAGTATCTACTAAAGTGTGGATGCAGAAAAGATGTAAAAGAAAACAAGGAACTTTGATTTCTCAAACCTGTAGAGAACAATTCAGACTAGTTATTCCAAGAGCAGACAGAAACAAAGGACTATCCTATAACCCTTAACTCATACAACAAATAACCGAATCTAGACCAAATAATAGCTAAACAGAATAATAAATCAATTGATCCGAATAATGTAAAATGATGCTGAATTTATGAACTCATGTAAGCATTTGCATGTCAATTCATAAAAGTTATCATAACTATTGCTCATGCTTACTCCACATAATTTTGAGACCGAAGGATTCTTCACAATTCATCGTAAGTTGAAATAATAATCACTGTCAAATGAACACTCTTATTTTATTGAAATTGATAGAATGTTTTTTAGTGTCTCTAAATTAAACATTCCTGTACCATTATAGCATTTGATGCAGTTATCATAATATAGTGATTCCCTTTTTTAAGATAATTCCTTTGGCATGATAGTGAATTACTAATAAATGCTATCGATTTTAAAGTAAGCATATCAAGTACATAAAAACATGCTGTCATAGCAAGAGTTAAGCACAACTACAGCAAGTGATGACGAAGAAAGGTTGTCACCATCCACTAGAAGTATGATTATATAAATAGAACACTAGTTGTATAGAGATTATTGTCTCGCAATACTGCAAGAAAGGTTCAATTTAAATAGAAGCGACTGGGTTACATCAACGATTAGAATATGGTTGCTTATTACGATTCCTTTACTGACTTGAAAAAGAAACTAGAGAGAGATTGGAATGCCAAGAACTATATCTTTGGATGTATCAGATTCGGTTATATTGACCTTATCAAATATCCCCAATATGTTGATCATTAAACAAAGAAGGAACTCAAAATATTCGGCTAATAGAGATCAAGATTGCCTATATCCATACAAGTTGTCTATAAACATAAATCACAAGTGATGAATCAAGAAAAGGCATTGAACAAATTGAATCTGTATCATCCAAAGAATATTTATTATGAATCATATACTAAGGACCCTGATTTTATATCTAGAGTTTGTTATTTGAATGTAATCAAATCTAATTATTGATTAGGTGTATAGTTTATCCAATAAATTTGAATCTATTTACACATATAAGAATGATCAGATAACCGATTACAATATAATGCATATTGATAATATCTGCATCAAGAACTTATTCGCAGAATAAACAGAAAATATTACCAAAGATTATGCCTTTGATGATTAATAAGGTGGTTTCCATATTAAAAAGAAGGAATATCGTCCTCTGGATTTAGAATAAGCGGATTCATCAGATTCAGAACCTGATCTAGATGTGTATGATCCACTTTATGTGAAGAGCATACAATCATATCCACAGTACTTGATAGAAACTTAGATTCAATTCACTTTTCCATTGCTCTACAGATATTATTACAATAAAATGTCAACGAATGCAAAGATCATTCGTGATAATTACACAGAGTAATATTGCAAATTCATAATTAAGATTAGTTGATTAATGCAAGATAAAACCTGAATAGTAATTCAAAGAGAAATTTGTCAACGTGCCAAGTCCTGATAATTGCAATTATCAAAGACACAAATATAAGCAACCAGAGACTGTAGATCTAACTGACGAAAGCGATAACGAAATATACGAACAACCACTTGAGGCTTTAGATAAATAAGATCTGTCTTTAAGTTTTAAGGTGCAACCACTAATCAAAGAAGAAGATTAACGAGAACATACTCAATATCTAAAGAGTCAATCCTCAATTATAATACAGGATGAATAAAAAGTTAATGACAAAATTCAATTTGCTCATAATGTTGCTAGTCCATTCATTTGTTTATAATGTATTTTACTTCTTAAATTAGACATCAGATTCTTATGCACTATTATTATAGTTAAGATTTCCATTATCAATTCATATGTAGATAATTCCATCCATAGTTGAACGAGAATTACCCTTGAAAGAAGTGAATATTGAAGCAAGTACCATAATTATCGATAATACTCTAACTATTGATTAAGGAATCAAGGATTTGGAATCCTATCCTATAATAGATATAGATTCCGAGGAAGAACCAAGTTTTGATGAAATGCCCCTTGAAATTGATTTGCCAGAATAAGTGGAATAGTAGACAATTGAACAAAAGAATGAAGATGATGAGGAAATTACTATTGACAAAGTCACTGAATTTGTAGATTTGGAAATAAAAGATAGTCTCACCATTGAAGTTAAAAATGATTATGTAAGTAAATTGGTGATTGATGGATTTCCTATTTATTTTTATTTAGATGAACATCTTAGGAAAACTGAACCCCTCATTCACAAAGTTACTATGGAAGGCAAAGAAATCCAATCAGTCCAAATAAGTTGTGAATAAAAGGGATCCAAAATTTATATCAAATAATTTGCAATCAAGGCTTTATGTGATTAAAGATTGGAAAGCAATATTGAGAAAAAGTAAAATTTTGAAGAAGAGGATAAACAAGTCAATATTTATGAACCAATATCATTGCCTGAATAGTGGAATCAAGGTTAATTTGTTATCAATTTATATTGCTTGTAAAGAGAGGATGTGAACTAAAATGTAGAATGGCTCAAAAAGGTCTTGATCACTTATTTTCCTTAAATTATCATTGTAGAAGAGTATAGTGAATCCTTTGAGGCCTACATCTACGGAGTTGGTCCTAAGGATTTTAGAGATGCAAATGGAAGAACTTTGCTTTTTAGAAAAGACACCGAAGATTGGTATTATTTCGTCTTGATTTTAGGACTCAATTTAATCAAGAATTTTAATTCAAAACACTCCTAATCTATGATACAATATGCTACTTAATTAGTCTCTATGGATCTATTGATTAATTAAGTTTTGTTTAAAATAAATACATTTCAGAAAATCACTCAAAGCATACCAAATCTAAGTTTGAAAAATTACATTTGCATCCTTACAAATATGTTGAAAATGTAGAAAGGGAACGAATCAGACCCACAACTGGTTATAGTAAAGCAGGTCCAAGAAGATAAAATTATTGATATTATAAATATATCTATATAGATACAACATAAACAATCTTTCTTTAATATCAATTATATTCTGAGCATCTCCTTTTCTAAATATAATTAATATTATATTTACTAATTATTCTATCTAAGTTTATTGTCTATTTATAAATAACATTGTTTTAGATTAAGATTGTAGCTTTTATTCTTTCTCCTCTTTTATTTATTACAAGAGTTTCAAGATTTTATTGTCAATTTGACATAGTTTCATCATTTCAATAACCATCTCCTCGATTTTTAATTATGTTGATAAATCTTTTTATCCTTTCGTTTTTTATAATAGAATGATTGACTTCTCAATTTTCTCTTTCAAATTCTCCATTTTCATTACAGGTTTCAAATCACTTTCACTAAAGTTAAATGTTTTAGTTCTCCCAGTTTTAAACTTTGGGCTTTAGCTATACAAAAGGCATGACTATTTTACTAAAGGTAGACTTAATTTAAAATATACATTTCATCAATTTTGTAGAATCAGGGGTTCGTTATTAGGTTGAAATAACACTAAACTTAGAGGATTTCAAAGACTATAAACTAGGTTTCGATGAGAATTTCATAGAATGCATTTTAATGAATAAAATAATAAAATAACAATTTTCACCAATAGTATTTAAACTTTTTTAATAAATTTTTAAGATTGAATATCTATAAATAAATAGTAGTTAAGCATTTATCAACTAAAAACAAAGCATAATCATTATGTTCCATTTAATTGTATCATCTAAAAATAATTCTCAGTTTAAATTATAATTTCTTAAAACTTTATTTCAATACATTTTTAATTATTTTATTGTCTAAATATCTGTAAAACCGATTATATATTATTGAAATTATTTAAGTTTAGTAATTCAAAAGCTCTCGGGATTTTAATTCAAATCAATTTTTTAACATATAAAGAACCTCTTTATTCATGAATTCGTTATTTACTAAGTTTTTTTGAATTTTGATATTGCTTAAATTTCAGCCCCAGGGATATTTTATACCATACATCAAATTTTACAACTTTACAATTAATATATAGGTTAAATTATATTGAAAAGGTAGTAATTTTGTTATTTAGAAATTTATAATACCCCCTTCTAGATTCTAGAGTCGAATACTACTTATGAAATGGAAAAATAGATCATAAAAAATGTTAAAAATTTCTATAGATGTGAACTAAAAGGATGTTTTATAAAAATTAGTAAAATATTTTACACATTTATTAATTATACATTTTAGAGGTTGGGTTGATTAAAATTTATAAAATAAGATTTATAACACTGAATACTATATTATTTCAAAGCATCTAAACTTAAAATATTTATAATTTTATTAATTTATTTTTGTATATTTAATTATAAACCAAGGAGTTTATTGAATCTCAAAACAGAGTAAGAAATTATAGGACAAAATGATGATTTATTTGTATATATGCAAACTTCTACCATCTTTAAAGAGTTGGCTTTGCCAAATATATTGCAATTAATTCAGAAATATTAGTGTAATTAGATTTAAATATTCTTAGATTATAGGTCCTATAATGGGATTTTTGTATTTTCAATGTTTTTGACACTAGGATTGTATCGGGCAATAGTTCAAAATATTTAATAGAATAACTAACCTTAGTATAGTAGAAGTTAGTAGTATTAATATATTCAATAAACAAGTTACTTAAAATATGCCTAGTGAATTCATTATTTATGCATTTTTTTATGATTGGTTGATATTCAATAGTTAATTTGTTAATGAATAATGTCAGACTAATAATTAATTTAACTTTGCTGATTAAACATTTCTGTATAATCTATTTTAAAACCTACCATAATTTTTTGATGATTAGTAATAACTAGAAAACATTTAAAGTTCCGACTCAATTTATTAATTTGAATTCATGAGAAGCAAGTAATATTCCTATAATTGTACCCTTTTTATTTAAGAGTTTCATGCTTTTATTTAATTTCGATTTAGATGATTTTGAGTCGATCTATGTTATTTTTAAAAGTAATTTCATAAGTATTTTTAGGGAAATAAAAAATTTTAGAAAAGGATTAATTAGATCATATCATTTTAAAATAAGATGAAAATTTGTCAATGATAATTAATTTTATTTTATAAATGGTTATTTTCTTCTGATATTTTCGATATTAAAACCTAGATTATAATTTATCTTAAAATTATAATAAATAGAAAATTAAATAATTATTAACATAAGAATCAAATTTAATATTCATTATTTATTTTGTTTTATATTAAAAATATTTTTACAAATAATGGGAAAATTAGAAAATGGTAAAGGTTCAATGAGCTTGAGTTCTTTATTTTGTCTCAATAAACTAAAAGTAAGAACACAAGTTTTGATAATTTAAGTGATAATTCAATTTTTAGTAGGAAGTTTATTAACATTAATAAGTTATTTAGCATTTTAATACATTATTGATATGTACTCGGAAATCTCTTTAGATTTCTATGTTTTATAATATTACAAAAAAACTGATATGATCACTTATTTATAAGTAAGGAGTTCTTAGGAAGTATTACTCAGAAGTTAAACTCATTTATTAAAGTCTGATTTCTTATATCAATTTATACAAACCTTAGATCTGTAATATGTACAATAGCCTTTAAATTGTCTAAATTACGATGACAAATTGGACAAGTATTAATACGAGTAAACATTTTGTTATGGTTTTTTCGGAGACCAAGCGTACTCCTTTACTGATAAAGATGCATTGGCTCTCAATTATTCTTCTTTCTTAACTTAAGTCTTACCAATGATGGATATGGATTTGGATTTGTTATTTTCTACAATTGGGGATTAGATGTACTTTTCTATTTGGCCTGGTGATCCTTTTCCAAACTATAAGCCTCATCGTAGGATATGGTATACTAACCATTTGAAGCAAATAAAAGAAAAAAATTATAATTTGACTTATTTTAGTGAGCCTTATATTTTATGGACTTGGTTTTTGTTTATGGTGACTTAGACAAGGAACATGACAAATTTAAATGGAGGATTGGATGGGGTTTTTGGGAGTGATTTAAATTTTAGTCTCTTTCACACTTTATAGTTGAAGTAAGAAAATGTAACTTTTTCGATAATTGATTAAAAAGGTCAATTTCTCTTGAGTTAATTCAATATAAGTGAAAATACTTATATATATGATACGGATATATCTGGATTCACAAGGGAGGATTTCAAATAAATAAATAATTATTTGCATGAAACGCAATTTACTAATAATTGCTCTAAGATTAACCAATTAATGGATAATTAACGACTTTGTAGATATAATTAGAAAACTAAAACTGAAGAATTAATAGTAGCAAAGTTATTATATCCTACCGATTTGATATTGCTGATGTAATAGATTTCACATCTATCGTTTTAGTTAAGTAGATCTTCTTGAAAAGGAAAAGGAACTATTGAATCAGCTTACTCAAATTAAAAGAAATTTTGAAGATTTCTTTAGGATATATATTTATATTGGAATTTCAACAGGATTATTCTCAATCATGTTGAGTTCATTAGTGATCTATGTGACATTGAGTCCAATCACAAATCTTATTTTGTATACTAGCTAATAGATTACTAAAGAATCTGATCTTATGCAATAGTAGATAAACTAGAAGGTTCGACTTAAAAAAAGCAAATACTCTTTGAAGACTATACAAGAATTGCATTAGGCCTTTAGGAGAATGAATGTCCGATTGTTTAACCACAAGGAAGGCAGAAAAAATAAAACATGCACAGAACTTGAATAAATTTAGTTTCCTCTGAAACCTTTGGAGAGATTTTCATTTAATGTATCAAAGATCAATGTAAAATTTAAGTATAAAAGTAGAATTACAATTTTAAGAATGAAGATTTGTAAATGTTTTATCCTTTTGAATTCTTGCGACTTCATTAAAAAAGAAAAAGACACTGGTATAATTACATTCAAAATTGAAGAACACCTTCATTTATTCTCATGTGTGATAATTAATATTATTATTTTCAATCTTTTTAAGTATATAGATTTTAGTTAAGAATGTTGATAACTTTGATTCTAAACTAGACTGATTTGAATATTATTAGATTGTCTTCGTTAGTTTGGAGTTTGAGATCTGTATAAGATAAGTAATATATATTCTGATTAACTATAATAAAATATATAAAATAAACAGAAATATTCAAATTTGAATGAGTAAACACAAACATAGAAGAACACAATCTAATTCAGAAGTTGATTTAAGAAATGCATTATGTCAATAAGATGATAAGAAACATTTCATTGAAATATTTAATCATGTATTCAAAAGTGCCTTATTGATTAATAGGCATCTCACATCTAACCTTAAATTCCAGAAAAGGAAGTTATAATAGAAAAATTAGAAGATGATTATGCAATGCAACATCTCAAAGAGAATTGCGGTTTAACATTTGGGAATGCCAAAAAAAAATCAAACTTCGGATCTTATTAAACCAACAATCTATTTTAGATTCCAGAATAGAATGACCTATTATCAAGTGTTGAATAGACCTAAGAATCAGGCAAGAAATTGGCTTAGGGTATGAAATTGAATGTAAATACACAAAAAAGATAAACTTACAGTGTTGAATAAAAAAACAACAATGATTAAAAAGAGAATTAAAAAAATGAGAACAATAGATAAAATTCGACATTAATAAATTAGATTGTAATAAATTGTAATATTGATTTATAGTAAGCTTAATTAAGAGATGTTACTCATCTAATGAATAGTGATAAATTAGATTAATTCAATAAAATGAGTTTTACCAAAGAACTCTAAAAGAAAACAGCAGTTCATCCTGTTTAACTTCCATATAGTCATCAAAACACAATACAACCCTCATTAAATCCTAATTAAAATTAATAATAATCTTATTCTTAGCATCAATAAGCATTAAATCAACTCAATAATAATATTCTTTAGTTGTAAAATTCTAATATTTAACACTAAAGTCTAGTTCATTAAAATTCTTAAAAAAATGTTACTAAACAACAACATACTATAACTCCTGATAGAAAAAGAACACCTTCAATGGCTATTAATAAACCTTCAGGAGTAGAGGCCCCATTTCAAAAATCAGATAAATCAATTACTAATAATAATATAAATGAGAGCGAAAAAATTAAAAGTAATCTTTCAGTCTCGATTTTTAATAATCTCTTTTAACAAAATAAGAAAATTTCAATTAGCAATATTACTAATAAATCGGATCAATAAAATGATTCTTTTAGAAAATTGGAAACATAAATGAAAAAAATAGAAAGAGAATTAATGTCTTTAAAATAGAGACAAGATTGTCAAGATGAAATAAATAAAACCATATAATAATAATTATTGTAAGTTATCCATGATAACAGAAAACAAAGAGATGTATTAATATTCTCATATCAAAGTAAAGTCATTTGTCCTTAAAAAAGTTAGAACAGCTTGAAATGATTACTAGAAGAAATGAAGAATCTATTCTATACTTAAAATAAACATTGGGCAGCCATAAGAGAATGGACTCAACCACACATCAAACGTACAATATTTCATTTATTTTTTTAGTGATTCTACTGAATTGAGTGATCAACATAGAAGATTTACTGATTTGAAGAGTTTGAACAGGTACATCTGAAAGACACATTATTTTTTGTAATTAATTTTCAATTGCATTTTCAAATACCATTCTTATATTATCCTTCAAATTCTTAAATGAGGATTCCTATAACATATAAAAGAATGAAAAACATATTATTAATCTATAACAAATAATTGTAAACTCATTTATTTCCAAACTTAAATGATGCTTGAGAAACCCCTTAAACTTAATCAACCTTCGTCAACTTTTTTAAATTTGAACCTTAACTTAATTTAGAGTAATCAAGCTTTACTTTCTAAATTTAAGGAGAAGTAGACTGTCGAGGAATGTCATCTTCTGCAAAATCTTTTGATAGTCTTTTTGAATCATCTTCGTTTTCTAAAAAAGATGACTTTTTTGATTGTTCATATTAAAGCATTTAAATTTTACTCTTCAATTCCAATTCTTACTCTTTTAAATATTAGATTTCCTTTTAAGCTTGTTCCATATATATTATTTTATCTTCCTTACATTACACCAAAGCAAGGGATAGTTCATTGATTTTAATTTCCAATTATCGTTTTTCTAATTGAAAATCTGCCTTATTGTTGCATTAGGCTAAGTGTTGATTTTATTATTACAATTCATTTACTTTCACTTTTTCTTATTACAATTCATTTGTCAAAGTCTCTAAATGTTATTTGTCTAACTAAGCCAATCAAATAAAAATTAACCTTCTATTATTCTTATCTTGCATCTTCAATTATAAACAATGCATTAATGATATCATTAGGATCAGATTCTGAACCTAATTGTAAAATCTCTTCGTAGTCCTCATCCAAAGACTTTTATAGTTTCACCCAATATTCTAAGAGTTTTTACTTAATTTGTCTGTTTTCTTCCTTTTAATCTGTTTAACATATTTAATTATCTTGCATTAATTATATTTTATTTATAAAAGTAATAAATATGCATCAAAATATTACTCAGAATTATTAAAATCTCGATTCCTGAGGTAACGAATATTGAATCGCGTTTTTTACTCGTTATCGACATTCTCTATTTACTGATAAAATTGAGAAATAAGCATTATCTAAATAGGATCTGCTTGTATATTCCTTTTGTTTGTTCTTTTTTTATTTGTATATTTCTAGAATCATACTGAAATCATACATTATTTTAAGTTTTCCTCTTCAAATTATTTGATTTTATAAATCGAATTGTCGCAAGTTTAATTTTTAAAGATGTCATCCAATTTGTCTCTCCTTTTTTTATGAATTGTATAGAGACTTTCAGGAAATTTAATACCATCAATCTTTTAAAAGTTGTAATCTCTTGATATTGATATGCATTAACTCTAGATCTCCTCTTTTGGAGATTATTTTATAGAACAACAATATTTTCTATTAATCAAATTATTAAATACTTGAACTTTTTGTAATTGGATTCCAAAGTTGACAATTCAAGGTTTCGTTAGTTTTTTGACATTTTTATTGATTGAAGTACGTAATCTAAACTGAATGACTATTTTTTTCTTGTTTTTGGACTCTCTCATTATAAGTATTGATATACTTGCTGGTTTTGAATGATATTGCTTTGTAGTTATAAAAACATCAGGAAGTTGGAAATCCTAGTTTTACTCCTCATTGAAAGTTAATTTTAATCTTTTGAAATCTTCTTTGTATACTTTTTTAATTTCCTGATTCTTCCATTTTTATTGAATTGCTTAAATCTACTCAAAATCATCCTTAACGATAGCATAAGCTTATTACATTTATATTAAAATTATAATAAAAAATTATATATGTCACTAAAAAGTAATTCTCTTCTCAAAAATACTTTTTTTATGAGAATTCATATTTAATCCCGAGTCGAGTGGTGGTAAAGTTATCGTTTATTGGGATAGAGTTTTCCTAATGTGTAACTAATCACCTTAAAGAGGATTCAATTAGGGTGACTTGAATTTAGGACTGGCTATCTATTAATTCGAGGTTATCATGTTTTTTTTATTGTGATAGTAATCAATTTGTTTCTAAATTGGATCTGTTATTTATAGCTACAATGTATCAAGATATTCAAAAATGGACTGTTTATCCATTATTTTGATTAAAATTAATAAACTAAAACAATATGAAATATCATTTATTTTTTAATTATTCAAGAATTCTTAAACAATTCTCAGATCCCGTTTAAAATTCAATGTAAAGCTATTCATTAAATTTAATTTGATCATTTTAAACCTATGCATTTAAGGATTTAAAAAATGATTCAGTTTATTTTAATTATTCTTTAATTATTTCCATTGATTATTAACACTATTAATGCTTTTTCATCTCCTCTTAAACAAACTTTTGTTAATTTTGTACTTACTAAAATATATTATATCAATTACATCTTTTAACTCTAGTATTAAATTATCAATATTCAAAGTATTTTAAACTTCCCCTTAGTTTACTGTTTATTCAGCATTTTGACTCTATAGTTTAGTTTCTAGTTCATTTACTTTGACTAATAATTATTAATTTTCATTCTCAAGTTTAGTTGTTTATTGCTATAATTGAATCACATCCTAATTGCATTTTTATTAACACTATTTGCAAATTTAATCGTTTTTTTTACCCACAGCATTTTAATCTAAATCATTTTATTTGCCTTTAATCAAATGTAATTCAGGTTGTTTTGCTCCTTTTCTATCGTTTTAAAATGCACTCCATGGTATCGCTTGTTTATTAGTTTTTTCAACACTCTTTTTAGTTTTTTTCAATTCTATATCTTATTGTTATATTGTATTCTATAATGAAGTAATTTGGTTATTTTATTCAGATAGATGTTCATTCAAAGTTTAAATCAACTAATTCAATCTTTCATTTTCTTCTATAACATTTAAAATTTGGCCTTCCATTTTTTATATATCGGTATCCCCAGCAGCTGCTCGTTAATATTTTAATTTCCATTTTTCAATTTCAGTTTACTAAGTATCTATGAGTTGTTCGAGTTTCAATACTCTTTTTTTGATTTCTTAAAATTGTTCATTTTGTTATTGATAGTTTTCTATTTCAAATCTAGCTTTTTCTAATTGTTAATGTAAAATGCAATTCTCGTTGTGTAAGGACTAAACTTTGCTTTCAATATTAATGTTATTTTCTTTCAAATAAAATGCTTGTTGTGTTTTATTTGGAGTGGATATAGTAATTGACCCTCTCATTTACTAATTGATAAACTATTTTTATGGTGTGCTTGGGGCATCTGTATATGGGTTACTCAATCTAACTTATGCTTAGAATGGATTCATTTGTGGAACTGTCATTTGTACTTTTTAAATATGAACACTGGATGTCGCCTTAATCATTAACGTTTAATTTAAATATTATAAAAATAAACGAAAATCAGATTGAAAGTATTTTTCTTTCATTTATCAAGAATTCTTTGATTGCTTTAAGGTTATCAAGTGTATTTAAATAGAAAAGTGATTTATTCTATTTTTTATAATCCTATCAATAAATATGATTAATTTTTACAGGTAGCTTTTCTTATATAAGTAATAATAAATTTCGAGTAACAGTAACATTCTAGGGCAAATAGCTGAATATTTCCTCTAATTCTTATTTAGTTGAATTGTTAAATGTATTTTTTAAACGATTGTCGTAGTTTATTAATCCTGTAAATGCATCTGCCAATTTATCTATGGTATCATTAGTAAAGTGTTACAATTTTATTTATTAAAAAATAGAGGAGAGCATTTAGTTTCGTTTAAGTGATAAATTCATTAATTTATATAATGGCTTTTCTAAAATAAATATTGTGAATAGATAGCAACAACCACACAACAAAAGGGATATTAATATACTGAGCACAAAATTATAAATGATTTTCTAACTTTATGAATTGACTTCATCAACCAACATATCAACATTACTCTTGTATTCAGCCTAATCAAATTTACTTATTAAATAATAATTTTCCTAATCTAATTTCTACACTTTTACATAGTAATCTTTGTTATTAGTTTTGTCATGTAGACATAAGGTTTAATCGATTGGAATCTCACAGTAATTTTCATAATATAGCCCCTTTGAAAAGTTCATAATAGTTTAAAAATCTTGAGAATCAAATCCTGTGACTGATTAATTATAATAGAAGTCTACTCTCGTTGATTTTAAATTATAATGATTGCTTAAAAGTATATGACCAGCTGAATCAATCAGAACAAAATTATAAGGATATGATTCATCTTAAGGAAAAAAGATTTTCATTATAATATCCGTCGCTATGATGCCTTTGACTTCATTTTTAAGCCCTCTCAGATTAAGAGTCTTAGTCAAAGTGATACCACCACTGAAGGCAAAATATGGTTCTGAGTTTTAAACCTCATTCAGACTTTAATTATGGTCAATGAACCAGGGTCTTAATGAAGGATCATAAGTTGGTGGATAATAATCGCATGGTTAAAAAACATAAAATTAATCTTTTGAATTGGATGCAAAATAGGTTCGATATAGTTTATTTTGTATCGGATATGTATATAATAGTAAATTTCCTAGAGACATTTAATCTTTATGTTAAGAGTATTCAGTAGCATTGTATGGCATCCCATAACAATAACAAGAACTATTAGCAAATTTAGAGAGAAAACCTGAATGACTTTTAAACTCATCACAACTGTTAATATGATATTAAAATCTAATGTTCGTGTTTTATTACTATTCAAATAATGAATTAATAACTTTCAATGTTGTATTTGTTAACATCAACCCTTACTATAATTATTTTTTATTCAAAATGGAATAGATATAACTTTGTTTACTAAGAATCCTTTATGCCAATATAATAAAAGACTATTGAGAGATCTCCTAAATTAGAAAACTTTAGGCAAATATAAAATACCCTGCTGCAATCAAGATTACTATGATGATAAAAATAGTTTATGCGCCCAAAACTTGGGATCGAAATCTCCAATTCCTAATGAAAGCAAATAAACTTTTTGAGGCTTTAATGTTATTCATTGTAAATATTATAAATCTAATGTAAAAATTAAACTTATTCAATAATTTATTATAACTAAGAGCAATATGATAATGAGAGACTTAATGAAAATTATCGAAGAGATATTAAAATTTGTAACAATAATCCATAAAAAAATTAATCATAATTAAGATTAGCTATGAATGCTGTACTCTCTTTTTCTTTTGAGACTTAAGTCTTGTTGCGTTCTCATAGTATATAATTAATCATGGAGACTACTGAGATTCTTTTATTTTTGGGTGGTCTCTTCGTTTTTCTCTTTGATATTTTTAATTAATTGATGTTGGTATTTGAGAAGTCTTTCAAAGGTTTCCCGTTAAGAGTTTCTTCTAATATTGTCGATTTACAACAATTGCTATCTCACTTTAAGTAAAGAAGAATAGGAGGTTTATCCTTTGGATCTTTCTAGATTTAACCTGCTCTATAACAACTGTTAGACTTGTTTAATTCTCGATTGACTATTTTTCTCCTCACTCATTTACAGATTTTATTAGATCTATTAACATTATTAAATAATCTATTTTTCTTTCTCTTGACTTTATCTCAAATCTTTGTATTGCACAGCCAATTGTTGTTTTTGTGAGGATTTGAAGGCAGATAAAAATTCACTTTCGAATATTCTGCCATCGGTATCTTTATTGAGAAATCTAAAAAAGGCAGAGATGTAGTCGTTAGATAAATTTGTACATTTTTTTAAGGTCCTGCTTGTAATATAGCCTTTGCCAAACTAATCAATTTAATGAAACAATTCAGTAGGATTGAAATTGCCATCTTCTTTGAGTATTTGAACTTTACTAAAATCTATGGAAAACACATTGAATTTACTTAAAATTGATTGCCTCCTATTACAATAGTTTGATGAGTGCCTCTTTGACATGAGTGTTGTTATTCAGTTTCAGAGAATTAATAAAACTAAGTACATTATGATTAAATGTACTCTGGATAAGTAAATCGTGTTTGAGAGTTGGAATTGAATTGGCTGATTAGATGTTTGATTTCCTCGTCATTCAGAGATATAAATCTTTTGATATCGGACTGATCGATATCGTGTCCATTGGAAGATAGCATCTGGAATGCCAAATGGGGATCAATAAAGAGCTGCTTCATTTGTTCTAAGTTGATTTAACATTCCGCTACGATAGTTATTAAATTGTTTAACATATTAAATTTATTAATAAAATGGATTAGAATAATAGTTTATAACCTGGCTTGATATTGGATCAAAGGTTCAAATTGTTGAGGAAAATCGGGAGTGGAAGCTTCGGAATAGTGTATTTGACTTTCGATTTGGACGAGAAGGAATATTGTGCGACTAAATTCGAGAATCGCAATCTGCAAATGAGAATGATGAATAGAGAAATATTAATATTGAAGCAGATGAAAGGAATTAATGGTATACTGATTTTGATTGTGTTATTTTATTATAGGATTTCCGGATTTGATACATAATGGAAAAGATCGATAATACTCCTATTACATGAGTACATTATTGGGAGAGAATCTTGAGATCCTGTTATAAAGATGTGGAGGTAAGTTTTCCCTCCAAACCACATTGTAATTGGCAATTCAACTGATTGATCGTTTGGAAGGTTGTGTAAAATTTAAAACTTTAAGTCTTTCATAGCATGAATTTTATACATCGAGACATCAAACCAGAAAATTTTCTGATTTCCAAAGAAGACACATCCTTAGTGTATCTGATTGACTTTGGCTTATCAAAATATTATAGAGTAGCCGATGGAAAACACATTGAATTTTCTCAGAAAACAGGAGTAATAGGAACTGCTCGTTATGCCAGCATTAATACATTGCAATGTAAGAGATAATGATATATTCAAGGGATGGAACAATCAAGAAGGGATGATTTGGAGAGTTTGGGTTATATGTTGATTTATTTCGTAAAGGGAGAGTTGCCATGGTCTAATGTGAAAGCCTTTTGTAAAGAAGACAAGTATGATCAAATACTGTAAGTGAAAATGGGGATCCCTCTCAGTTAACTTTGTTTCAATTTACCTAAAGTATTCATTTGATTGATAATTTCCAGTGTTTCATAAATTACTTCTAGCATGTGAAATCGTTGCTATTTCAACAATAGCCAAACTATTCTCATTTAAGAAATCTGTTTGAGAAACAACTCCAGGACTATGATCATCAACTATATGATTGGGAACTTAAGCAAATGGAAAAGAATACCCAAGATGTCCTCATCGATCCTGATACCATACCCAATATTAGATTATAATCTGAAATTGATTTAGTTCCTCCCGTTGATGAAGAAGGAGAAGCATTTCACTTAAAATAAGAGAATTAACACAATGTTAAGTTCATGAAATAATTACATGAAAAATACTTTGATCAGAATACCTACAAACAACAGGATGAATTCTTTTTGCAAAAACACACCTCCATAGAACCTAAAAGTTAAGCCACAAGCAAATAAAATAATTATTAAATTAGCAATCACACTCTAATTCAAGTTGAATCATAACCATACATTCACAACAATCCTATTTAGTTCACCAAAAGAAAGGATTCGAAATCTTATACTTCTTTTAAACAAAGTCAAGAACACAAAGAAAATAGAAAATTTCGATTATCTAATGACGATTACGATTTGGATATGGCTAACGATGATGGGCCTAACCTGGACTTAAAGAATCTCGAAGTCAATTACTTTTTAAAATGAATACTGGTATTTTCTAAATATTATCCTAAGATTACTAATCGTCATTGATTTGATAATATTTAACTTATATATTATTCTATTTCTTACAAAACCTATGATATCATCCTTAATTAACAATAGTTTTCTTTATACTTTATTTTGATTCCATATATAAAATGAATGGTGAATACAATGTCTAAAGAGATTCAGTTATAAATGAATTTAAGTTACAGAAATAAAAAATAATTTATAAGCATGATTAAATATACTCAGTATCAAAAGAAAAATTATTAAAAGTTCTGAACAAAATTAACATCGTAAATTGGCAATTGTTTCGGAGATTCTGATTTGAATCTATCTTTATACTTTTTATAATAGTATTACTTAAACGATATTAAGAAAAATATTGTCCTAATAAAATGTCGTTTTGTTAGAGGAATTGGTTCTTTTTCTAATCAACTATGAATTTGTTCAATCTCTATTTAACCTATTTAGAAGCTGTATTAGAAAATAATTTCCCTTGATTTTAGATGGGTTTAGGCAAATTAGGCAAACAAGTGACTACTTACTAAGTTTACTTATCTTCTTTTAATTTCTTTATAATCCAATTTTTGCCTTTAGAAGTAGGTTATTATTTGCAATTACTCCTTTAATAAGTATGATGAGCCACATTAGATTTGGATGGATTGACTATCTAGATTATTTCAGCAATTCTATACTCTTTTCCTTAGGAATGTTCATTTTTTATTATCGATCTGAAACCTAAAGGCCTAATGGTATTTTTTGATTCATCTGTTATTTTGGCTAGACATCATCAATCACATATTCAATCAAACTTATAGGCTCACACTACCTGGTTATATAGAGTTGACTCTAAAAGAATAAGCCATCCTTATTTTGCATAATATATTTATTATATATATCGACTCATTTCATAGGTATTTTAACATTCTTTTCAGCCATAACATGTTTACAAAGGAATGCAATTGTTCTCCTATCGTTCCTTCTCTTCAATTCTCTTTAATAGAGATCTTTGTATCTGGATGGTCTAGGAATTTCATATAATCTTGTATCATTAAATAGCCATTGTTTGTCATGTTTCCTATCTAATCGAATACATCTCAATATTACTGTGTTCTGAAATGATTCTTTCAAAATTCATCATTTGTTCCTCCACACTTTTTCCATGAATAATGTACCCTGTTTGAACCAACTCCACCAATTTCAAATTAGCCCTTGCAATTCCTTTAATTACACTCATAATTAATTATAAATAATACTAAGAAATTTGTTTTTGATTTTTCATATTACGAAAATATTTGATATAAAAATTCAAAAGATCATTATAAATCTAAATGACAAGGTTTTAACAGATGTCTAAAATTAATGCTATTTTTGTATATATAAAATTTAATGTTAAAAATCAATTTTAAGGAGACTAGATTAAATAGGAGCAACCTGAATCTACTACCACAGAAATCTAAATTTTCAGGGTCGAGGAATGTTAAGAGCTGGCATTCTCGATCTTTTGAATTACCATCAAATTCTATGCTCTAATCTAATCAATAACAGAGATAATAACCCAAATATAGAACTAATCTAATTGTACCAAATACAGCACACTTTCGATAGTCAGCAAGAAGATCATCTAGACCTGATAAAGTAGAAATTGCTGATGCAGTTTCAACTACTAGTCATGTTGTCCCAGAGACCCCAGTCAAAAAGTGCTTGATAAGAAGAATCAGTCAATTTGAGTACATAGGCTCAAAATAAAAAAGACTAAACAATTTAGCTCCTTCCATTTAAGTCTTTCAGCATTCCAAAGATGCAGCAGTCTTGAAGAAAAAGAAAATGAATAGATTGAAAATGCAGTATAGTATGATTAATGACTAATTAGAATTTATGCAAAGAGCTAATCAGAAAAAGCTCTATCGCCAACAGAGAAGCAGGAGTGTACCATTACCAGCCATCCAAAAAATAACTCATAAAAGAGCCAAAACTAATTGCGAACAACAATATTAAGGTCCTATCACCAAATTGGAGCCTGAACTAGAACGGAAAATCAATTTGTTGTTCCAAAGAAAGAGAAATTCTCATCTCATCCTAAGACGAAGAACTTGCATACAAGAACCAAAAAATAGTGTTTTTGTATCACGGGACAAATTATTGAAATTTCAAGAGGTCATGGCTAAGAAATTTGTATTCATTTATAATCTAAACTTTTAGGATCAATTTGATTCATCTTGCGAATCTTCTCCTGTCACCATATCTAAACTTTAATTTAAAAAAACATAATTTAGTAAATTACAAATCGCTAATGCCGACCATCATCAATATCTAACTCCCAGATTGCATTACGAATAAAATCACAACATCTTTACAAGGAGAGAATCTCATAGTGTTATTGCTCAATATGTCATTGATAAAACTAAAAACAATAAAAAAAATAATATTTTTGACTAAAAATTGCCAAACCTCAACCAACCTAGTTTAAATGAATTTAATCAGTATTTTCTTGCTTAAAAGAGGAGCGTAGAAATCGGCAGAACTACATAATAGTTAATTCAATCTAAATCTACGGATAATTTGCCTAAACAAATCCAATTAACTAGTAGATAGAGTTAGTTTATAAATAAATAACTAAAGATAATGAAATAAGACTCATAAATCTGCAATTCTACTAGAATTAAAACCTTACCAAGTGATGCAACACTCTCTAGAAATAAAATAAATTTATAATAAAAATTATGGCCTTATTTCTAATGATTAAAAATGAAATTAAATTTGTTTATATTTTGATTTACAACATATTCATTTATCATATATCTATACACATCTCCAGAAACATAATACTCAGTTTATTCAGAGAAATAGCTGATCAGCTTCACACCTAAGGTAATTAAATTATTTCAAAAATACAAAATGGGTAAGGGTATATGAAAGCAAATCATCCTAAATTAAAAGACACATAACAAAATTCCTATTATATTTCAAGTTCTAAGAATATCTGAAAAACTTTAATAAGGATTCCTTAACTTATGTTTATTATACTAATTACTCATAATACAGAGAACATTTGAATATAGATTATGTCGATTACTTTTTACAAATGACATAATTTCTTTTAGTTATGAAAATGTGATCAGAAATTGATAAATTTTAGATAAAGAATCAAAGATAAATATTAAAAGTTAGTCTTTTTCTATATGAAAATTTTGTTTATAATTATATTTGATAATTTTTACCGAAAGTGAATAAGTTATAAATATTGTAAATAACTAAATGCTTGACGACACATATGCTGAAATATGCTTTAATTATAAAAGATAGAAAAAAAACACAACTCCTAAATAAGCAACTAAATTTAAATCAAAAAAGGATGTTTAGTTGTTTGTCGATCAAATCCAAGCTTAAGTCAAATTACCACCATTAGAACATGAATTCTATTTAAATTAATTTCGCTCTCCAAGTCTTTCAAAGCAACAATAATATTAATGCTCTAAAAGTGTCTTGGTTAGAAGATAAACAAGAAAAAGTAGACTAGGTAGTCTTATATCTGATATTGGTGTACTTGAAGAAGGGGTTCTATAAACATTGTAACAAATTAAAGATTCGTTTTCTAAAGAAAAAAATAGGCTATAAGAACAAGAATCAAAGTATGCTTCCTTGCTAGAAAATTTAGAATCAAAAAATCATATAACAAATACTAATTGGAAAACTTTAATAAATCATCACTTCAAGAATCTTAATGAGTATTTAGATTTTGCTAGTAAAGATATTAAGGATGAAAAGAGTTTTGTATATTGTCACTAAATTTCTGCTAGAAATCACTACCTATTTGTTGACAATGAGATCAGAAGAAATTTTATTAAAAAAAGATAAATGAGAGCATGATTAAAAATATTAATTATTTATTTATGTTAATATTAATATAATATAATGCTAATAATAAATAAAAAATTTCAGAATGAAAATTTCAAATTCATATTTTTATAATTTCTAAGACAAATTAGATATTGGGTTATAGTAATCCAATTAAAATAGTTTAATTAAATTAAAGCACTAAATAATAACCAATTTTGATGCAGATTATTAGATATTAAATTTATAATTGAATGATTGTTTAAACATATATAAATAAGGATTACATAATTGTATTGTTTAATTTATTACTCCCTAATTAGACTTTCAAATATATTAAATATAATTTTTAATGAATAAAATTTCCATTTTGTAAATATTGCAATAGATTAAAATTTCACTCTAAAACCTTAAATTTAATTAATCAAATTAGCTAATCGTATTCAATTGGAACATAACATAGCTATTCTGTTAAATTTATGTATTTCAGTTTGAATTTTTAATAATTGTTAATAAAACCAAAAGGAATCATGAATCTTAGGTTTATTCTATCCTTATTTACAACTCTAATAAAAGTACATTTGTAATTTCTACCCTAAATGATTTTTAGTAGTTAACTAAATAAATTAGCAAAACAAGTATCATTCAATATTTGTCTTAGTTCAATTACAGCATAAAATAAGCAAATCTATCAAAAACATGGAAACAGATCTTGAATTCAATAGTATTTAAATTTTTCTTTAGGGACAATTAGAAGAAGCACTAATGCCTTATTCAAATTTTTTTAATCTATAAATTTTACGATGCATAACAAATATCAAATATATATAAACCTGTTATTAAAAATAATACATTTATTGAATTTTATGAATTTTAAAGCTGATAAATTTTTAAATTATATATTTATATTAACATGAACGCTAGAGGATTTAAATACTAATTGAACATTCATGTTGAGAAAGTTTAAATAAATATAAATTTTCAATGTAAGATGCAGGTACATTTAAAAAGAGGTAATGCTTAAATATATGTGACATAGGAAATTAAAAAGTTGAAACATAATAATTAGCAGATTTCAATAAAGGTACTGCATACATAAATGAAACATTGTCACTATAGAGTAATATTTTTTAAGTGAATGGAATTTATCAAGAGAAAAAAGCTTTACTCACCGTTGTTATTATTACTGATAAAGGCAATAAGGCAGCAGGCTAATGTTCAATAGATTTCTCAACATATTTGAATCAACAAAAAAATGGTATTTTTAATGGCAAACATAGATGTCTATGAGTAATTTCATTTAGATAAGTGTCCTGATAAGCATGCAAAACTTTTCACAAAAATTAAATTTATACTATTAGGAGAAGTTGATATTGACGCAATTAGTACAGCTTAATCAATTGCAGATGAACAAACTACTGATAAAAAATAGCCAGGATAGACTCAAGATAAATAAGAAACTGAAAGCACAGCCAAGAAAAACAATCTTGAAACTTAATAGATTAAACCTTTATAAATTGATGATTCTTCTAAATAAATTTCAAACAACAGTTAATAATTAAGCGATATAGAGCAATCGATAATTTTAGTTAAACAGGTTGGTCCTTAAGCTCCAAATCCTTTGTCTTAAATTAATATTTCATAATTAAGCGATGAATTAGGTGAATTAAGAAAGATGAATGCTGAAATCAAGAATTAAAATATTTTATTAATCTAAGAAGTTCAAAAGGAAAAGCTGTTAAAGGATGAATTATTTTAATAAGTTCAAAATTTGAAGCGTTAATTAGATAACAGCATCAATCTTAATAAATATTAGGAATAAATTCTGCAATATGATAAACAAGTATCATAACTACAAGAAGTCTTACAATAATCTGAAATAAGCAATGAAAATCTATCTAAATAATATAAAACTACATTAACAATGTATAAAAATTTGTAAGATGAATTTAACACTGTTAAAGAAGCATTTTTAATCGAAAAAGAAAATGCAAGAACTTTTATGGAAAAACTTCAAGAAAGCCAAGAAATATATAAGTAGAAAGATATTGCAAATTAAGAATTGAATATTAAAAATTAAGCAGAATTGTAGAGGATAATAGATGTAGAAAATTAAATTAATCTATTAAATTAATAAATTTTATCATTAAATAGATAAAAGGAGGAATGCAACAATTAGATATTATAACAAAAAGATTATATTTAACAATTAGAATAATAGATGTAATAATAACACTTTTAATGTAGCTCATTAAATGATCAAAAAAAGAGTATTGATTAATAAGTAAATATTTACAATAATCAAAATAGATTTAATAATATTAGTAGTAGGTTTAAGAATTATAATCTTAACTTTTGAATCAATAGTAGCAGATGAATTAAATGAAAATCAAATTTTAATAGGATTTAGATTAAAAACATAAGGAATCTTAAATAAATGTTGAAAAATTGTAAGAATATTCATAAAAAATATCTGAATATTAATAATTACATAATGATACCTAATTGAAAATGCAAAAGTTGATAGAGCAGCACGCTCAAGAAATCAAAAATTGTTCAGAAAATATATATTAAGGAGTAATGCCTCAAATAAAATAGTTAAATTAAGAGAAAGCTTCATTGGAATAAACAAATCTCTCATAATTAGAATAATTAAAGATTTAAAAGTCCTTAAATGAAGAATAGGCTATTAGAGAAACATAACTTAAATAACGCATTCATACTAGTGAAGCATAATCAACACAACTGTAAAAACTAATTAGTGATATCTCTGGTGAAACTTAAATTTTAATGAAATAGTTCCTAAATCAAGAAAATTTTGAGAAAGAGACAGAACTTCCAGATATATTATCAAAATTAAATTCTTAAATAAATTCTAAAATAAATAAGTTATAATCAGAAATCGAATTATTGAATTCTTAAATATAGTTACAAGATGAAAAGTATAAGGATAGAAGTAAAAGTTAGTAAGATTCTTTAATTGATCAATTATCAAATAAGAACTGCGAGATTAATGATCTAAAGATTGCAATTGAAAATCTAAAAAATTAGAATTAGCTCTTACATCATGAAAACGAAAATATAAAGAGAAATTTAAATGAAATAACAACTTAATTGGAATAGAAAGAAAATGAAATTTAATAATTGAAATCAATTAATGAGGACAATATTTAAAAGTAAAACAAATCATTGAAAGATTAATAAAATTAAAATTAGGAATTGCAATTGAGGTTAAAGAATTTGGAATCTGAATCATAAGAGATTTAATATTAGTATTAAAATAAAATTTAAAATGCAGATATGAAGATCAACGAACTTTTAAATGAACTCAAGTAATAAGAAAATATTATCAATGATTATAGTCATAAACTGAATGAAGGTAATAAGATAATTTAAGATTATACTAAGACAAATTAAGAATTGTAGAACAAAACTTAAGAATATTAATATTAAATTGAATAAAATACATTCTAATAATCATAATATGAATTAAATCTGAAGGCAATTCAGTAGGAAAACACTGAGTTATAACAATAAATCAATTTATTAAACCTTTAATTAAAATCATTTCAAGAAAAGATCTCTGAAGAAGTACAAATAAATGCAAAAGAATATGAGAATATTCTAAATGAAAATAAATAGAAAATATCAGAATAGTAAGGAATGATTAAATAGTTAGAATAATAAATAACAAATTAAATTTAAGAATATAGGCAAAATTTAGATTAGTAAGAATAGTTCCACCAAAAAGAATTATAAAAACAAAACGAATAAAATCAAAATATAGTCTAATAATTATAGGAGGAATTGAAAATTTCCAAATAAGCTTTGTTAGAATAGAAAATTAAAATTGATGAATCTTAATAAAATTAAAATTAGGAGTAGCTTTAGAATTACTAATCTATAATAGAAAATCTTTAGTTAGAAAACAATACAATAAAATAGTAACATCAATAATTAGAACATTAAAATAACAATTTGAAATTAAGCGTTATAGAAATTGATAAAAAAAGCCAAGAGTAATAACAATTGCTTGGATAATAGTAAAATTAAATCACTCAATTATAATAGAAGATAAAAGAAATGGATGGCATAATCAAAAATTTAGAAATCGAAAAAAATACAATTACTAGCAAATTGACGAATGATTTGTAGGAATTGCAATAATAGCTATTCAGTGAAAATGATGAATGGTAAAAGGAAAAAGAAATTATTTAAAAGTAAGTAGAAGACCTTGAAACTTAAAATGAGGCATTGAAGTAGACTCTGAAAGAAAAGGAATAACAGTTACTTATGATATAGGAATAAAACGTAGCATTAAAGAGTTAAAATTAATTGTTGAATGAAATATAGTAGAAAGTGTAAGAATTAGATAAAGAAAACAAAAATAATAAACTTAAATGGTAACAATAGGTAGATGAAATCAATAGTAATTCTAACCTTTAAATTTAAAATTTAGCAAATTAAATCTAAAGTTTGGAGTAACAATCTGAAGTATATAAGTCAGACATCGATGAACTTAAGAGATAGATAAATTAAAAAGATGATGATATAAAATTAATAGAAGAAAAAAGTAAATTAGACATTTAATATTTGAATTCAAATTAGATTATCAAATTAAGAGAAAAGGATGAGATGATACAATAACTCTAAGCAGACTTATAACAGCTTTAGCAAAGTGAAGTTGAATAATAAAGTTTAATCCAATTTTTAGAAAGTGCTAAAGAGAATTTAGAAAAGTTGTAAATAGAGAATTTAGAGTACACATAAAGGATCTAATCGGCAAATGAAAAAATGATTGAATAGATTAAGGAATACGAGGTTAAAATTAATTCATTAAAAGAAACAATAGAAAATTTAGAGTAAAGTAATAATTAGCTAAAAATTGAAAATTCAACACATAAGTCATAAGTTCTATCACCTGTGGTAGAGAATTAAATTTAAACTAAACTTTAAAAAGAAACAAATTAATTGATAGAGTAATTGCAAGATGAAATAATATCCTTAAAATGCAGAATAGGGGATATGTTAAATACTGCTTCAGATATAGGAGGTCCTAAATTGGTGGATAGATTATAATGTGCTTTAGGGATAAAAGAATGAGGTAAATATAGTTAGATAATTTAAAAAATTTATTATCATATGGTAGTTAAAATTTTACTAAATTCCTCTTCTGATATCTTCCCATCTTTGTTGAGATCACAATCATTTAAAAATTGTTCCCATATCTCAGGTTCTAAGAATCCCATAGCTTCTTCTAGTTCATCCTTTGAAATATATCCATCTCCATTCTAAGGATAAATAGAAAAATTACTAAATCAAGCATTCGGAAAGCCTATCTAATCCTTTCAATTGAAACTAATTTTTCTACTCTCATTGCACCCATAATAAACTCTGAATAATCAATAAGATTCGAATGATTTAAATCTAAAGTATCTAAAATTTAATTCACTTTTTCTTCAGCTTATTCTTAGCTCCTTAACAAAACTCTGTAACCAGCTATCAACTCTTGTTTACTTAAGTTTCCATCATGATTTTTATCAAGAGCATTAAAAGTAGCTTTAAGTTCACTAATTTCTTAACTATGCAAAGTTTAACTAACCATATATGTCATAACTGCTTTCTTAAAATTACTTTAAACCTAATGATAACATAAATAGCTAACCTAAAACTTTTCAATGTTGCTTAACAATTGCAAGGAGATTATTTCTTATTTGGCATTTTTCTAAATCCAACAATGCTTTAAAGCCTACAGTGCAGAATATCTTTTACTAATATCTAAGTTCAACATTTTGCAAATTAAATCCTGAGCATCACTTGATACAGTTGACCAATCATTTCTATCAAAAATAAGCTTCCCTGCTTAAACCTTTGCCAAAGTCTCTTTATCAGTCTTCCCAGCAAATGGAGGATAACCACACAAGAATATATATAGAATGACCCCGCATGACCAAATATCTACTTTTTCATTGTACTTTTGATTTAAGACTTCTGGGGCTATGTAATAAGGAGTCCCTAATCTCTTTTTCATATCAAAGTTCTGAGTAAAATGACGAGAGGTTCCAAAGTCAATGACTTTAATCTCCTCTCCCTATCCGCTCAATAGAATGTTCTCTGGTTTTAAGTCTCTAATTAGGATTTTGATAATAATGTCAATACCTATGAACAATTTATTTCTCATGGCAATAGCTAACTGCTTATAATATTTGTTTGATGTAATCGGCTGCCATTCTTTCACTAAAAATTTAAAGTTTCTTTATTCTTTCAAATAACTCACCTCCTGGTAGATATCTTAATTAATGAAATTAATATACTCTGTAACAACTATGTATTGATCGTCCTCTTGAAAGCATTCAAAAACGCGCACAATATTTGGATGATCTAGAGACTTTAGTATATTAAGCTCTGATAACATTCTTTATTGGTCTTCAAATAACAATGAATCCTTTTTAATTTACTTGAGTGCTCTCAAAATGCCGGTCTTATTATGTTTACCCAACCATACACAACCATAGCTACCCTATCCTAGTTTTTTCAAAATGCTATATTATTCATTCCATTCTCCTTGTTTCATAGTAATAAAATTGTCATAACTAATTTTTACAGATTTTCTAGCAGCTGGTAATTAAATTGTCTTCTTCATCTTTGTCTGATGCGTAATTTATGTAAAATCAAGTTCTATTTTTGATACTGCACTTAAGGTTGTATATTTTTGCATAGGTAAGATCAAATCATCATCGTCCTAAAAGGAATCCCAATTATCATTTGATTTTATCACAGGAGTCAATATCTGAGTATGCTTCTATAACTAATTTTGATTAATTTCTCGATGATTGCAACAACTACTTCCCATTTTTATGAATTAATAATTTATAATAATAAGTTTCTTCTATATGATCTTTTGCATAATATAGCAATGTGGCATAATAAATTTCTAGATTAAATCAAATGAAAATCAATTATCTAATATTTTCTGATTTTTATACACTTCTAACTAACAAATCGATAAAATTGAGTCAAAACAAATTCAAAGATTTTAATCACAACAGTTTCATCTCAATCTATTTTTGGTTTTCAAATGGTAGGACTCAATCTTTAATGAAGAAATTTATTTGATCTCCAATCTTCACTAAATCATAACAAATAATTTAATAAGCATCTATATGATCTAAAAATAGATTAACATTTGAATTGGTGGTAAATGAAGTTCAGTTTTAAATTTCAAAAATAAAAGTGAAAATTTCTACTGAAATCAGTGTAATAAAGCTTGAATGAGGCAATTTTTAGATTTTCTTATTAAAAATAAATCACATTAAAAGTGAGTATTAAAAAGGAGATATTTTAATTATTAATTGCCCATGAGTAAAATTAAACATATTTATTTAAGGAATTATAAATAATCATTATAGTATAATATTTCAATTATTAATTTAAAAGAGATGCCTTTGTAAAATATGTTCTTCATTTAAATAAGTAGAAATCTTTTATTATTCGTCTCAGAAATAAAAACACTATTAAATTAGAAACAATGTTAATAAATTTGAGTTAATTATTAGACATAATATTCTATGTAATCAACCTTTATTTTTAATGTTTATTATTAAAAATTCAAATATAACTCGTTATTTAAAAAAGACATATTTATAATATGGCTGTGGTAAAATTTGATCAAATAATAAATATTTTTATGTATTTATTGGATTAATCAAAACATTGTGTTTAAAAAAAATAAATTACTTGTTTATAAGTGAAATTTAATGATTTAGAAAAAATAGATATATAGAAACTTCTTATGTAGAGATTGGAGGATTGGCAATTAAATTTATTGTTTCTACATCGCTATTACTCTGTTAAGTGCAATCATATTTGTATTTAGTAACTTAATTTATATGTACATTGTTACAGAAGAATTAATGACCAATACTTAAGAAATATTTCAGAAAGAGACCTACAATCATCTGAAAATGCTCAGTTACTTAGAAAAATATTCAACTTTAGATGTGTTTGATGATAGTACAAGACAGCTTTTATCAATTAATTAGTTGTATAAGTTGATAGATAAAGATTTCCACATTGAGAAGCCATATGATTGCTTAAATAACTAATAATACAATGATTCATATGCTTATTTTTTTTCTTTTTGCTATGCTTTTTGTAATTTGACAAATGGATTAAATATAAGTAAATACGAGAATATGTTAAAATTAACATCCTTATTAACTGAAACTCTGAGAATTTATGATCTGTAATTAATAACATTAATGGCCCATGTAGGTGATGAACAGTTCTTTACATAAAATAGAGGATATGCTATTAGCAATTACTATCCTCATACTAGATAATGGTATAGGGATCATATGGCTAAGATGGGAACAGGAAAGAAGATAATAGTTAGTGAACCTTATGTCTCATGGATTGATGTAGTTTTCATTTCTTAAACAACAAATTTGTCTCACACAGAATTCGAAGGCCTGATTGGTCAAGACCTCGATTTTACAAGGATGCCCAAGATTTAAACCAATACATCATAGTATTATATAGTGGATAGCAGTGGCAATATTGTCATAAGTGATCTTTATGCTGGAGGGGTAAAAGTGTTAATAAAAATGTACAATTAAAGTTTAACAGGTTTTAATGAAACTGATTGGAATAATCTAATCCAAAATGATGGAAACATTTTTTATATATACAACAGTGTTTATAAGAAAAATATTATCGTTTTAAAGACAGAACTGAGTGAATTAAATTACTTCTTATTTGTCGTTTACGATGGAAGTTAATATTTAAGTCAGCAAGAAGAAATTTACAATAAGTAGATTGGGTTTTAGAGCGACTCAATTTATTTGTGTGTAAAGTTATTTGGAACATTTTTCCTACTGTCTATGTTGGTTTAGATCGTGATAATTAATTATTTAATGAAAGATTTAAAGTAGTTGGAAATGATGGCTACAAAGAAAATAGTCTATTTCTGCAAGAGCACTTTTTAGTTAACAGAAAAAAGGTTCACTTCCACTATAGCTCGATTATATTATGCATATACCAATTTGATAAATAATTTTGATTCAAATGGATAGATAAGGAAGAATGAATTATGCTCAAAAATTCAATCCATAGAATTTCCCCAAAAGTATAGAAATTTGAAAACTAGGATTTCGTGTGAAATGATTCCAAAAAAAAAAATTTATAATAAAACTTAATTACTTCAATACTTTGTGTATTTTAAAACAAAGGCACTTTTTGATTAATGAATATATATTTTATAGGATAATTGTTGTATTAATTAGAAATTATATTTTAATGTTTGGTAAAGTGAAAGGGAATAGGAGTGGAAATTAGCAAAGTATTAGTAAAAAGAATAAGAAAGAATTGAAAGCATAGAGAAAATGGGAATAAGATGAAGAACGCATAAAAGGTTTGTTAATTAACCAATTAAGGATCGAAATTTAGATTATTGAATGAATATATGTATACTGTAAATAGCGAGGAAGCCTAGAAGCATTTTAAGAAAAATCCTGAGGAATTCAAGATTTATCATACAGGTTATGCTTAATAAATAGAGAAGTGGCCAGAAAGTCCTGTTGGGAATATAATCAAATTATTGACAGAGAGCGAGTAATTTTCGAATAAGAAACTGTAACAATTAATAAATAAAGTCTAGTGTTGTTTGTGATTTGGGTTGCGGCTAAGGAGAGATTCAGGAACATTTTCAGAATGATAAGAGATTGAGTAAATTGATAACAGTGAAAAGTTTTGATTTGGTGGCAATTAAACCATATATAATTGAGACTGACATTAGCAATTTGCCATTGGATGATTGTAGTTGTGATGTGGCGATTTTTTCATTGTCTTTGATGGGAATAAATTATTTGGATTACTTGGGGGAAGCATTTAGAGTTTTAAAGAAGAATGGCCATTTAATAATAGCTGAAGTGAAAAGTAGAATGAATACAATAGATAATTTTGTAAATTTAGTAACTGGAATGGGAATGAAAATATTAAAGAGAGTAATTTGATTAATTTACATGAGTAGGATGAGCACAATAGTCATTTCGTATTGTTTGTATTTGAAAAGGTAATGGATGTTTGTCAATTCAACGGTCCTTTAAATTAGAAACGAGTTTATCAGATATTGGGTCAAAAAGATCCAAACTTGAAGGATTGGCAATCATTGGGGTAGTAGATATTGCAGCCATGTGTTTATAAAAAGAGATGACTGCTTTATGTTTGATATTAGATACATATTTTAATAATATTATGTAATAAAATAATACGCATTTAATTAATCCCGAAAAAATTGTATAGTACTTTTGATTGATTCAAATCAGGAATTTCTGAGGGAACATTATTATTTGAATTAAATAGAGAAGAGTGAAGATGCAAAAATACCCAACGTTGAATCAAAATTAAGAGTTTGATAGAAGTATAACAATCTCAAATATGAATTTGAGTCATATGGGATATAAAAATGTGGAAGGGAAGGTAGTATAATGTGCATAGATTTAGAATTTGTTTGAGAGAGTAAAGGGATTTTAGAATTTGATGGGACCATTGAGACAACAGAAGATAATTCTTTACGAGAGGAGAAATATGTCACCCCCTGCTCAGGAATGTTATGGTAGGAAATAAGTTTAAAAATAGGAATGGATGATTATGGAGATATATTTTACGGAATCAACTTTGCATCTGCTGATTACTTGGGACTGTGCACAAATGAATAAGCAAAAGTATTGAGTTTAAAATAATTTAAGGAAGCTGCAATGAATGCCGCTAAGGAATACTCAGTAAATTCTTGTGGAGCACCTTTAGCATTTGGTGCATCTAAATACTATATGTAGTTAAAGGAGGAGTTGAAGGATTACTGGGGAATGAACGAAGTAATACTTTACAGCGCTGGCTGGTTAGCTGGATTTGGAGTGATTAAAGGTTTGATAAGGTATTTGAATTGAATGAAAAATAGACCTTATGACTTTGTGGTAATGGATGAATTATGCCACAATTGTCTCACCGAAGGAGCATTTGCAGCCACAAAGAATGTGTCAAGAGTTCCACATTTGAGTTTGGAAGCAATGGAGAAAAAAGTTTCAGAAATCAGAACTGCAAATCCTGATGCCTGTATTCTAGTAGTTACCGAGGGTTTGTTCAGTATGGATAGTGATTACACTGATTTGGTGGCTCTATAAAAATTAACAATGAAGTATGAGGCTTTTTTGTTGATTGATTGTGCTCACGATTTCGGATGTATGGGCAAGACTGGTAATCAGTTAAATTTATGAATGTATAGGCAAGGGAGTCTTTGAATTGCAAGGATTACAAGATTTCTCTAATGTGTTATTAATGTCTGGAGGATCAAAATGTTTATCTACAAATGTTGGATGGGTTGCCTGCAATTCATACGAAGTCATAGATTATCTTAAGTTCTTCTCATCTGCCTACATGTTTACTAACTCAGTGAATCCAGTTCAATGCGCTACAGCTCTGGCTCAATTAAGAATACTCAACAGTGAAGTGGGCAGTAGATTAAGAGTTAAGGTTTTGGAGAATTATCATTACATGAAAAAAGAACTCAATGCAAGAGGTTACCAGATTATTGGATACCCATCTCCAATTTTACCTTTGTTGATTGGCAACGAATTGGTTTGCAGAGTAGTCACAAGACTCATGATTGATGAAGGAATTCATTGTAATGGAATTGAATATCCTATTGTGAAAATGGGATAGGCCAGATTGAGAGTCAATTTGTAACCCTAGCACACCAAAGAGTATTCATTCTTATAATAAATTTAGACATATGGACACTTTCATTGAAACATTCCATTTCTGCTTTGTAAAAGCAACCTAAATTGTATAAGAGTCCCTAGAAAAATATCAATTAGCTTTGGAACAATAAGAACAAACATAAAAAGCAAAAGACAATCAGAATAAAGCTAATTTCAATGATAATAGAATGGAACTCAAAAAACCAAATTTATGAATTATTAATTATCATATTATATATAAATAATTTATGTTTACTGTCATCAACTCTAAGTTGGGACTTAGAAGAGGAGGATTGCAAACTGTGACATCAGCTTCGATGTCGGAGATCAGAAGAGTATATAAATGAGAAGTATTATTTAGTAAAGATAAACAGAGTTTAGAAAGAAAATCAAGGAAACCAGGACTAATGATTTCAGGAAGAGACCTCTAGGTTAATTTGAGTTGTACACACTCAATGACAAATTGGAGAATTCTTCTGATGAGGATGAGTTTCAAAAATAAAAGAAATAGATTGAACAATTAGAATTGCCTTTTGAATCCTTAACCAGCACTCTCAGAACCACCAAACCTGTCTTCATTGAAAAAAAGAACTATAAGTATTTCATAAATTAAAAATAAGACAGGCAATTGTTCAAAAAGTAAAATCCAAAATCCAGAGTTTCTTAAAAACCAAGGATAACAATAAGATTGCCATTCAAAATCAAAACGATAATTGGGTATTTCACGCAGATGGCTACGGTAAATTAATGTGGGATACCTTCTGTATGTTATTGATTTTTTATGAAATCTTAAGCATCCCCTTCAAATTAAGTTTCGATGTTGAAATCAATTCCACTTTAGATCAAATAATCGACATCATGTTCATGTCTGATATCATTATTACCTTCAATACAAGCATATACAGAAAGGGAATACCCATCTACGGTAGAAAACAAATAGTTCTCAATTACATTAGACTTTGGTTTTGGATCGACCTGGCAGCCTCATTTCCCTACGATTCCATAATTACGGCTTCGACAGGAGTGAGTGAGGATGAGAGTTCATAAACAACAACAACATCTTCCAAAGATGCTACAAAATACACTCAAACATTATCCTTGCTGAGACTTGTTCGATTTATGAGATTTATAAAGATCATACGTCTGTTGAGATTGGCAAAATTGAAGGTCTTCTTTGATAAAATTGAAGATGCCATACAACTCAACATTATGTTGTCTACTATTGTAAGCTTTATCAAATTGAGTGGATTTGTATTATTTTGGTCTCATTGGTTAGGATGCATCTTCCATTATATTGCTGTTAATGAAGACTCCTAAAACAACTGGCTTTATTATTACGGCATCTATGACGAAGATTGGTCAGTTAAATACATCAATTCTCTCTATTGGGCTGTTACTACTATGAACACTGTTGGATATGGAGATATTTCCCCCAGAACTCCTTTGGAAAGACTATTTGGAATATTCTTTTTGATGATAGCTACGGTTGTATTTTCAGTCACTTTGAATAGTATTGGCTCATCCTTATAAGGGATGGAAGACAAAAAAGCTGAAATTCGTAAGAAATCAAATCAAATTTTAAAATACATGAAAAAACTACAAATACCTGTTCCATTATAAAATAAAGTGAAGAAATATCTGACTTATATTTGGGAACAAGAAGCCATCTTTAATCTTGAACACATAACTGATAATCTATCTTATGCTCTCAAATTTGAATTTGAAATTCAAGTCAATGGTACAATCCTAGGTTATTGTCCTCCTTTAAGACATAACTTTTAAAAGACCTTCCTCAAACAAGTGACCAAGACTTTCAAATAATACACAGCTTTACCTGAAGAATTCATCTTCTTTGAAAACGAATCAATAGCCACAGAAAAGCATCTCTATTTCATTTAAAGTGGCAATATTGAGATCATCCTATAAAGAAATAATTAGAAACTCAATAAACTAGAACAAAAAGACTATTTTGGAGAGATTGGATTCTTTACAGGTTTATCTAGAACTGCATCTGCAAGAAGTGTTAATTATTCCTCTTTAGTCTATATTGATAAGTCATTGTTTACATAACTGTTGAAATAAAATCAAATTGATTTAGTAATAATATTATACTTAATATAATAGGAAAGATTTAATTACATTAAAGATGAAATCATATTTAATAAAGGTTATCATCATATTAATGTCTTTTGCTATGGTTGTCTTAGAGATGATCATACTGTGATTGATTGTCCAGATATGCACTTTATAGTGGAATAGCAACAATATTGTTAATTTAAATCTAATTTTTAGAAGAAAATGTAGAGTCTTTTTGAAAGGAATGACAGAGTATATGTTCATGCTCTTCGCCATAAAAATATTGTTAAATTTGTAATCATCTATATTTTCAATATTCAAGACTGTCACTCAGATTTCTTCCCTTGCTTAAAAACTGATGGCTTAGTATGATGAATGCAATTTAATTGACGAAATGGACAATGGATAATTAATAGAAGAGAAATTTGAAACTTAATAAAAGTTAGCTAAACCCCCGAGATTTGGTCCATTTAGGTCCAGATTTAGAGAGGATAAAGCTAAGTATAGAAAAATGAAATCATACATCTAAGATTAAGAGATGAAGATAAAGTCATTGAAAGCCTAATAAAATATCAGTTAATTACTCTTAAAATGTAAGATCACCTATATTTATTGTTAGAACTTAGTATTATTATGCAATAAAAATCGGCTAATTAGGAGGAGTAGGTAATTAAATCTGAATTTCCATAAACTAAATCCATGGCTACATCAATGAAAGTAATTTCAAAATTTAAAGAAGAAGAAGAAGAAGGTGATAATAAAGATAAATAATCATCTGATTATTAGACGGTTTCCTCCTCTGATTTTGATGATGAGGGGAGTGAGGAATAGGCAGATAAATTAACTTATAAAGAGATGAAGACTTAAAATCAAATATTAGAACTATTAGAGACTTATAATCAATAACAGAAGGAGAGAGAACAGCGAGAACAATAGAATAAGGTTTGTTATGTTTAATTCTATGATAGTTAGAATCCTAATTTATCTTAATAAATAACTTTGAAGTTGGAGCTGATTTTCATAGCTATTATCCTAAATATAACAAAGAATAAATGATCTACGAATATAATAAAATAAAAGACAATCAGAGATTCAGACCCAATTTGGTCTAGTTTTATGAGTAATTGTTATTTTGTATTTAGAAATGATTTTTATCATGAATTAGGAATAACCTACATATTCGATAATGGAAGTGAAGCACTCATAGATCGTCGATTTAAAACCATGTTATAATAGGACAGACCAAGTGGCAAGAAGTTAACCAGAATTGCTAAATAATCTATGGGATTAATTAAAATGCCCGAACAATTAAGTTAATTTTAATCAAATAATTTAATTAAATTTAGTGATTAGGAGATCGAATGACAATTAATTAATTTTTATTTTCTATTAGTATAAATAAATACAGATTAAATAGAATCATCCTCTATGCATATTGATTCTTTGTTCAAATCTTTTCTTTGATTCATCCGCTCTTGTCTACTCAAGAGGAATTTGAAAGTAGTACTACTGATTAATCTTATTCTTTCTATTCCCCACTTTTTGAATCCAAATTAGATTCAACACTTCCTAGCTCCTAACATCTCGAAATAGTTTCAACACAGTAATCAATGATAAGAATTGAAGCATAGCTGAAATGTACAAATAGCAAATAGTACCTAAAATAAACATCAATTTAACCTACAGGTTTTTTAAGTAGATCAGTTAATAAAATAACAACAGACAAAGCTCCAAAGCAAATTTCTAGAAACACTCCAATATAAATGAGCATCTGGATTTTAGCAAGTACTTTTTTATCAGCATTTAGATTTGAAGTTCTAATTTATCTTTATTGAGCAAGCATCTCAGCTTAATACTCCTGAGCAAGTTATATTTTATTTTTCTTATCATCCTCAAGTTAAAAGGAATCTAGATTGATAACTGAATTTATAGTATTTTTTTTAGGTGTTTTATTTTATCGTTTGATTTCATTTACTGATGATTTAGTTTTCTCTACAATTTTAATCTATTGTTTTTTTATCTTCTTGATATTATTTCTCTCCTTTTTTATATTCCATTACAAATCTACTTAACCAAAGTCTTCCTCATTCAATAAACAAGAATTAACTTTCTAATGATTAGACCCCTCATCTGCATGTAATGAATTTTGTGATTCTTCACTAATAATAGTTTTCATTTTGCATTTTTTAGCTTCACGCTTAATTTCAGTATTCTGCTATGTAGGGGTGCTTTGTGGTGATCTGAACGTCACTTGCTTCTTCAAAAAAGTATGATATTAGCGTTTATCGATTTGAGTGATGGCTATGGCTCTGGATGTTTCCTTTTGACTTTCATCACTTACACTTAGGGAACTTAATTTTAAAATTTGTTAGTCAGGAGTAGCTGGTGATTACAAATGATCTTCCTATTAAATCATCAACTATGTTTTTGATAATATAGTCTTTTAATAATAATTATGATAAGTTTACTTGCTAATTATTTAATGAGAATTTCAGCTTCTCTTCTTTCTCTTGTTATCTGTTATCTTAATCCAGTCTTTTGAGTTGTTGTTCTATGCATTGATTGAGGGATCTCCCATATAGAAGGAATTCAAAAATAAAGGAACTAATATTAATGATTGCAACTTACATGAAATTGAGTAACAGTACTGCGTATGCAATATATAAGATAGTTTTATATTATTGACCCAATCTTAATCCTAATTAAAGGTTGAAAATTACCATTTAGTGTACTGACAGTCAATTAAATAATTAAGACAAGGAAGAGTCTTATTTTCATGATGTCTTTGTAATATGTAAGAATGAATTTTCTATTCTCAGTTTTGGGGGCTGATTATTATTCTAAAGTGTTGTTTTTCTTCTCAGTAATGTTAAATGAGATTTCATCATACATAGTATACCAAACCATCAATAAAATTCCATAGATATAAAATAGTATCGTATAAACTACTTCTGCCAGAATTCTTTCACAAACTCTTTCCTTATAATCCTATTAAGAATTTGAATGATTAGAATACATATAATTAAAAGGGGTCTAAGCCTAACCATAGTATCTTGAGTACACTTAGTAAGATAGTTAGACATAAAATACAATTCAATGGGGATCCCAGGACATTCTTGATATAATTACATCCTCTATTGATAATTATCATCTATTTTCATACTTCTGATAGGAAGGGATTTTATTCATTTTGAGAGATTGTTAGAATTGTTTTAAAGTAAAAAGAAGGAGGATTGTAAAGAGTATTAAGAAGAATCCTATAAAAGTATAATAAGTTGCCATGTGAAGTTCTTCCAGTTTCAACTCACATTCATCTCCGAAGTACCCCAAATCACATTAGCATGACCCATCTTAATAGAGTCCACGATCGCTGCAATTTGAAATCTGTAATTCTTTTTAAACGGAACTCATATTAATGTAATAATAATCATAAATATTAGCTATTTTGAATTTTGTATTCACTTCCTTCCAATTTCTTCAGCATAGTCTTGAGTTTCTAATGAATGGACATCATATTGACTTTGTCAGTTCTAATTTAATCTTTATTGATCATTACCTGGTATTAATCTAGATTTATTCAGTGCCTCTTCCAACATTCTTCTAAATAAATCCAATAGCATCGATCATGTATTTAATTACTTAAGGAGAGTTGATTCCTACTGTCATTAGGCTGATCACACCACTTTATAATGAATCTACCAAAATGAAAGTAGATCCAATCTTTTTTTCTAAATTGAAAGAGATAGATTCCAATCTACATAATTGAAAGAATGTCTTATATTATAATACATCCAATCCTTCATTCATTATCGTTGGACAATAAATTGAGTATCTAACGTTGTTTTATCTGTTGGTATCTTCCACATAATAACTACCTGTAGAAACATCCAATCTGCCTCTCATTAGAAAATCAAAATAAATAGAAGCACTACTATATTAATTTAAGAAGCAATCCAACCCAATTACTTAAAATCCCTATTTGTTATTTTCTAATTAATATCCGATTGTGTCTATTGTAAAATATCCAATTAGTCCCTTGCCATACAGTTTCTAAGCAATTTAATGACACAAAACTTCTTGATTTATTTTCAAAAAACTCTAAGGACTGAGAGAAGCAATAGTTTAAATTTCATTAGTTTTAATCTTTTCATATGATCCTAGAATAGAGATTTCTCCTGTAGGTTCCACTTTAAAGTTGTATGAAATTGAATGTATTTAAGACAATCTACTTAAAGGTGATCCTTCTATGATTCCTCCTCGATTTGCTATACTCATTATGAATTCATGATATCCACCATATAAATGAGGAAATGCATAATGAAGCTTCTTCTTGATCTTCTTTGTTAATAATTATGCTAACTAATTGATTTCCAATGGTTGTATGTTTTTGATCATTTTCTAGACCTCTAACCACGCTATGCCTCTTCCTGAAGATTCATCATCCACCTTAATAATCCAAGTGTTTATAGATGGATTTTTTATTATCAATACTGACAATGAATTAATTAATTCCTTTTCATCGTAAATATTACGAATGGTTGGTGGTTGAGGCATTTGCAATTCATCAAACAATACCTTGCATCCTGATTTTGTTGAATAATATTGATGCAATTGTGGAATCCCTGAAAATATTGGGACATTCAGAATATCAGAAATCTTTATATCATCATTCGAACAAACGCCAGGTACAATATACGATGCTTATCCTCTTATTAAAGATTTGATTCTCTTTAGAGCCCTTGGGGAATAATACAGTAGCTGAGACAATCCCATATGATTATTGAAAATATTGTAATTTTCCTATGATTATAAGATATTCATACTGGCCAAACAAAGTGCAATCGATTTTTACAATCTGAAATATCTCCAAGATTTAGAATTTTATAAAAGTAATCAATTAATTCACTAGGTAAGTCATATGGAGCTACATATATTATATGCACGAGAGGATCTTTTAAATTGAATATCCTAGTTATTTATGTATTCTATCTCTAAGGAAATTTGTCCATGGATAGTCTTTTGATTTCTTCAAATGAAAACGAGTTTAAATGAATTTCAAATCTTTATTATAATTTGATAAATGGCCATTCTTCCTTAAATACATTCTGTCTATTTTTGAATCTTTCCAACATATAATTATTATTTTTTATGATTTGCTTTTATACTTTTTTTCTGAATAATGATACTCTCATTGATCTTTGAATTATAATCACTTTTTCCACCATTATTTTCAATCTCTAATAATTTTTTCTTGCTTGATATCCTTTAAACAAAGCAGATATTTTTGTAGCTGCCTAAACTTAACCATCTTTTGATTTATACAATAATGTAGGAACCTTCAATATTTTTTATAGATCTTCCCAATTCTCAAAACATTAAAGCAACTCAGCCATGGTAAATACTTGACTTCTGTCAAACTCTTATGATAATTTTTAGACCTTAGAACCAAGTATTCTACAATCCTAAACTGAAGTTGATTATGCAATCTTTTGTAAACTTATCAAAATTGGTTCTATCTTACTCCAATTCTCATAATATCTATTTTAAAATTGAACATATTATAATTGATCTGTTTATAGTAATCCATTTTTGACGTGAATCATATATTCCTATTGAGTGCTTAAATTTTGCAATTATTCTGAAATGGGTCTCTCATGCTCTTTTGATAAGGAAGTAGCCTCCTTAGCATCAACATATTTTGGTTTTGATTTACTTTGTAAACTCATTTTCTTTTAATTATAAGTGGCCTTACTATTATCTTGAACCTAAATCTATCCAACACTTTATGTGTTGGTTCCAGTGACATCCTGTTTCAAATCAGTTTTGAAATTATTCTAAAAGGATTGACTTTCGAGTTGAACAATCTTGTTTCCAAATTGGTCAGTGTAATCAAAGAAACTAGATGATATGATGAATGGGGGATACTTTGCTTATTGATTTCTAAAGGCCACGTTGTTTGGATTTAACAAAGTATTGATGTCTTGCTTTTTGATGGTTCCTTGATTTACGAGTTCTGTGATACCCTTCTTATATAGAGTCAGATCATCCACTTTAGTCAATTATTGTTAGGACTGTTTTTTTGATTAAAACTTTCTGCTGACTAAATTAAATCATCTCTAAATATTTACTTACATTAAATAGCACTTTTTACAGTATGTAATCCTTTTGGTTTGAGTGTTGATTTGCCCAGCGGTTCCACACTTAATTTAGATAAGTATTATACCTCACTTATGGGAGTGTTCGTACATTGAGAAATTGATCAATAAAGGGTAGTTGGACTTGTTGTTGGTACATGATGTTTTGTGAGTTTGAATAGAATTGCGGTTAGAGATTTCCTAATTTATTCATAGCATACTATCATTAACATTTGGTAATTTTTGGACAGTGTTATCAAAATTGCTTATTAGTTGATCATAAAACGCTGAATTGACATTTGACAATTTGTCTTCAAGAGTTTTCAACTACTCATTTAATTAGTTATATTAATGTTGGAGGAATGATGATGTCTAAGCTATTCGTTATTTAATTAGAAATACAGTTGGGTTTTAGCTTTTGCAGTTGTTTTTTCACCACCTCAATCTCCTGTTGAGTTTTTATATAATATGTTCCCTTGTCATCTGAAGTCATTGTTAACATTATAATATTTTAATATTATTATTTTATGTATTTTTCAATAACTAAAAGCAATCCATAATTATATTAAATATTTCATTGTTTTTTTACATAATTTCAAAGATGGGATGCGGTTAATTAAAGCAAGACTCCAAATAACTAGAAGACAAAAATTTTAAATCCAATATACCTATTTCGACTTAGGTTTCCATGGGATTGACTATAATTTAAAAAACTGAAGCATTAGATACAGACTATATTCTTCATAAACTAGATCCACTAGCAAGTAACCATTATCTTACATAGTAACTAGCTCTACGAAATTATATACGCAAGGGAATATCGAAAACATAGAGTTAGGCACGAATAATCAGGACTTATAATTGTTCAAATGCCAGCGTAGAAAGAAAATAACAATTATAAGAGACCATTAATCTGTTATTATCATTGGTATAAAATTTTTCTTCAATTAGAAACATCTCAATATTCAAAGCACTTCTGCCTATTATTACAGTGATTGCAGATTAAGTTTAATTGGAGAATTCATCGACGGGGGCAACCTTTTAACTTAACTGGATAAATTTAGCTAATTGCAGTAGTACCAATAGATTGACATCTTTTGTTAGATTATGGCTGGAGTTTAATACTTACATGATAATGGAGTGATGCATGGGTATAGTTCAAAATGAAATTAGTGATATTCGATTAGAGCACATACTATTTACAAATAGAAATTTAGAAAAAATTAAATTAATCGATTTTGGGATACCAAATTCGATCAAATTAGAATTCTCATCATGGAAACCAAAAAATACGATGTAAGAGTTATCGTTTAAATCTCCTGAAACTATCAAAGGACAATCAACTTTTAAATCAGATATTTATTCATGTGGTTGCCTCTTATATTTCATTATAACTTCTCATATGCCATTTTAAGCTAATAATTATCAGTCGCTAAAAAGTTGCATCCTTCGTGGTGTTCCTAATTTTGATAGTACTGAATGTACTAACATGAATCCCTAAATGAAGCAGTTATTAAGCAAAATGTTGGATGCCAATCCTCAGAGAAGACCATCTGCCTAAGAGGTGATTAATCATCCAGTTTTGAATAATAGAAATAGAATTATGTACAAACCTAATAAATAATTGTAAAAGCATATGAAAGAATTCAAAGTAATTATACTTCTAAATTAGATATCCTCTTAAATATAAGCAGCTATGTTAATGTATATTGCAGAGAACATGATGTCTGAATAGGATAAAAAGAGATTAATGGATGAATTCTAAAAATTTGATCTCAATAAAGATGGACAATTGACCAAAGATGAATTGCTCAAAGTTTATTCAGAAACATTACCTCCTGAGAGGGCTTTAAAAGAAGTGAATACAATTTTTAAAAGAATTGATGTTAATGGTAGTGGTAAGATTGATTATTAAGGTATAATTAAATTGATTAATTTAGAATTCATTATCGCAACAATCGATTAGAAGAAGTATTTTAATAGAGAAAAACTCTTATTGTTATTTACGTAAATTGATAGGGATCACAGTGGAGAATTGAGTAGACAGGAAATTAAAAAATTATTAAGAGATATGTAGATACCAAATAATAAATATGAACAACTAGTTAAATAATTGGATCAAGATGGTGATGGAGCAATAACATAAGAAGAGTTTCTCAAGATGATGTTATAAATTTGACTTTATGTGTAGTATACAATTTTGTGTGCTTTTTCCTTTAACTATTATTATAATTAGACATAATTTATTAAAATGAATTCCTCCTAAAAACTAAAGGAATCTCAAATTCCTGAGAAGGAGAAAGATAAAAATAAGTCCCAAAAAAGCAAGGAGGATGCCAAAGAGACTCTTAAGAAAATTGTCGAATAGGCTCGTTAAGCAATCCTAGAGAACAAGCTAAATGTAACTTTTATTCAATAACCAAGGCCACAGAAGAAGTTCACAAAGCCATGATCGAATATAAAGAGATCTTGGGGGGAGAAAATAGTGTTCTGCTTCTTCCTGGTTTATTTATATAGGCAGAAGGATACATAGCAGAAGGCAAATTGAAAAAAGCTGAAGAATTTCTGTAGGCTGCATATTGGAATCTGTATCAATACAATAAACCAAAAGAAAAGGGAAGCGAAGATGGCAACAAAATGGGGTAAGATATTTCAGAAAAGGAGAATGCAGAATATAATGGTCAGTTGCATAAAATATTTTCAAAACTCTACTTTGCTTAAAAGGATTACAAAAAAGCATTAGCAGAATTAACAATCGGAGTAATCGTTGTCTCTATGTTTTGATTAGATTTATACAGATTCCTGCAGTTCTGATCCAGAACATCCCCAGACAAGTTTGAATTACTATTATATGGGATAAATTTTCTAATAAAAGAAACAAATCTCAGAGGCTGAATAGTTTTATGCAAAAGTAACGTCAAAGATCAAATATTCTAGACTTCCCAATGTTGGTATAAATATTTAAAGAGATATTACCAATATGGTACACCATCTATGGAAAATCTTCCAGAGGAAGTCATTTTCAAGGAGGCTTTATAAGTTCTCAAATAAATTGAAGGTTAAATGGTTTGATTTATATTAGAATATTTCAGAAAACACATTGATGAGAATAACATCAAGTTATACATAATACCAATCACTAATAACTTGTAGGCCTAAGCCTTTGTTTACAAAAAGTTGAATAATGAAGAACAATATAGACATTATATGGGGTTGGCTTATCAAGAATTTCTTATGCAATACGGTGAAAATCATAAGAAGACAAAGAAAGTGACAGAAATTTAGGAAATTATTAAATAAAGGGAAAGAGATTATTGAAAAATTAATTATTAATAATTTATATATAAAATGCAACTAAATGAAGAACAATAAGAAAAAGATAATGAAGTCGATTATTAGCATGTTTATAATTCAAGTTTGTTTCGTAAATTAACAACTCAATAAATAAGAAAGATTCTTAACCCTTACAAGTAAAATGCAAAAGAAGTTTTATAAGAGTTATCAAATCAAATTGACACCTTGGAAGAAGGGTTGAAGAAATATCAAAATGAAAACACTATGATACCACCTAGTAAATAATAGATTTTGGATATTCTCTAACAAAATACTGCATTTACACCAACCGAATCTATCCAGTCATTATTATCAGAGAAAACAAAACTGAAAACCAGTTACCTTCATGTTGATAATCTCTACATGTATTTAGTTACAAATACTATTTAGAAATCAGGATGAACATATCCCTTAAACCAAATTGGAGATTATGTAAATGGCTTTGTCTAATAAGACCATTCAAAAACAACAAAGAAAGGCTATTAAATCAGATGACCTTTCAAAAAAGAGAAAGATTATCATGCAAATTCAATAGAGAATAAACTAAGATGAAATTATGAGAAAGAAGAAAGAGGAAGAAGAGAGGCTGCGATTATTGGAAGTACACTTATCTTATATACAAGAAATAAGCTAGAGAAGTCGATGTTGGATAGTTGACTTTAAATATGATTTCAGATCTAAGGAAAAAATATTTTAATGAATTAGTTTCCACAGATACAGATGAGAAGTTTAAGAGAATTAAAGAAATTAAAGAAGTTTATGTTCCATAATAACTGAATAAAGTTAAAGAAGGATGTATATCATTAATACTATGATAAGATCAAAAATAATAATAGGAGAAACTGAAACATGATTTAGTATCAAAGAAATCGCAATTCAACTCATACTATTAATTGCTTGCTCTTGAGAGAACTATGAAAAGTGTAGTGGCATTGAAACTTAAACCAGAAATCAAATCCTATTCGAGATTTAAAGGAGCAGAAATTCCAAAAAACTATTCATCTATCAATAGTATCGTTAAGGGGATCATTCATACATCCAAAAATTCAGATAACAAAGGATTTAATTGAAAAAATTAATTTTTCTATAAAATTTTATCTAAAAAATATCATAATTATCAACAAATGTGAATTTTAAAATCTCTATAAAATGGTTATTAATAAGTTTTAGTATATTGATGAAAAATTAAATCATTATAAAAAGGAAAAATAGGTAAAAATTTAACCTTAATCTTATTATTTAATGATTGTTAATAATAATTATGAATATATTTAAAATATATATGGGGTTAATCTTTTCAAACCTTTGAATTTGCAGATTTTCGAATTCTGATTTTGGCTAAGCTTTAACTGGTTGCTGGAGTCGAGTTATTTAAAATTCTTGAATCTACACTATAGAAACTGCTAGCATGTTGATGAGAATGTATCCTATATTATTGCTTTAACAGTTTCCATGAATCGAGGTTTTAGATTATCTTAAAGCATTCTTTGGATGGGTTTTTATTGATATAATACTATAAGAGAGAGCAAACAGCCTTAATGAATTCATTCAGATAGCTAAATCGTTTATTAGGGACTCCATTCTATTGAGTTAGTTCTGAGAGCTGTTTAAGAATGCTTAATAAGTTCAATTTCATAAAGATAGTGTGAATATTAAAGTCTGATCCGAATTCCATATTTAATTTTAATATTCTAAGAAAAAGACCCTAAAATATTTAATTTGGTCTTGTAGATAGACATTGCCTACATATTTCAATTAGACAACTCCATGTAGTCGCAGTTATTCTGTTCAATAAATTGGATTACCCTCTTTCAATTCCAGTTTCTATTAATAAACATAGAGTTTCACAGAGTAAAATTTTACTAATATCTAAATCTATTTTGGTGGCATTAGAATTCTTCCAAGTTAAAGAATTTATGAGTATTTTACACAAATAATCAATATAAATTTAACCATTATCTTGGAAATTAATAAACTCTGGTTTTTGTTTGATGAGAAAATTAACCAATTTTCCGCATAAGATGGCACTATTTTCTTTAACATATGGACTAAGTTTGATTTTAAACAAATAAATCTATATTAACATAAATACTTTACTTTAATCAAATTGTCGAACATGGATGAAGTCTAATCTAATAAGATCATTCCTAAAAATATATCTCTTTTTTCAATGGAATGGTTTTTTTATTAAAGTAATTTATGATTAGATAGAATTAAATGTTAAACTAAAATTGACAAAAACTAGGTTAAGTTGTAACAAAAAGGTTCTTCTTTGATTAAACTAAGAATTATAAGGAGTGTTACCTTTCAATTTAAAATTAAACTGATTATTACTCTTAATCCCATTTCCCTTGAATCACATCCTTTAAGGATAGAGGATATAATTAAAAAGACATATTTCTTGAATGTTTCTTGAACATAGTCTTTGAACTTTCTTTCATAAATGATTAAGATTTCTAATCATACTTATTATTGCTCTCTTTTGTTTCTACTCTTAATTCTAGAGGATTTGGATTATAATCATAAGGAACAAAAGGATCTTTCACCTAATCCTATTCATCTAAATCGAACATAACTGATGCACTTCTAAGTACAATTAATCTTTCTCTTCCTTCCCGAGATTGCCTCTTTTTATGCGGTTCAGTAATGATTTCAGCATTTTAAATAGCTTATCTAATTACATCCATCATTGAAGCAGGTTTTTCAATTGTTAAAGGTATAATATTATTAGCTGATTTGTTAAAAAAAGATAGTTATTTGATTGTTTTTTTGTGTACAAAATGCTTAAGTTAATCAATGTCCCATCTTAGATGAGCTTTTTCTTCAATGATATAATTAAAATTGTTGTTGTCATTCTATTAATATACTTTCTCTTTCAATTAAAAATCTGGATTAATAGTGAATACATCCAACATCTTATTATTCCTAAAGTTTTACGAACATTTTAATAATAAGTCACTCTTAAAACTTGGATTCACCAAAATATTAATCAATTCAGTAAATAAGTCTGCAGCCTTAAAATACTCCCACACCTAATTATACAGTAATTATTAATGTTCAGATGGAGTATGAATCAATAAATTGATCTAAGTGAATAAATGAATTAAAAAAGAAGAGGACTGATCATAATTTATATAATACAAGAATGCATAGGGAATATTGTAATATAGTGTAAAGTACACTGAAATATCCTATTCTTTTTCTAGATAGAAAGTAAGCAATTGAGTTAAATGGTTAAAATTACAGTACTTTAGTTAGTCTTCATTAATACATTAAGATAGATAGGAGACTAAGAATATAGAATAATATTAGATACAAGCTATTTTTAGATATGCAGGATTGACTTTGGCTATGATTGAATGATTTTCATCATCTGTTAAACTTTACAATGATCGTATTGAACGGATGTGATAAAGTTGAGCTGGTGAGTTTAGAGACAAACAATCTTTCAGGTTTGGAATATCTTTCAAATTGATGGTTCTATTCAATTCTATTCTAGACCACTTAAAATTAAACAAATTTCATTACGCAATTAGCAGGATCATACTTTAAAGGGCAATAAATAAAAGACAACATAATTTCTATATTGTCTTTCAGTTTGAACATATTTTAAGAATTAATTACACTACTTGCGATTTTTTTTGAAATTATAGGTATAGGGTAGTTTACTTTACTCAACCATCTCTATAATTCAACTACAACCTAGTTTTCTTTTCGGATAGAGTTAGATCTTGTTGGAGATTCACATTCGAGATAATCTTCAATAACTTGAATTTCAACTGTTCTTGGTGTTCTTGTGGCTATTATTTCCTCAATCTCGTGGAAAATCAATGGATTCATTTCATGTATTAAAGGCCATTTATTCACAATTCCTTACAAACTATTGTAGAGTTCCAAAGTAACTTTTTAATCATGAATATTCGACAAAATTGCTTTATAAGCTTATGTAATTTATTCTGCAACTGACTAACCTTCGCTCGAATCATTCTTTGGAATTTGCTTTATAAAGAACTAAAGTTAGATTATACACTCTTAATAAATTCCTGAAATATGGCTCTTCATTACATCTGATAGATAATTGGTGTCCTGTTAGAATATTTGTGAGCATGCATTCAGAAATTAAATTTAGAACTAAGTGATAGGTGCAAATCTTTCTATAATCAACTCTAATAGCATCTTGATATTCTATCCAAACATTGATTATAACATCAACATATAAAAAAACAACTAATCTTACTTTAAAAGCAGATGCCACATGGACTAAAAAGGTAATAATTGTGCAATTTATTTGCATGCTTTCGACATATAGGTATATCTTGCTTATTCGTTATTTGTAGTTACCTTATATAATGTTTAATATAATTACAGCTTCTTTTAAGTATTCTGCACACTTTAATTGCATTAGTGATAAAAGTCTATTTTTATTTTATATTTATCAAAATGCAACAAACTTAAAGGGGAAGAAAGGTAAAAAAGAGTCAGAGCTCCAAGAAGATTAGGTCACAGACAGAAGATCCCAAAAAAAAATCGTTAAATAAGAAACCGTTGTGTTTGAAATATTATTATGTTGGCCCAGGCAATAATGGCAAATTAATTTCGAATTATTTATCTCAATAATAGTAATGAGAATAATTATTGATTTATTAGAGGTTGGAAGATTTTAGATGCAGAAAGCGGAAAAACTTCAAATGATTTTTATTTGAAATGGGTTCAAACTAATTCTGAAATTCAATTCTAATAATTCAAAGAGGGATAGTAAATAATCAATCATTTACCTAACCATATGATACTTACATCGAAATAGCTTATCGTATAAACAATGAAAGAGTATGAAAGGTAAAACAAATGTAAATTTTTTGTTAAATTTAGAATTATAATTCAATTCATCACACTTCTTTCCTGAAACATACAGAATTGATTTAACCCAAGAGTTTTTGAGTGTTGAGGAAGATCAATTTTTGAAAACAGATAATTCTGCAGTTTGGATTATTAAACCAACCTATTTTAATTGTGGAAGAGGCATAAAATTATGTTCAAACGCAAAAAAATTAAAATAAGAGTATTTAAAGTAATGATATTTGTGAATGTTAGACTAAAATAAATCTCAAATTCAATAAAATAATAAAAAGGATTTTTGCCTAATGGTATATTCACCCCTAATCTTAAAAAATGTATAGTGCAAAAATACATTTAAAATCCTCTGTTATTGGATGGCCGTAAATTTGATATTAGATGTTATGTTTTGATCGCTACTTCGAGACCATTATTTGTTCTCTTTTAACATGGATACTTGCGTTTATCTGTAGATAAATATAATGTTGAAGATATGGATGATGAAAAGAACAGATACAAACATCTAACTAACGCAGCTATCTAAAAAAAGCATCCTTCATTTAGTTCTTCTAAAGAATCAACCATTTGGTCTATGTAGCAATTAGAAGTAATAATATATTCCAGCTAAATAGTAATATTTAATAGAGAAAATGAGTGTGACACAAGAATAGATTGATAAAATTTATTTGTAAATGAAAAGAATATTTGCACATATAATTCGATGTGCAGCAGATAAATTTGAAAAGAGGTTAGGCACTTTTGAATTGATGGGATGTGACATCATGATAGACACAAATTTAAAAGTGTATCTAATTGAAATGAATACTAATCCAGCATTATTTTTGGGTATCTACTTTTATAATGATATTTAGATACTACCACTTAAGCTTAAGTTATTCCTCCAATAGTTTAGCAAACATTAGATTTGGTCATTTAGTTAAATGATGAAAAGAACAAACCAATTGAGAAATGCTTGTAGGATGCAGCCAAACTAAAATTAGGTAATTGGGAAGTCATTCATAATGAATCTATTAATTTTAATTTAGTTGCATAATGATAAAAAAATTAAAAATATATGGCAATCAAGATTAATCAAGATTAATCAACTTTAATGATTTAATCTATAAGTTCCCTAGTTTTATCATTGTAATTAGATGAGGTTTAAACAACTTCTTTGTCTTGCCTTTTTATTAAGGAAGTTTTTAAAATTGCTAAAGTTATAAATAAATATACGTTGGCTTGTTTTATATCTATACTTAAATTATTTGAAATTATAAAACTTTTTGGCCGCTTCATCTGCATCAATTTTCCATTTCTCATTTAATTTTAATTAAGTTGACAACTGCATCTAATTATTAAATGTAATCTAATATAACTGATTTAAAAATTCATCACTCGAAATGAATCGTTTTAACAGTTGTCTAATTATATATTTATAAGTATTGTACATCTTGTCAGTATGAGTAAATTGAGAGTATTGCTTTTCGCCCTCTATATTAGGTTATGAATACGAAGTAGGTCTATGTTAAAAGAACTATTTTTATTAACTTTATCTATTTTAGACTTCTTTTTTCATTTCATTGACACAATCTATCAGAATTTATTCTAATTCTCCTTTTTAGCAATTGTATTTAGACAGCTCAGCCTTTAATAATTGATTTATTTATTTTTCTTTTTATAGTTATGATCTAAGTTCTTAAATCTGTTCCTATTTTGTGGTATCTTAAATCTAATAAATTAAGGTAATACTTGTTGAATGTCCTAATTGTATCTGCTACGTTATTAGGACGACATTTCTCTTCTAAAAATATCATGTTATGATGACCCATAATCTTGTATTTTGCTTGATAATTATGTTTTTTATCCTGATTTATTAGATGAAAATTCTCTTTTCGATATTTCTCCCTGTTCATCTTTAATCGCTGTAAATTGTGTTCCTTCTTATGTAAATGTTCTATAATCAATATTTTTTTTTATAACTGTCTTTTGATTAATATCTCCAACAGAACTCACTCTTTAGCCAATTCTTTATTCTTCACTTTTCTATTTATATAATTAAAGTAGCTCCTATTTCAAGGCTTTATTTTCTTTTTTAGAATCTAAATTCTTCATACAATTAATATACCGATAACAAAACATTCATAATACTATTTTTCCTCTTAAGTTATTTTCAATTTAAATTTTAATTCTTCAATAGTTCTTATTTGTTCTTAACATAATTTATCCAATCTCAAGGCTTCTTCCCTAAAATAATCTCTCTCTTCTTCTAAAATTCTTTTTTTTTCATCTGAATTTTATCGAAGTGTCTCTTCATCTATTTTTCTTTTCATTGCCTTTAATTCTTTTTATATTTCAGCCATTTGTTCTTTATATGCAATCATAAAATCATCTTCTTGAGATTTAATTATTTTATCAACTTTGGCTTGCAAATTCTAAGAAAGTTTAGGATATTGTTTACATCAATTATATCTTACAATTTATTGTAATCTCTCTCAATCTCTTTTCCATATTTGAGATTGTCTTCCAAAAAGACTTTCCTCCTTTGTGTTGTGAATTAAGTTTAAGTCAGTAATATGTTTTCAAATCCTTCCATTAATGATTTGGTCAATGCTAATGTTAAATGATGGTTAATTACAATTTTGAGATTCCATAATTCTTATAATGAAATTAAATTATATAAATGATATTTAGTATAATAAAGGATGATAGTTATTAATAAATGGAAAATAAATGATTTTATTCTTCTGTCATTTAAGAACTCTAAAAATAGTCCGAAGCAATTTGGTCAATCATTACTTTTTTAATAAAAGGTAATTAATGACATTTTGAATACATTTTTGGATTACTAAAGTTTTTATATAAATTATATCTTCTATTTTAAATCAAACTAGTCTAGTTACTTAGTAACATGTAATCTAAACAATCAGAAACTAGATAGAGTTGGACCTATCAAGTAATTCTGAGAATCATTTTTAATAGGAAGACAAACTCTTATTAGAACTTATCAAACTCAATGGGTGTGCATCTTGGAATCGTATAGCAATTGAACTTCAATCTAAAATGAAGAATCCCACAAAAATACGTTCTCCAGCAGCTTGTAGAGAACGATATTAAAACATACTTAACCCTAATTTGAATAAAAGTATTTGGACAGAAGAAGAAGAACAAAAATTATTCAATCTTTAACAATAATTTGGTAACAGTTGGGCTAGGATAGCTTCCTAAATGACAGGTCGCTCTGATTTACTTTGTAAAAATTACTTTTATGCAACTTTGAGAAAAGTTTTACGTCGTCTCAGTAAAGCAGTGGGGCTGGATTAATGTAATTGCTTATGTTACTCTTTTAGCTTCAGATTTGCTAAAGTAAATTAAACCTAGTGTGTTAGGTGTGATCTATTGCAATGAGGATTCTCTAAAAAGCTTTAATATTGATGAAGAAATGAAGAATGATTTTAAAAAGATGATTAAATAATACAGACACACAGAGAAATCAGAATTAAGAATGTTACCAGAGGAAGAAATCAACCATATAAAAACTATGCTAAATAAACTGTTTGCCATCAAGTATTATTTTTAGCATATTCACATTCTTAGCAACAATTACATTTCTTAAAAAGGTGCAATCACATTTAACAAAAATAACAAGCAAGATTTAATCTCTTTGGAGACTAGTAAAATCAACCTAAATTAAAATTGTTAATCTGATTCAAAAATATTATCAAAAATCTAAACCTCTACTCTGAAACATGATTATTAGGAAGAATATGATTAATAATTAAACTATTAAACTCAAATCTTCTAAGAGCAGTAACCCAATCAAAACTTAGACAAGTAACCTTATTCTAACCACTATTCATATCCACAACCCCTAGTAATTCAATTATCTTTATTAGATATCTATGTATACTCCCACTCCTGTTATAACATTCTATATCTAACCAAACTTCAATATCTGGCCAATCTAACCTGCCTAACTATACAGCCCACCTTAATGCCTTCAAATCCCTTAAACTTATACTTACGTCAAATATGAGTAATCATAATGATGTAATATAAACATACAAAAAAAAATATAATTGAGATTTATTAATTTAATTTTCTAAGACCGATAGAAAAATATTCTCAATTCTAATCAATTCATTTTAATAACTAAAAATTAATATCCATTCAATTGATCCTTTTATTTCATTCTTCTGCTTTTTAATTAGAATTATTTATATGTCCATTTGGTTATTTTGTTTATTTAACCCTACTTTATTCGTACTTCCCTTATCAATCTTTAACGGGTTCCTTACATTAATTTTTTCTTACTGAATAGCAAATAATAACAAATAAAATAGAAATGGAATATAATTAAATGTATTTGGATTTCAGGATGGACAAGTGATTAGTTTTAAATGTCATGTAAGATTTTATTTTTTTGGCTATATAAACAATACTCATTCTAAACAACAAAACAATTAAAATAATAAAATAATACCAGCATAAAATGCAATTTTATAAGTTTGCTATCACCTATTATATGAAATAACATTAAAAGGTCTTGGTTAAATCTAGAGCAACAGCTTCATTGTTACATTTGATATTTTATGTGTAGTTGATTAGTTTGCTATTAATTAATGAGGAAGAGACAATTAAAGTTAAGAATTAAAATTATTCCTTAAATTTATTGCAAGCATTCGCCTACTTGAATTAGATTGGAAGGCCTTATCAACTTTTTTTAAGCTATTAAAATTTTAGGCTTTTTGCATTTTTGCTTCCCACAATATTCCTATTTTTGATATCAATCGGATTTATTAAGAGCTTTATTGTTAATTATTTATTTTCAAAAAGATCGGACAAGAAGACAGCAGCCTAGAATCCTGATTTAAACTCATAGTTGTCATTAATATATTAGTTGTATTTTTATTTATTAGCCTTATACACATTTGACTTTTATATAATTTCAATTGCTGAATCAATATCAAATACATTGATAACAAATATTTATGTGTTTGTCATCAGCATAATCCTACTATTCAATTCAGTTGTATTTGTATTCATGAATATATTGTGTTCAGAATCTATTCATTTCAAAAGTTCACCTTTGCATGTTTAATAATTGCAAAAATACTAATTTTTGAATGTTATATTGATCATTTTTTCAATGTATTTCAAATCCAAAAGTGATGAAGGGAGTGCAGTACCTGTTTACATTTTAAATATCCTTATTATTCCATCCTATATATATTAAGAGAGCTAAAAATAGATCAGTGCTTTTAATAAGCTCTCTTTAATTATATTATCGTTTGGATTGTTTTAAAATATATTTTCATTAATTTTAATAGATGTTTAGTTTGAATATAGAATTGGATTGGTTTTTCTCTTATGCCCCTTTTTTATAAATATTCTGAGTTATTACTAAAAAACCAGAAACAAATTAAACATCAAAAAATCAAGAAACATCTCAGAAATATATTAAAATCTGATAATATTATCAGACCAAAAATCAAAATATTCACGAAAGCATTAATTTGATTTTGTTATCTTAAATTAAAAGAATGAAGCTTTGAATGATTAAGATCTCTTTTTATAAGAATTATCCCTTTTCAATGATAGAATTGTAAAAGCAAGTAAGTCATAAAAAACCTTTTGGTATTAAAAATATATATAAATTAAATACCACTAATAAAACTTTACTGATACAATATCTTTAATATATAATTTCACTTAAAATCAACTTTACTCTGAAATTACAAAATCATATTTTAAAGTATCTCTATCTTTATCATTTTTGCAAAGATTTTAGTTAGAATTAATTTAAAAAGAAGTCTATTAGCTGTTATATTATAATATAACAAAAGGAAATGATTCATAAGAAAATGAATTAGCTAGATAATATATAATCTACTCATAAATTGTTCAAGAAAACTAATAAGAAGTAAAAACTTTATTTTAGATCAAAGAAAAAATATATTAGTAAATGCTTTAAGGAAAACATGAAAGCTAAAATCAACTATTTAACATGGCTTATTCTTTGACAGAAAGAGCCTTAAAGTTTCTCAAAAAAATTAAGCTTGACTTATATGTTCATAAAAGTTATCGAATTTAACAATTACTTATTATGCTATATATCGATTTTTTTAATAACGTCTTCTAAGCTGAAATACTGAGGTTTAGTTAAATTGTTAATGAAGATAACAAATAAAATATATATGAGTAATTTTCTTTTATTGGATTGTAAATATTGGATGATATGGAAAATCTAGAAATTATTTAATACAGTTAAGACATGATCTCAAATTTAGGATATTCAAAAAGCAACATTTAACATGAAAATTTAAATTTTAAGAAATTAATACCTACAGAATTTTACGAAATTCATTAATTTTTGATAAAAAGATTTCTACAAACTGGTTTATGTAAGAAATCAACAAAACCATATGAATTACTTATCAAAGGAAATTAGGAGACTTTCTTCTATATATAACTGCAATTAAGTGTTTAGCCCTAAACCAGTAATACTATTTAAATCTTTGCATTTATTAAATTTTTAGAGAATCAACCCAATTCGTTGTTCATCAATAAGGATAATAAAATCGTGGGATTTACTAACAGTTTTATAAATTAATTTAAAGAGCTTGGATTTGACAAGAAATCTCTATTTTAAAGTGATGTCAACAAAATTATATCAAACTTCAAAAGATTACCTCTATAAAAACACACAAAATTTAGATTCATGTAAACTTAGTAAGATATTAGTGCTATAATAATTGAGAAAGACAATTTATTTGAATTGTAAATAATGGATAATTCTGATTTTATAATAGATTCTGATTAAGATTAAGAATATGAGAAAACTCTAGTTAAGAGTTTTTCTGAAAAGCTTTTACCTAATCAAGAATCTTTTGTTATAATACCTAATCATTAATTCTTTGAAGATATAAATCTTCCGCTCTCAGAAGAAAGGAGAGATAAAACTGATCAAGAATTATTAAAAGAGGATTAAAAGAAATAATGTATTCTAACAATTAAAAGCAAGTTTGAAAGTGATAAAAATAGCGATTCTCTGAAAAATAAAGATTAGAAAAACTCAAAAAATAGTCTTAATCTAAAATAAGAGGATTTTAATAATGATGATCAGGCCTCTTCAAAATTCTCTAAAGGATTTCTTGACACTGCAATATTTTATAGTAAATATAATCAGTTGAATAAATTTTTGGAAAATAGCAAACTATTATTCATTTATGTTACTATCTCATTATTACTATTTGTACTCCTAATCAACATAACCTATTTCATTATTTAACTATGTTACATTGTACCTAATTTTGATGAAGTGGATAAGGATGCTGATTTGCTCTCAATCAAATCAAACTTTTTATCTCCTGTTCATGATTGTATAACATCTTAATCAGCTTTTGTTAATTATTACATGCTCAGCATGTATTAAATTATTTCACTCGAAACAGCAATTAAAAAAATGCCATTTTCTCGAGATGCTATCACAAGATCATATGATCTACTAAAAACTTCTTATATTTAATAATTGAATAACAGAAATCTATAAGAATTTTTCTATGATAACAACATCGAGATGAAATTTCTGAGTAATAATTCCTTAGAAACAAAATCAATCCCTTTAAAAACATCATTATTTTATTATTTAGAGTCTTAATTCTTTGTAATATAAGATAATATGAACGTAGATTTAAGTTCACTAAATTTAGTAGTTTCAAATGATTTTGTTTATTTTATGGCAAATTTATTAACTATAGATAACTATTTTGACTCTTTAAGTGAAGAAGTTTCAGTGTTTATCATAAATAGAAGTTTAAACAAGGAGAGTGAAGGAACTAAAATATTCTTGAAAATGACATTTCTTTAGATACTATTTATTTTATTAGGATTTTCTTATGTTTTTAAGAACTATCAAACTCATACTAAACATTTTCACTTATACACCGATATTAATTAATATGCTTTATAATTAGAATTGTAAAGATTAAATTAGATAGATTAAATTTTAAATTAGGAGAACGCATCATAATATTATAATTTTGAGATAGCTGTTTACGAAAAGAAAATTCAATCAAATTTATCATATTATAATTAAAAAATTAATCAAGTGAGATTACAGTGTTAATAATATAAAGCACCACGACTAAAGATTTTGATGATATTTTTGATAGTCACATCTTTTATCTTATGTCCTTAAATCATTTTATAATAAATGGATAGCGATTTTTATGAAAAATATCAGGTGAGTAGTTATTGGGTTGAAAAGATTTCTTAAACAAGTTCAGCTTTGATTGCTGTTTATGCATATAGGGATATAAACTATCAAATAGGTAGTGGAACTCCATATTACTTTTTTTACACCGATGATTAAAGATTATTATAAAATGAAAAAGTAGAAGAGGAATTAAAAAAAATCAATCTGTTTCTTACATATTTCCCATATCTTGATTAGTAAATTTTATACTATTCTAATTTAGCGATTCAATGATTATAGATGACTAAACGATGGAAGTATTAGAAGAAATTCAATCAGATAATATATGCAACTTTATGACTCATGTAATTGAAATTTAATAAGTCTAGTTTAACTCAACTTTGGCTTAAGAACATTGCGATTCAGTTTATAATGGAGTTATGAAATTGGGAATATATAATTCTATATCGACATTATATGAATTAATTTCGCAAGAATATGAGAATACTAATGGATTTCAAGCTAAATTGCGTCCAGTTATAGCACCTTACGAAGATATAGAATTAGGAATGATAACCTCTGATGCCATTCTCGCTATTCTGGATTCTATTCTTGAAGGTGTGACTGAAGCGATAATTAAGTTAAGACTAACTCATAAAGTATGTAATTTTGCAATAAATTAGATCATTAGTATCATGTATATTCTTTTGGATTTGTTCTTAATTTTAGTGTTGTTTACTTAATACTTTCCTTTTTTGGTAAAACAACAAAATAATGTAAAATACATGATATTTTTAATTCCATAATATTAATTTTATTTGGATTAGAAATTTGAAACAAACTTTCGTTTGCTATTATTATTAACCAAATGAAGCAAACTTGATTTGATTGTTATTATATATTCGATTTATATTTATAATGCTCAGATTTATGGTCCTGCATTAATGACTTCTGAGGTAGCTTTATCAGCATATTTTTAGAAGTTCTTTTAGAATTTATCAGCTAAATTTCTTAAGGTTCTTTCAAATTCGCTCTTGTTACTATTAAATAAATGAGAGAACTTACATCCAAGTATTTTTAGGATGAAGGATGGTATCAGGAACACCTGTGGCTCTCTTAGGGATTTATAAGTTGAAGATGTCAAATTTTTCAAATTCTCCATTAACCAATTCTCCAGTATGAATAGCATCGATAATAGATCTTGTGTATTTAAGAGACATTCTTTTGCCAATACCATATTTGCCACCAGACCAACCGGTGTTAACTAACCAGCATTTGGTACCATGTTATTTCATTTTTTCAGCTAACATAGTAGCATAGAGAGTTGGATGTAATGGTAAGAATGCTTCACCAAAGCAGGCTGAAAAAGTAGCAACTGGTTCTTTGACTCCCATTTCTGTACCAGCAACCTAAAGATGTATGAATATTAACAAATTACTTTGGCTGTGTATCCTGAAATGAAATGATACATAGCTTATTCTGGTGTTAATAAGGATACGGGTGGTAATACACCATAAGCATCACATGTGAGGAATAAGATGTTCTTAGGATGTCCTCCAACAGCTGGATTCTTGGCTCCTGGAATGAAATCCAAAGGATAACTGACTCTTGTATTTTCTGTAATGGAAATGTTATGATAGTCTACTTCTCTGGAATCTTTAGACATGAATTCAATATTTTCTAAGACGGATCCAAATCTTGAATGATTACCATTTATTACTTGATAGCATTAAAAATTTCTGGCTCCTTTTCTTTGCTTAGATCTACACATTTAGCATAGCAACCACCTTCAATGTTAAAGATACCATTTTCAGACCATGCATGTTCATCATCTCCGATTAATTTTCTTTTGGGATCTGCACTCAATGTGGTTTTACCAGTTCCACTCAAACCAAAGAGTAAGGTAACATCTCCATTAACTCCCTCATTTGCTGAACTATGAAGTGTAAGGATTCCTTATTTAGGGAACATATAGTGTGTAACTCCGAATACTCCCTTTTTCATTTCTCCTGCATATTGAGTTCCTAATATGACCATCTTTTTATCTGTGAGATTGACAGAAACACATGTTTCTGAACCAACTCCTTCCACCAATTTTGGAGCACACATTGGTCCTGCATTGAAAATATGAAAATCGACATCGTCACTAAAATCTTTCTTTAATTCCTCGTTTGTTGGTCTGATAAGCATGTTTTACATAAATAAAGCATGATATGCTCTTGTGCAAAACACTCTAATTCTAAGTCTACTATGAGGATCCCATCCTGCATATCCATCAACAACAAATAACTAAAATTCATGTATAATAATTTTACTCTTGGTCTTGTATTCAAAAATTAAAGGGCAACTTGTTCCAAAAGGTTGTGTGATTTCTTGGGAATTGGAATATTGACACTTCCCCACCAGATTTCATGCTCAGTTTATTCATCGAACACAATTCTCTTGTCTTTGGGAGATCGACTATAATTATTATTTTGAGTTCCCTTACCCTGTTCTTCTTCCTGAATAGGCTACCATTGCTCCTGCACTTGAAATAGAGCCAGGTCTTGTTTCAGGATCTGGTGACAATGGATCCATAGCAGCAATTTCGTACAATTCTGGAGTACTGGCATTTCTAACAACTGAGGTATTATGTAATCCCCATCTTGTCAACTATTCCAAAGAAAGGGCTTTGCTAGTATTGTAAGTGTATCTCCACAAGTGATGCAACATTACTTTTGGTCAAAAAGATATTATTAATATTAGATATATTCACTTAATATTATACAACCTTTATAATACACTTCTGAATTAAGATTCTTAACCCATTAAATTTCCTTCTTTTGATTCTAGAAACTTTTTAATAAATGGCTTTAATTCTGGTATTATTTCAATATGTTATGAATTCTTTCTTCTGATTGCAGTAATCAAAATTCTCAGCAACTCAATTAAAATTGATTCATCATATTCTTTTGTTAAGACTTATGCAAGAACTTCCTGGATTTCCATTACTCTTGGATGGCTCTAATTATACAGCTAGCAATAATGCAATAGTCCCAATAGGAAATGCTTTGAAGTATTCTAATCATTAATTTTATATCAAATACCTCAAATAATTCAAATTGGACTGCTCTTTACAATGTTTTTTCATGTTGATATTAGTGATCAACTAAACTAATTAAGATGTTTTCAATATAAATTTCATCCAACTGATCCATTTTGTCTTCCAAAGCATTCAGAAATTTCCCTAAAACCAACTTATTTAATAATTTAGCAGAATTAAATGCATCTAAAATTACACACAAATTCTGAGGTGTCTCATTTTCTAAATCAATTTTTGGATACCTAATAAGTTGCAATAGAAATTTACCATTTTTTTAAAAACTCCACAGTTTTGCTATTTTTTGTTTCAATTAATAATTCACATAATAATACGTAATATTTATTTGAAATCAACTCAATCTAATTCATTAATTTTCTAAATTATATATGTTTTTACTCTATAATTTTATCATTAACAGTCGAATTTTATCTTCCGATTTCATATAGTAATAACCATATTTTGAATGCATCATCTATTGTCATCGTAGCAAAGTCTCTTATGGTCAGTTCATTCTAGGATAAATGTAATTATTTATACTATAATTTTATCCCAACTCAGAATATTGACTTCATGTTAATTTAGATTTAACATATGAGTGTAAAGGACAAGATGAAAGTTATTTAGTGAAGATAGATTCTGCTCTATTTGGCATTAACATTACTTCTCAACATAATAGATTTATTATTACTTCTTTTCACTAATTTCAACATCCTATAATTCAAAATAATTTTACCTAATCAAAATATAGTCTGGAAATTATTTCAAAAATCACCAATTATGTAGTTAAATGGTATTGCTCGCATTCTACTTACAAGACATCGATAAGATCTATAAATTCTTTTTTTATTCTTTCATCAATTTTCATTGTTGGGTTTTGTGGTTCTATTTATTTTTCTATTAGTGATTCTATCTTCTCTTAATCATAAATATCAATTTATTCCCAAAATAATTTTAATATTTATTCTTCTGTGTTTTTTGGTTGATGATCTCTCACAGAATCCTTTAACTAAGTGGCTAATTAACAATAAAGAGTAATTCTTGAATCAAAGTATATTACTATGTGTTGAAGAGTCAAGAACTTTTGAATAAAGGTCCCATGATCAAGTATAATTCTCAAAGCATCTTAAAATTCCTGTTCATTTTAAGGATATGGAGATTTTGAAAAGCAAATATAATTATTTATGGCTGACAAATAAGTCGTGAATTCTTTGAAGTCAAACAAAGATATATCTCTTTTAATCAATTTTAATGTCAATGGAAAAATGTCTGATTGATTCTCTTCAAATTTAATATTATTCAGAATAACATCATATCCAAGTGCTTTTCTTACACCCTCATAAGAAACAGGAGTCTGATGAACGAGCTTTAAGTATTTTGTGAGTTTTAATTTATCACTAAGCAACAATTATTTGGCTTAGCAAAATGTTCGAATAATTTTCATAAATTAAATATTAAATTGCTCAATCTTTTTCAATTAATGAATAACTTTTTATTAATAAATAATACACAGGGGCAACAGAATTATTTTCATGGCAAACAACCTCACTTTCATTTCTAAATAATTAAATTATCATAGTACATCTATATTCTTTTTTTATACAATGGACAATCTAAAACCAAACTTTCAAATTCTCCTCCTTCTCCGCATGGATGGAATCCAAATTTCTCATGCTATGATTATTTACAAACACATACAATGTATTTAAAATGTTCATACACTTCCTAGATAGATTTTCCTAAATGCTGTTCTGACAAACCAATGGCAGCTACCTTTATCAATATTATGTTCATATTGTTCTACAACATCTAACCTAATAAATTAAACTGGTCCTGATTCCACAAATAGGCCAAAGAGATCAAACCCAACCTTTAACAACTATTTGATTTAAATAAAAAAAGATACCAATCTTCCACTCTTAACTTTTAATAAGTTGAAGCTATGGCTCCTGAACTAACACCCTTAATATCTGGATACAAGGTCAATGCTTCTTTCAATACCTCAAATAAGTCTTCTACTTCGTCTCCCTCCCTTTCTTCTTAATTACTTTGATAATCTAAGTTTGTGACTTTTGGCTTCCCTAGAATCTCTCTCTTCAATATTGGCTTATCAATAGCTAAAGATATAGCATCTATTATGTTGGTTCCAACACTTTGGTACATAAAGCTATCAGCCTCCTTGCCAATATCTAAATTGTATATTATTGATTTTACTTTTAGGGTAAAGATTGACTAATAAAACTAACTCATGGCCTTCTTGAATGCATCGGATGACATTGAAAATTGAATCCTTTCCTCCAGATACTAAGGCTAAGAATTTCATGAATTAAACTATTTTTAAGACTAATATTGGAACCGTTATGCGCAATTTGAAGTTTTTCATGCAACGTTTATTATGTAAAAAATGAGTAGTGCATCATATAATTTGCATATTAATATATAGTTATATTAAATAATTGAGATTTTTGGGAAAAGAGAAAAGAGAGAGTTAGGGAGAGTATAAATAACATGTATAATAGAACAATTGTCCATAATTGTATTGTTTAATGAATCAATTTCTCTTGCTGATGAATTGAGCGGTGGTTGATAATTTCTCGCTAATGTGTTCTTGGAGTCTGTCAACGATTTCGTTTTAAGCAGCTCTATTTGTTTTGTGTATATTGATACCTTTCAGCAGTTTGAGTTTCATAGATTTCTGATTAGACTGCATACCATGCTTATTATCCAGCAAGTCTTTCTTCACTGTTTTCTAATTCTAAGGTGTGGAATTCTATCCATGATTGAGCATCTTCAATGGTGTCCTTTTATTCTTAGATTTAGACTTCCAATTAGGCCTTTCTTTCGACTAATCTGGTGTGTTCGTTACTCAAGTGAGCGCTGAATTCAGCCCAGTGAGCGGCTTATCTTTCTTCGACGTCCTTGATTATTGGATTGAATGATTACAGTTTTAGCAGCCTTTTCTGAGACTAATTATTATCTGATTTCGCTCAAGAGTTAAGCAATCTTGGTTAAAGCCTTTTAGTTAACTCCGTGAGTGGCTAATTCTGTAAGAGCAGCAACGACTGGCTAAAATAAAGATATAGGAGAAGCTAAATACTTGTAAGAGTTGGGAGTGGGAGGTGTTGTCTGTGAGTCTCTTGTGAAT